AAATCAGGTTCCCCCAGGTCCTAAACTTCTCAGATATATTTGTTCATGTCTTAGATGCTGGAGTCACAGAACTGGAAGAACTGTTTGGTTTGTTTAAATTTAATAGTTTAGGTTTTTTTTAAAATGCATGTTTACTGTTTTTATATTGTATTTATACAAGCTTTGCTACATAGAAAGCTGCTTTATGGTGGCTTTCCCCTCGAAAAGTGGGATATTAGTACCTAAATAACTACATAATAATGTTATTATAGAATTAAGAGGTTGCGTCCAACTAACATGTACCAGTAGTTCAAGGGCTCTTGCCTGTGTATGACTTTCCATCCCCATGCAACCCCTTTTATCTGCCCTGAAGAATTGGCATTGGCAAGAAGAGTGGGCATTGCGCACTACTTTACTGCTTGATCCCAACAGGTAAGTTTCTTATATGTGAACAAGGTCGGTCGGTCTGTGTGTGTGTGTGTGTGTGTGTGTGTGTAAAAGTACCACTGTGTGTATTATCACTCCCTTGATTAGTCTGGAATACAAGGCATCACTTGGTTCTAAATGCAAGTGTAGATTAGGTTGCAATCCTACATACACTTACGTGCGAGTAAATCCCATTGAACTCAATGGGTCTACGCACAGAATTGTACTGAAATAAATAAATAATATTGTATCGCGATCCGCTTCGTGCAGACTTATCTGCCCCTGAAAAGCAGGATGCAATCCTGATTCTATATATGTAGCATTTCGGAGTGTGGGGGGGGGGTCCGCCCCGGGATAATCTGATCATAGGTTAAACCCCCCCCCCAAAAAAAAACCCCACACACCTCACTAAGGACTAGAAGCCCCACTTTCACCTACAATAATAATAATGATACATTCTTAAGCGAGGGAGGGAGGGAGGGAGGGGAAGAGACTCGCTAAGCATCTTGAACGGAAGTCCAATGCTCGGGGATGAGCCCGTGTGAAGCAGCCGAGAGAAGCGGGGAAAGTTCCCCTCAGGCCCCCATTAGCCCTGTCGGGGCGACGCGCGTCTCTTCCTGAGGGAAAGAGCCTGCAGGGGACCAGCATAGCCGGCGAGGTCCGTCTCTCACGCCCCACCACGCGCGCGTTACCTTCGCCCCCCGCGACATCGTGCCAGAAGCAGCTCCAACTCCGTCTTCCGCGCCTCCGCCGCCTCTTCCTTCCGGAGTCTCTCGCCTAATATCCGGCCAAGTGGGTCTGGGCGCGGCCGTGGGAACGAGCCCCACAGCGGCGCCTCGTGGTCGCAGCCGAGATGGAGGAGGAAGGATGGAGGGCCGGAGGAATTGCGGTTACAAGGAGGAGAGGGTTGTGTTGGCACAAAAGAGGATGCTCAGGCTGCAGTTCTAATGCACGCTTCCTGCAATGATTTAACAGTGCTGGATTTACGTATAAGCTAAACAAGCTATAGCTTAGGGCCCCACTCTCTTGGCCCCCCCAAAAAAAAATTTAAGGGGGGGGACTGGATGTACATTTCCAAAATATAAGATAAAAAACACATAAAACCTACATACATCAACAGTGTTTTGTGTTGTGTAGGCTCCTATGATGTACATAATGGGCCCCGCCTGCTAGCCTGCTCCCTAAAATATCACTGGTTTGCTCATTTCTATATATAGGGTGCCTACATTCATTTATAATTATTAGTAGTTTGCATCATATATTTGCACCTATTATTATTTCATGTTATAGCAAGTTTCTAGAGACTAGATTATGAGTCTTTGGAAATTGTGTTTCTAAAGGAAATTTTGTTATTGCCAAATGCCAATGTGTTTGCATTATTAAGTTTGTTATGAATAAAAAATCATTTGAAGTTAGAGCTTAATAATTATTTCACTATTAATATACCTAATTGTATTTCACTTCAACAATTACTTTGATAAAATACATATTTTGTTATGTGCAAATAGCTTTTTATACCTGTTAGGTCCATAAATTACCATATAGCATATATTCAAGACAAAAAACAGCTACAATTTGTTGTTGACAAAGGACAGCTGGACATATAAAGGGCCCGTTACCTTCAGTAGCTTAGGGCCTCATCAAACCTAAATCTGGCCCTGATTCTTCAACATCAACTTCACTGGACTGGTCGTGTTGTGCGGATGCCTGATTAGCGTCTCCCAAAGCGACTACTCTATTCCCAACTTATGAATAGAAAGTGTAATACTGGTGGTCAAGAAAAGAGGTTTAAAGACTCTCTCAAGGCAATTTTTTTTTTTAAATGTAGTATAAACACAGACAACTGGGAAACACTGGCCTGCGAGCTCTCCAATTGGAGAACAGCCTTTACCAAAGGGGTCATGGGCTTTGAAGACACCCGAACTCAGGATGCAAGGGAGAAACGTGCTAAGAGGAAGGCACACTTGGCAAACCCTCATCATGATCAGCTCCCACCCGGAAATCTATGTCCCCAATGGGGAAGGACATGTGACTCCAGAATTGGCCTCTACAGTCACGGACTCACAGTGAAAACCGTGTTCATGGAAGATAATCTTACTTGGCTATGAGTGATCGCCAAAGATGAAGATAAGAAGGAGAGAGGAAGGAGTAAAAAGATGTGTCGACACAAAAGTGGATGTTCACGCTGCAGTTCTAATGAATACTTCCTGGGAGTGAGTCTCCTGGAAGCCAACAGCTCTCTCTTCGGAGCAGACGTGTATAGGGTTGCACTGTTCATATCATAAGCCTAAAAGAGGGCAATGAAGATTGGGTGTGTGTAAAGAAATGCCACCTTTTAAAAAGGAGAATCTTTTCACCCCACTGCACAGCAGTAAGTTCAAGCTTCCCACCACGTCGATCCTTAAGGATGCAGTCCTATACTCCCACTTACCTGAGGGCGAGGCTCAGCTCCATGAGGCTTCTGAGTAGACATCTGTAGGAGTACAATAACCAATCTCAAAGCGTATGGGAGAATGGGATACTGAGAAGAGCGCAGAGAGAAGAAACGTTGTGGTGCATCTGCAGTAGGACAACTGGATGCCTTAACCTACACCAGTTACAACAAAACATGTCTGTCCTGTATCGGTCTCTGCAGCTGTTACTCAACAATTTGACTTCAGCTCCAAAGGCACACTCCTCCATCAGCTCCCAAGATGGACAGGTGCCAACCATTTGTTTTAAAACTACTGGTTTTACTTAGATTTTATGTCCATTTGTTTTTAAAGATTTTAGCAGTATCTTTTATGAATATTTTATATTGTTTTATGTAAGCCACTTAGAGGTTTGGGTTGATTAAGTGGAATGTAACTTTTGTTAAAATATGGGAGTTCATTTGGAAACACTGAGGTATTGTTCACCGACTTTTTAAAAAACTAAATGTCTGTGTATAGTATCTGCTAGATTAAATTGCAGTTTCCTTTTGCAGAGTATGGCATCCTGTTAAATATATGAACTTTTAAAGGAGGGAGGAAATCTGATAACCCAAGAGGGAATCTTATTCATTTCCCATCGTTCCTTAAAGAAGATGCCCTTGGTATCCTAAACAAACTTGAACAAGTTCCACCCTGGGCTGAAGCAGTGATTCAGGCAAAACTGCCCAAGGCTAAACTTAATTTGGCCACTTTACAAGAGAACGAAAAGAATAGGCCTCCAGTTGCATCCGAAGAAAGGGCACATTATCTCAAACAGCCGCAGCGGTAATGCTGCAGGACACTGTGGTCTAGATCAGTGTGAATGGATTCTGTGTACAGTTAAATAGACCACTTTCAATTTTCTCCATGATGGGATCCTTGTGTAGGCTGTCTGAAGTTCAAATGGAAAATACACAAAGCAGCAGGTGATGTGAACAATTTTGGACAAGTCCCTCACCATTTGCTATGTTTTTGGAACAACCAGACTCTTAAGAAATAGGAGTGGGTGGTGGGTGGGGGAAAGCTTCAATCATTTTGCAAGAAATTGGCAGGTGGTCTATACAGAGGTTTCCAAAACACCTGGGGTTTTGAAAAAGTATCTGTTGAAATATGGTTTTTTAAGGTCTTACACCCCAGCATGAGATAGATCTGCTGGGTACAGAATTGCCTTATCTGTAGCAGCTTTCCTTAAACACTTATTATGCACTGTACTCTACGCTACCACCTGCAGCTCGCCATGACTGTCTAGCAGTTATTGATGATTCCCTGCAGAGGTGCATGTAAGTGCACAATTTACTTCCTCTATTTGAGCACACATACCTGGAGAAGAATCCCCTGCCTACCCATTTCATGAATGTGTATAAATAAACCATGTGCCCATGGTCTGAAATTGAAACAGAACTTCTATACAGGTGGTTAATGTTTCTGTTCACCCTGTGGAATAAACTGCATATTTAGTTCTGCATCAGTATGGTTTTCATACTGAGAGCCAGTGTGGTGTAGTGGTTAAGAGCGGTGGACTCGTAATCTGGGGAACTGGTTCGCTTCCCTGCTCCTCCACATGCAGCTGCTGGGTGACCTTGGGCTAGTCACACTTCTTTGAAGTCTCTCAGCCCCACTCACCTCACAGAGTGTTTGTTGTGGGGGAGGAAGGGAAAGGAGATTGTGAGCCGCTTTGAGACTCCTTCGGGTAGTGATAAAGCGGGATATCAAATCCAAACTCTTCTTCTTCAAAATGGTAGCTGGGGAAGTTTTCATATTACAGTGGTACCTCAGGTTACATACGCTTCAGGTTACATACGCTTCAGGTTACAGACTCCGCTAACCCAGAAATAGTGCTTCAGGTTAAGAACAGACCTCCAGAACGAATTAAGTACTTAACCTGAGGTACCACTGTACCAGAGTTTAGGCATCCCTTATGCACACTACAAAATGCTAATGCATTTCTACAACCTTCTTGTTAAACTATTTAAAAATCCATCCACAATATTTTGTTTAACCAGCCTGCCCATTTGCACAAATCCAGGTGCTACAAGGCAACTTGCCCCCAAATAATTCTTGCTTACCTTAGGCCATGATCTAACTACGTATCTGCACGCATTTCAGAAAATCCATCACCAGCTAATTAAACTTTAGAACACAATAACTGATTCAAATATTTTAATCAGATTAAAACTTTCTAAAAATGAAGCAGGCAAACTCTCAGGAATAACTGCTTCTGTTTGCAAAAGACTGAGATCTGTCTGGCTTGTTACAATTTGGATTGTTGCTGCAGTGCAGCAGACAGAATACAGCAGATACCAAATAAAGAGTAAAACCACAAACATTTACTCATTGTGCTACCATTACCACAATGCAAACTGGCTATCTGTTTTGTCATGTTTTGAGGCGAGGATATATAATTTACTTATTAAGTCTATATGCCACCCTTCGTCAGAGGATCACAGGGCAGTTTATAAAGACAGAAACGCAAACAATTAATAGGAAACACTTCCCCACGGTAAGAAATGTTTTGACAGTGAAGCAGACTCATGGGTGGCGAGTTTTGGACATGGGCATCTGCAGGAATCTTTTGGGATGGGGAGACAAAGCAAAATACTGGAAGTGGGAAGCAGCCTAGTTCCCCATAAAGAAATGAAAGCAGTGCCCATGTGTTTTGTCACATTATCTCAGGTTCTACAAATGCTAGAAATGTAGGGTGGTATTCAATTAACTCATAGGTAGGCAAACTGTGGCCTGGGGCCAATCACCTTCTCAATCTGACGGTCTGGGAATCAGCATGTTTTTACACGAGTAGAATGTGTCCTTTTATTTAAAATGCATCTCCGGGTTATTTATGCGGCATAGGAGTTCGTTCATTCCCCCCCCCCTTCAAAATATAGTCTGGCCCCCCACAAGGTCTGAGGGACAGTGGACTGGCCCCCTGCTGAAAAAGTTTGCTGACCCTGAACTAACTCCTCATGCACGTGAAATTATGTCCGTTTTTGTAATGGGACTTCCCTCCCCGCTCTCATGGAAGCAGATCTGCTCAAATGCGCCAGCCACACTGCAGCTACATGACACCCTCCCCCAAACAGCCAATGTCAACATTAGTGTGCTATCGAACAAACCTGAATTATGACTTAAGTTTACAGATTACAGAAGTGACTATGGATGCCACCAGATTCTCATTCACACACAGGAATTTGTACATACCTGGCAGGCATCACTGACACATGCTTCCTGGTTGGGCCCAGTATCTTGGGGTGGCTAATCTAACCTGTGGTCTTCCAGATGTTGTTGGACTCCAACTCCCATCAGCCCTAGTCAGCATTCCCAGTGGTGAGGGATGTTGAGAGTTGTAGTCAACCATCACCTGGAGGTCCGTAAGTGCTTTTCCTTAATTGATATTATGGTCAGGCCATGAAGAACCAAGAAACTGCTTGGGGATGGAGCTATGCTTGAGCCTTGAGAGACAGAGAACATTTTATTTCCTGATTTACTGCAAGGCATCAGTACACAAACCAGAAGGTTCCCAGGTCTCAAATAATATGTGCAATTGAGAATGAGGGAGGGGGAGAGGTCACAAGGGCAGATATTTGCTTAGCATTTTCCTAACTTTTTTTTGGCGGGGGGGAAATCCCATGGTTTAACAAAGGCTTTTTATCACAAACATTGAAAGAGCTTTTTATTTTAATCTTATGAAAGACAAATTTGTCTTCCTATACAAATTGACTGAAACCCTGTTAAAATCATCTGATGAACTGTACTAGGACAGTAACAATGATAAATCTTCTGTGTTTGGTTTCTCGTATTTCCTGATTTTCCAAAACACATGTAAGAAATGCCACCAACTTCAGCAGAACATTAATCTGTAATAACAATGGATTAGGTTTGAAAGAAAGGAGATCAAGAAGGTCTATGTCTCACTGCAGAACGGCTTATGGGAAGGTTGGCGAGAGGGGGAGTGAAAGCACCCCAAGATAGAAGGTAGAAGCAAAAGGTAAAGAAGAAATGATAACTACAGTGTCACCATCCATAGCACTTTAATATAAGTCAAGGAAGGAAAGGGGAAAGGGTACACGTTTGAGGCCAAAGATCAAGGCGGGACAGAAATATATAAATAAATATTAAGAAAAAGGTATTTAAATCTCCCAATACAAACATGGGAGTAACTAGACACATTCAGCTAGGAAGCCTCTTTGGGGAAGTCCAGCAAGTTAACAGTGGGTGCATACAGATGTATCATTAAAGCAGGAGCCACCACAGAATTTACCCTGACTTCAGCCACACTTTAAATCAGAGGTGGGCAGCCTTCGACCTTGCATGATCTACTTTCATTTTTACTAGAACCTCAAGATGCACCAACCAGAGCCAGGTGTGAGAGTGAACATACAAGGAGAATTAAGTGTACTTCTCAGCACATATCCAATCAAGACATTGTGATTAATGTAATAGAACTGAGCTCACAAGCCTTTCACACTAAAATCCAGTCCTGGTTTTCCAAAGGTTTTCCTTTCTGCAGCCTAATTTACCAGGGTGGGTGGTACAGGGAACTATTGCAACTTATTTTGAGTTCCACCAGTAGATCCTGAGATACATTCTGCCCACTTCTAATATAAAATGATGGATGCACATATCAATGACTAAAACACAGATTTAGTCATCAGTCTTGCACCTCCTCCTGCCATGTCTTGGGCAGGCTGTTGACCTGTTAAAGAATTATTTATTAAAACTTCATACACATTTGTGATTTTAAGTGTTCCTGGTCACCTTTTTTTTTAAAAAAAAAAGGTCTTTTTGAAGTTGCAAAACTGCTCTGGACAGGGGAGGAATGGATAGGTACTGTCACTGGTATCAGCCAGTCGCTGCTGTGCGCAGACACCTTATGATACAAAATTGCAGAATCGTCGCCCCCCCGCCCCAGGTTGATCTGGAAAGAAAACAAGTTTATTTGAACAGAATGTGACAAACATACTTTCCAAAAGGCACCACTCCTCAAATAGTGTTATATCTGAACACACCCAATGGCACACAATCAGCATACATTGTGAGTGGAGGAAGGAAATTACATTGTGCTTTTCAACTACAGCATGGCTTTTAATAAAGTTAGTAAGCTTTACAGACACTTTGCAGCATTAGGCGACTAAAGCTTGTGATAAGAGAAGAATCTACAGCTCAGAAAGGCGTACCAAAGGCAAATACAAATAGCACCAGCACTTGGGCTCAACCTTGCTTATCTCACAGGGGTCAACAGATCAGGCCTCCCCAACCTGGTGGTCTCCAAATGCTCTGGACTCCAGCAACCATATGGGCTGTGACTGATGAAAATGAAGAGCCCAACAACATCTGGATGGCACCTGGGTTGGGGAAAACTGCAGTAGACTAAGGAGCAAGAAAGCCCAATAATGCATAGTAGAAAACAGAACATTTATGTAGGTGCTGTGTAATTACCAGCCCCAAATACCACAGTATTTGCCCTACACAAACAGTAAGATAGAGCACTCTATTGTAACATTTATGATATCAATTCCCTCTCCCCCATTATATAATCTGTGCAATCAATAAGGCTTGTGCTAATTACCTACTTACACAAACATACAACTTGATTTACACGTGCATCTTTTTTGTACAGGTTCCCCACCCCCACCCCATTCCATTATATTATATTAAGGAAAACTTCTAATTCAGCTTGTCTAAACTAGACACTAGATTTAACACCTTTTAACAAACATTACATAGATGTAAAATTTGTGGTGACTAAATGGGGACGACGACAGACCACTGAAAAACTCTTTGTGGGTCGGGTAAAATAAGGGAAGGACTGATAGGGCTTGGAAGGTTCAGGTTCCTCGCTTCTTTCCCTGGAGACCATTCTTGGGACTCTAAGTTTTTAAGACAGCGTCCTACAGCATCACAGGCTATGCTTAGTTGTCCCTGGGCCCTGTCTTAATGCAACATACTTGGTGCATTTCAGATCGCAGTCATTACCCATAGCACCTATTAGCTCCTGCTTTTCACACAAGGAAGGCAGGCATCAAGTGGAAGATTGCACCTGCGTCTTCACACTGGAAGATCCAGTTTGCAAAATAAAAATGTTTGGGGGCAAATTTTATTATTTCCCCACCCCTCCCAACCAAGCAACACCCCCTGCCAAACAACAGACTTTTTGTCACTAAACTGTGCGCTTTAATAAAACACAACAGAGAGCACTGATCAGATCAGCAATATTAGTAGCCAGTCATGAATGGTCATCTTATAAAGAATGGGATATTCTTCACCCAGAACATTGGCACTTCATATTCGCTTGAGAATCTAAATGCCAGTGTGTACAATCAGTAGACTTGAGTGGCAAAGCTGTACCTGGGCTGAACCATATCAGGCAATGGATAGGGAATGAGGGTTGGATGTTATCGCACAAAAAAACAAATTCCTACACACACAGGAGAGACATGTCAGAAGAGTTTACTCTTCTCAATTATGTGCTGCTTTTGAATGTACAGGAAGACATTTAATGTATTCAAACAGGCGACCCTTCATCTGTAGCCTGGAGTGGTGTAAACTGGGTCTGGGTAGGTCAGACATAATAGGAAATCAAAAACACAGCTAGGCTGGAACTTTCCTTGAACACTTTAGCTTTTCACAAGAAGATGATTTTTGATGGGGGCAGGGTGGGGAATGTATTAAAACTTGTAATCACCCCTTGGTTTTGAAGTGGTACCATCTAGGAAGGACTGTCCCCCTTTTCTCCCCATGCCCCACCCCAAATGTTTGAATTGGCTTTATTCCCTGTACGTGCATGCCTCCCGAAGTACATTTGCAATGCAAGTGAACATGAAAAGTTAGAGACACTTAAAGCAAAGGCTCAGACAGCTGAAATCTCTTCACCTTGGGCTGAGCCTTTGGCTGACAAGCTCCCGGAGACATTGTCAGAATCTAGTAGCTCAACAATGCTGTATGGGGAACAGTCTTCCAGGCCCATCTTGCTACACAGCCAGCCACAGAATCCTTTCTCCATATCCCTCACGGCATGCCACCAATCCCCAAAGGCCCACGAGATCTGTGTCACTGCTGTGTAGAGGCCCAAAGAGAAGGACACTACCATGATGATGATGGGGTAGAAGATAATTAGGAAAGGGCAGAAGGTGATCTTGTGCCAGAAGGTCCTCTCTTCGTTGTAGACCAGGAAGACATTGTACCAAGCAATGGTGCCATAGTAAAAGGACACCACAAAGGACATGATGAAGATGACGGGGAGACAGGTGAGGCTCCAGAGAAGGACATGGGGGCCTTTAGAAAGACCAACCTCACAAGCTTTTTTCCCTTCAGGGATGTCCGTTTTGGGAGGCTCTTTCGACCTGGTCAGTTCTTGCAGCTCCTTGTCAGTGAGTGTAACATGAATGTCCACCATCTGGCCTTTCTTCTTTCCTCTTGTGATGGTGCCAGTTAAAGTAACGTATCTGCTATCTAATGGCATGGCCCAAGAACCTAGGAAGAAAGATAAACTAAATCAGTTCAAGACAGAAAACTAAAGCAGAACTTAATGGCATTTTCAGCAGTGTTGTAAGAGTATTTTGGAAAACTGCAAAGAATTAAAACTGTCTGAGGCATTTCGGTTTGGTTTTACCAAAGCTTCTGATTTTACAAACACAACCCTAAAAGATGCAATGTTGTTAGCTCTGCACACAGCATATAAACGGTACATAGGTTAATCTTTTAGGGTTGTGCAGGTTCAAGGAATCCTATCTCGGCACAGGGGAAAACTAGGTAATTTGCTCCAGCTATTTCACACTTATTCGGCAAGATGCTCATTTCAGGAGCTCTCTCAACAACACATTTCAAGCAACTGAACCATATAGCATGCCTTAAGGCAAAATAAAACAATGTGGGGGCAGTTGACAAATTGCTAACGAATTCTTTCTCTGCAACAAATAGTGACACAGTATAAAAAGCTGCCTTCAGCTTCTCAGGAAGGATGGGATAAACATTGAAATAACACAACAGCTCAGTGATAGGAGCACCTGCCTAGCAGGTAGAAGGCCCCAGGTTCAATCCCCAGCATCTTCAGGTAGGTCTGGGAGAGACCCCCTGGCTGAAACTCTGGAGAGCTTCTGCTAGGCAATGTATACAGTACTGAGTTAGATACAGACCAATGGTCCAACTCCATATAAGGCTTCCTATGTTCATATAGGAAGCTTCCTATGTTCCTGTGCAGAATTCCTAACTGACCTGGGAAAACCAGTCGTGTCCTGCACTGCCCTTATGTCTTTAATGAGCAAGTGTGGAGTAGTGCTCAGAGGTCAAACAAGGACTTGGGAGACCAGGGTTCAAATCTCCACTCAGCCATGAAGCTCAATGGGTGACCTTGGGCTAGTCACCACCCCTTAGCCTAACCTACCTAACAGGGATGTTCTGAGGATTAAATGAGGAAAGGGAGAAACAAAATACATCACCTTGTGAGGAAATCAGAAGCTATGCTTCCATTTAAAATTAACTACTACATCCTAATACTAAACTGTGGCTTACTCAACTATGGTTTCTTGAAATAGCCCAGCTTCTTAAATTATGATTTTAAGTTGGCTTGTTTCAACAAACCATAGTAGAGATTAATCATGGTTTTGTTAAGTTAGGATGGCACAGCAAGGTTTCTCGTGGTTACCATTCGCTCACGTGCTGGTGAAATAGCAGATGGAAAAAACATGCTAGTTAAAGATCAGAAAGCAGAAGAAAGAATAAAATGACAGTTTTCATAATGGAGGGATGTAGACAGTGGGGACCCAGTACAATTTAGCATTTATAAATTATCAGGTGTGAGGGGAGAACCAAGTTTGTGAATGACACCAACATATTCAGGATAATGAAATTTAAAGCAGATGGTCCAAGCTGATCTCTCAAAACCATGTGAATGGGCAAGAAAATGAGATTTTTAAAAAGTTATGCAAACAGACCAATAAAATAAAGTTTTTAAACTGTTTATGTCTATCTAGAAAACTATGCATTAGGCTTGTTGTGAACAGTTTGCTGAAAACTGTCAACTCAGTATTCAGTGGCAGCGAAAACGGCAGAATTATTAGAAAAGGGATTTAAAACATTAAGTAGCACAATGTCTTACATCAGGGATGAGGAACCCATGATCCTCTAGATATTGTTGGACTACAACTCCCATCACCCTCAGCCAGTATGGCTAATTGTCTGGCACAAACAGAGCTGTAGTCCAACAACTGAAGAACTACAGATTCCCCATTCCTGCGCTATATACTGTATATGGAATACTAGTACTAGTCGGGTTCCCTAATATCACAGAGGATTTCTATTAATGGTAAAGATATAGATAACGGTAGAGAAAAGCACCATCAAAGCAATTGGGGCTCCTCTGTGAGGAGAACCAGTGTTTTATTATTATTTTTTGTTTAGAAAAAAGATTACTAATGGGAGACATTTAAGGTTTATAAACAGTCCTCAGGGAGTGGGACTGTAAATTCTGAGTCATTTTGCTCCAGGGAGGTCTGTGAATTCTCAGTCACTTTGCTAATTCAGTTATTTGTAATCCAATTAACATAATATGCTCCAGCTATCTGCTCTTTTATGCTTATTTTGTATTATTTGTGCTCTGAATGTTTATATCTGATGAAGAATGTGTAGTTCAAAAGCACACAGCCATGAATTTAAATATATGATATTTACTCACAGGTAAGGCCCCCTGTGTTCCATAGGATTATCTCCCATGCTAGTGTGCATAAGGCTGAATGTTAGTCCAAAAGTAATAATTAATAAATCACACCCACACACAATAATGTGACATTGAGTGTGTCATTAACAAGGGTTTTAGGTGCACGCAACACTACGTATGATCAGGCTGAAAACTTCCTGGTTTTATTTTCCCCATATTTCTCATCAAATAATGATACTCCTCTACATTGTCACAACTAAGAATTACATTTTTCCAGACACCAAAAGCAGGAAAAACCTCTGGATTTATTGCACAAATGTTGGAGACACCAAAGGCCAAGAAATAACTCATCATTTGAGAACTGCTTCTGTTAGGGCAAGAATAAATGGAGAAAGTTTAGTGAATGTGTGGGATTAATGATTGTTTGGCTATTTCACCTAAATGGCGGAAGACAAAGACCAGGGATAGAATCTGTGGTGGTGAGAATGGTGTGGATGTATTTCCTTAAAAAGATGGGAAGCGGAGTTAATGGACAGCTTGAAAAGCTGGGACTAGAGCGTAGTGTAGGTGTAGCAGTTGAGAATGTTGGACTAGGACCAGGGAGACTGGGGTTCAAAGCCTCATGCAACCATCAAGCTCACTGGGCCAGTCACTGTCTGTCAGCCTACCCCACAGGGTTGTTATGAGGATTAAAAAGGGAAGGGAGGAGCTCCTTGGAGGAAAGGTAGGAAAGAAATGGAATTATTTTTATTAAAAATCAATGGCTATTTTGAATATGCTTGAAAGCCAAGACTCTATTTATTTATTTTAGAGACTTTGTTTTAATTGCTCCAGGAACCCTGAAAGCTCAACAGACCTGTGAGTGGGAACCTGCTTCTCTGAGAATACCATACACTGGGACAAACGCAGGAGGGTGAGGTTGGGGGTCTTAGAAACTAACCTAATGACCTTTGATCTAATGGGTTCAGCTCAACAGTTAACATCACCCACTTATAACTTCAAGGTGAAAACTCAGCAATATAAAGTGAAGACTTGCGCACCTAGGATTTTCGAGATTAACAAGGCAAGTCCAGCGGTAGCGACTATGCATTGCCAGAACTCTGCTCTCTACATGATCAACTGCTCTCAAGGTTGGCCACCTGGGTCATATGCTTCAGTATGAATGGACAGGGATCATGTTTAGACCTTGTTATTGAATAAAGAACCGACTGCAAGATATAGCTGTGTTTGGACTTTGACTACCCTCTGCAAGCTATTAAAAGGGTAGCTGATCACCCACTAAAACTCAGCAGCTAATGGGTCGAAAGCACAAACTGCGTGTAACACTTCCCATTGTGAAAGAAGCCACAGAAGCTCCTTTCCTCGCACTCTGGTAAGGCAGCAAAGCGTGCCTGATGAATCACAGACCACTTGGTCTCGGGCATTTACCATCGGCAGAGTGTCCCAAGAACTTGGAACCTTCCTCTGAGCTTCTCTCGCCCCCATCCTCCTCCACCTGTTCTTCATCCACCTTGTTCTCGTTCCCCGATCGGTAGACGATGATCGATTCTGGGCGGGACTCCTTCTTCCTCTTCTTCCGTCTCTCGGTGGTGGCTTCTCCATCGAAGGTCACTGCAGTAGCTACAGCCCTGCGCAAGGAGTTGCAGTGAGGGCTCTGTGCCCCACCCTTACTCTCCCTTAAGGCAGGCTCCTCCGCCACCCCACTGCTACTCTGGAGGCTCTCGCTGGGCATCTTGGTGAGGGAAACAAAAGAAGTCAGCTTCTTCAGTACCTATGAGCTGTCAACACTGATATGTAGGAGTCGGTGCTCCACCTAACAGCAGCAACCATTTCGCGGCACAGAACGAACACATTCCACGCCTAACCCTAAAAATGGGAGAAAAGGGAAGTAGCAATCAGTGTACATATAAATCCAATCCATTTATTAAAAGAGGAGTGAGGAGGCTGTGGTCATGCAGATGTTGATGGCTTATAACTCCCACTATCTCAAATGGATGCGGCTGATGGGAGCTGAAGTTCAGCAACATCTGGGGTACCACAGATTCTGCATCCCTGTATCAATCTGGAAGCAGCATCTTAACTCTCAGAAGAAATTCTGAAACATTCCTGTTTATTTGATATTCACCCCTTTATGAAGATATGAATCAGTGTCATACAAATGAATGAGAATTAAAGCACAGCAACAGATGGGAAGGAAAGAAGAATAATGAGAATATTGATAGTATTGATAAAGACTGCAGAGCCAGCAGTTGGTTAGCAGGGAGTAGCTGACTTGTTACTAACAGCCCAGAGCAGGCATGTCCAAAGTCTGTTTCGGGGGCCTAATCCCCCGAATTTTGGGGTAAACTTCAATCCTAAAAAAAGCTCAACAACAACTTCAGTAGGCTCTCATACATGTTCACTTCATCAAATCTGGCCCTCTTTCAAAAAAGTTTGGGCACTCCTGGCCTAGAGGGTGTTTGCTGGAAAAACACAAAGAACTTTTAGAGGTAGTGAAATCAACTGTTATTGTGCATAATTTTGCTGCTGTGCCTTCAGGGATTCCTGCTGAAGCTGTTGAGCTTTTGGAAGTTTTGCCATTTGATAACAGGGCTTTTTATTGTACAAAGTAAAGGGAGATGTGGATAGCTTTAGTCAACACCGAAGGCTATACAGTATTGCAATGTTCTTAGGCTGGCAGGGCAGAAGCTAATTAGCATTTCTTATTTACAAGAAAGACAAATTATAATCATGTTTGAACAAACACAGTGAACACGTTACAGTGGATATGCTGTTGCTGCCCATAATATCATTAGGGCACTTTTCATTTAGAAAGTAGCAATTAAGTTATTCTGCAGATGAATGATCATGACTTAAACCAAGATCTCAATTTACCACCAATTAAGGTTCAGCAACTGGGGAAATATCCTCAGAAATAGATACACTACCCAAAGAGACATTATAATTGTTATTAATTTTCATTTATAAATTTCTTCTCATGAAGCATCACAAAACAATTTCACAATACAATAAAAACACATATTACATGCATAAATCACGGAATCACACAGTTGGGAGGGATCCCAAGGGTCATCTAGTCCAACCCCCTGCAATGCAGGAATCTCAGCTAAAGCATCCATGGCAGAGGGCCATCCAACCTCTACTTAAAAACCTCCAAGAAAGCAGATACTATCGCATATTCATAAACACATTTTCAAATCCAATACACGTACCAACCGAGATAAAAATCTTGAAAGCTTGTTGAAAGAGGAAAACTCTTTAACAGGCTCTGAAAAAAGATGTCTGGTGTGGATTGGGAGTGAGTAGTAGGGTAGGTGCTATCACGTTAAAGCTCAATTTGTGTTGAATGGATGTCCCTGATAAGACAATATCTTCAGGGTACTCTTAGTGAATGCAGTGAATATACAGTATTTAGGTATCCTGGTCTCAAGCAGTTTAGGGCTTTCCACACAAGTACCAGCACCTTCATCTTAGCCTAGTGGCTAATTGCTTGCCAGTGTAATTCTTTCCACACCAGCATAATACAATGGTGAAATTCTATCCCAGTGATATTAGGCTCATTATATTTATATCTCCCCAAACTAGCAGGCTACCAATAATGGCTCAAATGCCAAGGAAGGTCTTGAGGAAGACTCAAAACAAATTTATGGATCACCACAGGAAGGTGTTTACTAAATTCAGGCAAAGGACTAAAAATTAGTGCTAACTCTCAACTTCCAAATAATAGAGCCAGTTTCTTAAGAGTCAGAACTTGAGCTGGCCAAATCACTGTGTCTTAAAGTCTCATCCATCTCAGAGGGTTGTTGTGAAGTTGAAACACCACTCGAGAGTTGCGTTGAGTTACAAATTGTCTGTTGCTGGGCGAAATCAAGAGGAATATAAATCAAGAAGAATATATAATATTAATTTAAATATAAAAATATATATCAAGAAGAATATATGCCAGCATGGTGTAAGCCTAACCTACCTCACAGGGTTGTTGTGACGATGAAATGGGGAGAAGAACCATGTACACCACCTTGAGATCCTTGGAAGATAAAGGTGGCATATAAAGGCAATAAATAAATACAAGCAATAAATCATTGATGGATAACAGTTTGTTGTGTTCATATTCTCTTTTAAGAAGGCCAGAATTTGTAGGAACTTATAAAGGTTGCAGACTTACCGTATTTTTCGCCCTATAGGATGCACTTTTTCCCCTCCAAAAATGAAGGGGAAATGTGTGTGCGTCCTATGGGGCGTCTGCAGGCTGTCGCTGAAGCCTGGAGAGCGAGAGGGTCGGTGCGCACCGACCCTCGCGCTCTCCAGGCTTCAGGAAGCTCTGCGCAACCCTCGGGAGACTGGCTCCGAGGGTTGCGCAGAGCTGCCTGTAGTCCCGGGCTCAGCGCAGCTCTGCGCGGCCACCGGGAGCCGAGCGCGAAGTCCCGCCCGGCTCCCGATGGCCGCACAGAGCTGCCTGCAGTCCCGGGATTAGCGCACTTCTCCCCATTGCCAGCCCCACAAGCTCGGGGGACAGCGGGGAGGCAGAGCGCGCCTTCCCGCTGTTCCCCGACCTGGTTCTTCCAGCCCCGCACCTGGGGGGGGAAATAAAATTTTTTTTCTTTATTTCCCCCCCAAAAAACTAGGTGCGTCCTATGGGCCGGAGCGTCCTATGGGGCGCAAAATACGGTATTTGCAGTTCAGTCTTATGCAGTTAGGTTGTGGCCCATCCCATTACACAAACTTAGGTACTTTCTTCATCAGCAATTATTAGTACATTCAGAAAGAGCTGAGGAACGTTTAGATCAGTGGTTGCAAAACTATCCCCCACCCCCAACAACTTGAAAATTGCTGCATTTTTTGGAACCACTGATCTAAATATTCTGAATATTGAAAGAAATAAAATAAACAAAAACATCCATAAATTACTGTATTTTGCGCCCCATAGGATGCTCCGGCCCATAGGACGCACCTAGTTTTTTGGGGGGGAAATAAAGAAAAAAAAATTTATTTCCCCCCCCCCAGGTGCGGGGCTGGAAGAACCAGGTCGGGGAACAGCAGGAAGGCGCGCTCTGCCTCCCCGCTGTCCCCCGAGCTTGTGGGGCTGGCGATGGGGAGAAGTGCGCTGATCCCAGGACTGCAGGCAGCTCTGCGCGGCCATCGGGAGCGGGGCGGGACTTCGCGCCCGGCTCCCGGTGGCCGCTCAGAGCTGCGCTGATCCCGGGACTGCAGGCAGCTCTGCGCGGCCATCTGGAGCGGGGCGGGACTTCGCGCCCGGCTCCCGGTGGCCACGCAGAGCTGCGCTGAGCCGGGGAGTGCAGGCAGCTCTGCGCGGCCATCGGGAGCGGGGCGGGACTTCGCGCCCGGCTCCCGGTGGCCGTGCAGAGCTGCGCTGAACCGGGGACTGCAGGCAGCTCTGCGCGGCCATCGGGAGCGGGGCGGGACTTCGCGCCCGGCTCCCGGTGGCCGTGCAGAGCTGCGCTGAACCGGGGACGGCAGGCAGCTCTGCGCGGCCATCCGGAGCGGGGCGGGACTTCACGCCCAGCTCCCGATGGCCGCGCAGACCTGCGCTGATCCCAGGACTGCAGGCAGCTCTGCACAACCCTCGGAGCCGGTCTCCCGAGGGTTGCGCAGAGCTTCCTGAAGCCTGGAGAGCGAGAGGGGTCGGTGCGCACCGACCCCTCTCACTCTCCAGGCTTCAGCGAAAGCCTGCATTCACCCCATAGGACGCACACACATTTCCCCTTCATTTCTGGAGGGGAAAAAGTGCGTCCTATAGGGCGAAAAATACGGTAAAAATCAGCAGGAGCATTTTAATGCTATGGATGTGTCTGTAAGTGTTGAACAAAGTTCTCTGATTTGTCATCTTGAGGATTCATCATTCATCCTGCTGCTGCCCACGTATCAACTCTCCACTCCTTTCAAGTGCCTTGTCAGTCTTGCTTTATTCCTCCTAGGAAGGAAAAATCTCCACACCCTCATCATTTCTGGTCGGTCTTGCCCACCTTCTAGACAGACAGCCAGGTTCCAAGAATGATGGAGCACCTGCTGCACCCACCTTTTTCACATGTGCATCCACCTTTCTTCACACACACGTAACTATGCTGTTCCTCAGGGCTGCCACCGCAAATCACTTAAATGGAGCTCACAGAACACACTTTGGGGACCCACACCTGACATAGAGTCTACAAATTGGAGGTGCAGACAAATCTTTCTGAGGAGCTTACAGTACAAGATGCTTATATGGGGCTGACTCTGAAGGAAGTGTGCATAGAACTGTAGACTTAGTCAATTAATTACCGGTATATGAGTTCTAATAACTTTAAATCAATTAAATCTTAATAAGTATGCAGACAAAACACACACCCACACCCCAAAACCATTTTTTTAATAGAAGAAATTTGTGCACACATATGGTATTGAGTCTAAGCTTTTTTCCAAGGCTTTTTTGGTGACAAATCTCACTGGGATGGAGTATTGGCACTTGTTTTATTTTGCTACCCAGGGCAGCTATTTTGTGCTGATACCCATGACACTTTTATCAATATACGAGTACTGGCACTTCATTTTATTTTATTTTGTCAAAAGAGCACTGCCTATGTCCGTTGCCCTACTCTGGATTTACACCTGGAGCAGTACTGGGCTCAAAGTATCATGGGCTCTTCTTTCAGATCTCCCTTATCTTTCAGGACTGGCTCAAAAACATACCTTGGCAGTGGCGGAGGAAGGGGCTGCAATATGGGTGGTCTGCCCCAGGTCTCACCACTGAGGGTGATGACAAAATGCTGGGTAGCACTCACCGCAGGGCCTGCAGCGCACCCATGCCACGCATCTCTCCTGGGAGAGACGCGGTGGTTTGGGCGCGCACAGGCTCCGCGCTGCCCAGTCTGCCCACTGCCTCCCCCTCAGCTGCAGGGCAGCTGGGTGGGAGGAGGCAGGCAGACTCCTTGGAGGCCCCGCAGAGCGTCCTGCCCTGGCTGGCCCCGCCCCCACAGGCAGCTGGCCCCGCCCCTGGGTGCTGCCCAGGTGCCTGATCAGCTTGCCCCACCGCTGTACCTTGGTGTAGGAACTGAAAGGTTGCTCGTGGTTGGCCAACAAGAATTCCTAGGGCAATGGTGTGAATGTCAGCTTCTTCCAACTCTGCAATTCCATGATTCTATGTTTGTATCCAGTAATTGAGAAGGATATTATTGTTGCTCATTACAGTGGTGCTCTGGCTACTTAAAATACCTCTACGTCAAATCTGCCTAAGTACCACTAGCTGATGCATTAGCCGTACTGTATCTATATTCTCAATAGCTTGTGCTTAACATACTGAACACCACTGCCCAGATTCTATATAGCTTTTAAAGGTGTTTTCCAGAAACACACAGTTTCAGAACAAAGGGTTATTTCAAACCACAGACTTCAGGCTAGTGGGATATACTTCATTTTTTCCAGAAATCTGAGATTCGCCAATGAATGTCAGGTGCAAAAGTCATGCACTTAAATAATGATAAGGCCAGGAATTTGGAGTTTTCTCAGCACCAGTCTTGAATGAACTCAGTATCCTTCTACACAAAAATCCACATGGAACAGACTTTTGAAAACTATCATCCAAGTTACAGAAGAACTGCTGGTAGAAAAACAGATTTGGGCAAGATGTCAGAAGCATCACAGTTAAAAGCTTCAAGTCCAGAAGGGCAGCATAATTTGCTGCCAATTTCCTCTTACAAAGTGATCTAACCTAAGTAAATCCCATTTAATTGACACCAATTGGCTTGGGAAGGAACTTCACAGGCCAGGTGCAGGAGGGAGGGCATTCATAGCTCAGATTTCATTAATAGTAACTCAAATGCACAAACTCTTTCGAGATGTATGCCAGATTCTGCCACAAGCAAGCTTGCTTGCAAGGGGTGTGCACGTCTGTCCTCTTCTTTATAATGTAATAAATGAGTCAGTTGCCCCTTTCCAGTATATATTGAGGAATCCACTCTCAGGGAACTCACTTCCTATATCCCAGGAATGCCCTCAGATGGGATTTCTGCAACAACCCCACATAATCCAAGGATCCCTCTGCATTTCTGGAATAGTGTGCTCTCTTTAAAAATAGAACATCGGCCAGGAGCATCGTGGAAAGGGAAGGAATTTCACCAGAATGAGATCTGAGGGTCTCTTTCGACAAGCATTCCCTGCAGGGAGCCGGCACTCCTCGCATGACAGTGCGCACCACAGCCGCCCCATTTACCGAAGTGCTTGGGAGGGTGGGGGCAGGCGCGACATCTGGCTTGCGCTTTAAGTGGAAAGGGATGAGGATGCACAATCGCTTAGGGCCGACCAGTCAATCAAACCCTCGCGCTTACCTGCTCCTGCGAGATCAACGAGGCCTGCAAAAGGGGTGGGAAACTGTCTCTGCCGGGCTCCCCACCTTGGGATCATAGCATGGAAGGGGCGCCATGGAGCCTCTGGTCCTTCGCCTCCCCCGCATGCAACCGGGTGGGTGGGGTAGGATGTGTCGCCGCCTCTTCTCCCACCACCCTTTACCCTGGCAAGGTGAACGCAGCCAGGCAAGGAGGAGCTCTCCTCCTCTCCCCTCGCCCCAGTGGCCCGTCTGCCCAGGAGATGGAGAGCGGCGCGGGGGGCGCAGGGCACGTCCGCTTCAGCGACGAACGGCTGGGTCGCCGTCGAGATCCCTCCGCTTGGAGCTGCTCATCGCCGCAGTCAGCGGGTCTCGGCATAGCTCGGTTGCAGCAGGCGCGACGGCTGGGGCGCTGCTGCTCCCTCTTTTCCCGACGGGTGAAGCCATCAACCCTCAGGCTTCGGCGCTGGGTGGGAGAGGCTCAGGATCCCATCTCTTCCACCCACCCTTCCTATCACTGCATGCGCGCAGAGAAGCAAGCCACGATTCCCTCTCTGCGCGTCGAGGAAGAACCGGAGGAGAGGGGCGATCTCCCCCTCCCACTCTCCGTTCCTCCCTCTAGCTAAATGCAGGCAGCAGGGAAGGGGGCAGGCCTTTTGTGTTGCGAGGTAAAAAAAGGGGGGGGGAGAAAGAAGGCCGCCGCCCCTTGCGACCCTCCACCCTTTTCTGGCACGCATGCAATAGGAGAAAGCGCGCTCCTCTTGGCAGCCCACTGGGTTGCACCGCGATGAGGACGCCCCGCCCCGTCGGGGCTGCAAAGCGGCCCCAATAATAAAACAACTCTAATGCTAAGAATACTCTTGAAGCTCCTGCAGCCCGCGCTTGCTTTGGTGGCTTAATTCAGGAGGAGGGGAGAAGGGGGCGGGGCGCTGGGTCACGTGGTGCTAATCCCTCCCCCCTCCCTCTCGAAGGCTGCTGGTGGCTTTGGAGACCTTGGATCTCTTGAGACCAAGATGGCGGCGGCGGCGGCGGCGGCGGCGTCTTGTGGCGGCCACGGGGGTCGCTTTCTGGCGTCCGGGCTGTTCCGCAACCGGGTGGCCATCGTGACCGGCGGGGGCACCGGCATCGGCAAGGCCATCACCGCCGACCTGCTGCAGCTCGGTGGGCAAGGGGCGATCCGAAGGGGAAAGAACCAAAGGGAAGCCCCCGGCGACTCCCCCAAAATCGGGAGTGAACCAGGCTGGGTACCCTCGCTGCGCGCACGCATGCACGCATTCACACGTCCCCTCGGGAGGAAATAGCGGGTTGGTGGTAGACTTGGGCTGCCCCGTGTCTTCTCCTTCCTTGTTTTCAACAGGACTGGCAGGAATTCAACAGGTGTAGCCTCCCAGGGGCGTAGTCCGGGGGTTGCAGGCTGCCAAATTTTGCAGCACCTGAAGTTTTCAAACCATCTTCAGAGGCAGTCCTGCATATAACACATCGCAGTAATCTAACCTAGAGGTTCCTAGAGCAGTTAGGCTACCCTAGTCCAGATAGGGCCCCCGCTGGGTTACCAGCTAAAGCTGATGGAAGGCACTCCGTGCGACAGAGACCACCTGAGCCTCAAGCGACAGCAAAGGATCCAGAAATATTCACAGTATCCAAGCTGTGTACAGTACGTGCTTCTTCAGAGGGAGAGTAACCCCTACTGTGTCTTGATAAGCTAGTTGTTTTATATATATTTATAATGATTATATTTATATCCTATCTTTTATTCAAGGAGCTCAAGGTGGTGTACAAACTTTTCTCCCTTTGCATTTTATCCTTACAACAACCCTGTGAGGTAGGTTAGGCTGAGAGACAGTGACTGGCCGAAGGTCACCCAGCGATCTTCATGGCTGAGTGGGGATTTGAACCCTGGTCTCCCTGGTCCTATTCCAGCGCTCTAACTACTGCACCACACTGGCTCATCATTGCCTTTGGCCCCTGTCCTAGAGGATTAATGTCTCTTGTTAATCAGTGATATATAATGTCAAATCCAGGAAGGCAGATAATGAACTCTGATTCTCTAAGCTGCACTTGTAACTGATTGATAACTGAGCTGTATGGAAAGTGATTGGCAGTTTGAAAAAAAGCTGGCTATATCTGTGTGCTTTACATGGGTCACACCAGGGAATCAGGCCATGTCACTTGTGTGTTAAGTAGGGCAGGCATTAAAATACCAAACTAACTCATCTGCAGCTGAAGATTCTGTACCTCGTTTGTGGCTTTGAACGATGAATGAAGTCATGAACTAAGGGTGGGCAACTTTTTGCCATTGAATGTTGTTTTACTGAAACACACCACATTTTGATTAACACATGGTGTGTGTACATGCAAATTCTGAAGCCAAGCCACAAATGATAGACTTCTTCATTTGCTCATCGAATGAAATGTCCATAAAATGTCCATCATTTGTCCATTCTGGTATAATTCAGAATGTAATAGCATGCTTTTGGAAATACTAGAATGTACTTTCTGTTTTGGATAACCTCTGACTCTCCCTGTCATCATGGCGAACTGCAGATATTCTATTATTTGGACCTGCCACTCATTTATCGTAGGTGTTTTATCACTTTTCCAGTTTCTTGCAATTAAGATCCTGGCTGCTACTGTCATGTACATAAAAAGTGGTCTAACATCTTTTTTAATTTCTGGTGACGTTATACCTAGAAGGAAGGTTTCAGTTTTTTTCTTAAATGAGAACTTAAATAACTTTTTAAATTCATTATAGAAGTTATTCCAAAATTCCTTAATGGCTGTGCATTCCCACCACATGTGCATATATCTGCACTTCTAGGTCAAGAAGTGATGGTGGGCGTGGTTCTTTGTAATCAAAAGAGGTCTTGTTTCTGTTGTCGTTAGCACTACACTAATTTCATGTCTTATAATTCAAATTCTACCATTGGCTTAGGAAGTTTCTGTGAGATGGCTTTCCAGTTCAGTAGTGGGGGGGGGGGGTAACAATTTGCAAGCTTAAATAACAATTTATGGAAGCATTTCAGGTATCTGACTTTGCAGACTTCCAGAACTGCCAAAAATGCTTGACAATCCAGAAAGTCATGATTGAAGATGGTTATCACAGTCTGTGTACACTGCCATTTGTTAAGCAAGAACCCTTGTTGCTTCTACTAGAATGCAACCATGGGCATAGCCAGGATTTGGGGGGGGGGGCAGAACCATGTTATCTGTGACACAGTTGGTCAGTTTATTAAGTATTTTATTTATTTACTTGATTGGGGGACAGCTGCCCACCCCTGGCTATGCCTATGAATGCAAGACTATTAATGTCTAAAATGTATTTTCCCCCTCTTTTTTGACAGGTTGTAATGTAGTCATTGCCTCCCGCAAATTCGACAGATTGAAAGCTGCAGCGAACGAGCTAGCTGCCAAAATTCCATCCACAGTTTCTGCCCAGGTTACCCCTGTACAGTGCAACATTCGCAAAGAAGAGGAGGTAAAAACAAAATACTTTTGTGCTGTAGAGTGGACAACTAGTGTACTGGTTCACTGGAGAATACTTGCCTTGAGTGTATTACACACACACACACAAACACAACATTTGATTTATTATATTTCTGTGCCGCTCTTAATTCAAATGAATCCCAAAGCAGCTGGTAGTTCACAGTATTTTTCAAAGAGGTTGTTGTAAGAGTAATACTCTGTGATGGGAAAAGATTTACATCTTGCTGCATAATTGTCTTTAATGTTGTACGTCACTAATAACAGCCTCCTTTGCCAATGTTGAAATGACTTCTGAAGAATGTAGATTTTGCAGGCATTGAGAAATGTACACATGTGGGTGCTTGCATCTGGAGATTGGATCTAGACGCCAGCCACTTGGACTTAAACAGTGCCTCTGGATTATTCCAAAGAAAAGGGGGAAAGGCCACTTATTTTTGGTGACTTTGTTTTATAAGGAAAACATGTAACCTGGCTGTTGCTTTGACTAAGAAATTGTTGCTTTCCCCAAATCATTGTAGTTTTTTATTTCGTGTAGCTTAGAAGAGTCACCCAGTCTGATTATGAAAGTGGTAACACCCAGTTGTTTATGTTGTTAAGGTGTGTTGCTGGTTCTACTTTTAAAAAATAATTGGGGAAGGGCTTTGTAAAAGAGCAGTGGGAAGGGGAAAGTTAATGTTCCTTTTCACTAACTCTAAAGCATTTTTTTGTGCATCTACTATCCTTTGTCACTATGAACCATTTAATTATTCAGACTGCAATGCACTATCTGGGTCTGTTCGAAACCTCAAGTGTATCTGGAATTATTTGTCTCACATTCATGAATAAACTTTTAAGATTCGGCGTTTGTCATAATTTACTTTCTTTTTGCATATGCTTCTTGGTTTCCTAATCCGTGGGTGGTGGTCACTATTTCTCCTGGTAATCCTTCAAAGCCCTTCCTGTTTGTAACCTGTCTTTTGGAGCTGGAGGAAGACATTTTCTCTGGGGGTTTTTTTGAGAGTTGAAGGCAGTAGGGTTGCAGATGCTTGTTTCTTTTGTCATGGTATTGCGGGGTTTCCCAAACTTGGGTCTCCAGCCGTTTTTGAACTACAACTCTCATCATCCTTAGCTAGCAGGGCCAGTGGCCAGGGATTATGGGAATTGTAGTCCAAAAACAGCCGGAGACCCAAATTTGGTAGTGTTTCAAAAATTACTAGATATTATAAGCAGTGCCATAGCTACTGGGGGGCTAGCCAGGTTTTTTTGCCCCAGGTGAACGCTCCAAAGGGGTGCCATTGAGGCTCCCAGCCTGTGTGTGTGTGTATGCAAATGTGTGGAGTGCGTGTGCTAGTGTGGTGTAATGGTTAAGAGTGGTGGACTCGTAATCTGGTGAACTGGGTTCGTGTCCCCGCTCTTCCACATGCAGCTGCTGGGTGACCTTGGGCTAGTCATACTTCTCTGAAGTCTCTCAGCCTCACTCACCTCACAGAGTGTTTGTTGTGGGGGAGGAAGGGAAAGGAGAATGTTAGCCGCTTTGAGACTCCTAAGGGTAGTGATAAAGCGGGATATCAAATCCAAACTCTAAACTGCATCTTTGACCTGGGTTTTCACCCCTGTTTCAGCTCCTTGGGAAAGCATGTGTGCTTTGCATGCAAATCAAATATCTTTAATACGGTCAATGACCAGCAAGGCTTTTGCTTTGCATGCAAAAGATCCCATGTTCAATCTCCAACATCTTCAGCTTAGGCTGGGAAAGACTTGCAGTCCTGCAGATTCATGACCAGTCAGCTGTAGGCATTGAATTTTTATTTTGATTATATATTTTGTGGTTTTATATTTTGATTTTGTTCGGTGAACGGCCCTGATACCTCCAGGTATAGGGCGGTATATAAATTCAATAAACAAAAACAGCAACTTTGTATAAGGAAGCCAGCTATGCTCTATGATTAATCAACGGTGTTAGAGCTGTCATATCACTTTCAAATTCTGCTTTTTCAATAGTAGTAGTAGTAGTAATAATAATAATAATAATAATAATAGAACCACCTATTGTCAGTCTTCTGCCTTCATCTCCAAATAGTGTTCCTGCTATGAAAAATAGCCCTTCCTTGGTTCTATTTTAGTTCATTCTGCCTAAACCACTGCTTTCTCTTTCCATTTATTTCATAACTGGGCTTATGGAGTGGCTGTTTCCCTGATCAGCAAAAGGAGATTCACGTAAAACATCTAGGGAATAATTTATTGAATGCGAGTTTCAGAGTCTTCATCTTTATCCTCAGGGGCCTCCTTGCTTTCTTTTTCATAAATAATTCTGCTTATTGGCACAGGGCTCCTGAATGCTGTGCAGTCTGCCAGTTTCCTTTGTTAAGAATACAGTGGTGCTGCATTGTACCCTCTGTGTCTCTTGGCTGTTCTACATCCTGTAGCCACCAGTCCTACCAGGCTTGATTGTCTCTCCTGACATAAAGAACATAAAGCTATTGAATGCTGTCATGTGGAAAGATGACCTCAGTTCTCTTTTCTCTCCAGCCCACCCCACACTCAGCACCAGGAGATTGTATCTGGGTTGTGATAAGATGGCAGTGATGAGATGAGCTCCCTGTGATTATTTAATTGAACAGCCTTCCATCTCATACTTGCTGCTTTTAGAGGAGTCGTTGGAACTAAAGGCCTTCAGACCAAAATCTATAGATAATGTTAGCTACTGGTAGTGATGAAGCCATAGATTTCATAAGAAAACTCTTGGATCGGATACCAAATGCTTAGTATTCTGTTTCCAATAGTGGCCAGCTAAATACTTTTGGGAAGCTTGCAAACAAGCTACGAAGGTAGCAGCCCTTTCCTGTTTGTCTCCAACATCTGGTATTAGAAGTGGTTTCACTTAGGTATCGTATCTATTAGGTATGAGGTTGATAGTCTTTGGTGGCTGGGGAAGCCCAGCCAGATGGGTGGGGTATAAATATTAATGATTAGCTATGATTATGATTAGCTATAAGATCACAAAACTAGTGAAAGCATGGTGTTATTACATGTATTATTATAAAATTACTTGTGAAGTATGGAAAGAAAACACCATGCTTTCACTAGTTTAGTGATCTTATAGCTAATCATAATTAAATATCAAATTCTGCATATAAATTATTACTTTCATCTGGTTTAAATTGCTTCAGTTTAATAACATTTCCTTTTGAAGAGGGTGCTGCTTCAACAGTGTACAAAGTCTGGTTATATACATTGTTACAAGTCTCCAAAAACCCTGAAACAATAGCTTCCTCTCAGAGTGGAAGGGAGGTCTGTTCATAAGTTTGACGTCTGAATCTAGTAATAGTTCTTTATTCCCAATGGAATAAAGGTGTTGAAGGGTGCAGGACTGCAGCCCATGATGCTCTCTGAAATACTCCTTTTTTTTGCTAATGGGGGAAGCTTGAGTGATACTCTCTGGGCGATTTTTCTTCTTAAACAAAGCAATTTAGGCTGCAAGCCTAAACAAACTTACACAGGAGTAACTCTCATTGAGCTCGGTGAGGCTTCCTTCTGAGTGGTCATGTGAAGGATTACACTGCTCATGGTTTCATAGTCAAACATTTACTGAAGGGTCTTAACCATTAATATGGCTCTCCATATTGAGCATGCAGTGCTTGCATAATTCCTTAATACTCTGTAAACAGCCCAGCCTTTTATCTGTACTCATTCGGTGGCTATGAGTGGCTTTGCAGTATAATGTGATTGGACTCTGCTGCCTGGGAGTGTATGTGTGTGGATTTAAAGGTTTCTTGTAGCATGTTCTCTGAAGAGGCTGGATTTTCTTCTAAATGCATTGTCAAATCAGGGTTTTGTAATTGGTTGACTATCCAGACTGGTGCTAGGAAATGCATTCAGCTGTAGCTAATCATAATTAAATATCAAATCCTGTGTATGAGTTGCTGCATTCTTGTCTAGTGCTTGAGGGTTATCTCCATAAATATTCCGTTGAGTGATCTACTTTTTTCATGTGCTACTTTATGGACTTGCCCTTTTGTATTTCTTGATTCCTCATTTTCCAACTGGAGTTAATTGCTGTTCTTACTTAATAGGGCTCTGATATTTGTTCTGTTACTCACCTATACTGATTTTTCTCTGGCTTCTCCATATACCTGGAATGTGTTATATGCTAATATGCAGCCTATTTATTGCCTTTCTTAATACAAACTCCTGAACACACTCTTACCCCTTCCCTGCTGCCCCCTTACGGCCTCTTTTAATATAAGTAAAAAAAAAGCCATTTTAAAATTTACTAGTACATAAGGTTCTTCCTCATCTCATTGTCTAAAGATCTCAAAGCTGTGTACAAAACTACAACCTAAAAAAATTGAAACGGTATCATAAAACAGACATACAACAAAATCAGTAAAACAGTATGATTAAAAAAAGGAATTATGTAATATCAGGATCCAGTCTTATGGACTAGGCAAAACATATGCATTTACAAGTAATCTGAAACATCTGATGGATAATGCTTCACATATGGCAGATGGTAGGGAATTCCACAGTACAGAGATGATTATAGAAAAAGACAGTTTTGGGGTCACCACCCTGTGATATATTCTGTAGAGTATGTTTCCATGATTATCATTTCCTCAAATGATATACCAAAATGAAACATTTTAGTAATATATGGCTCTTGTTTTTCTAGAAGAGTCGCACACAGTTTCTTGTCAACTTGAGCTAATTCAGCTGTTTGTATTCAGATTCCCAGATTGCATGCCTCTTTTTAAAAGGAGTGCACAGGTATGAATGTATACCTATGATGTAACACCTGAAGCAGCCCTTAGCTGTGAGCTAGTTAGTCAAGGGTTTGTTCTGCAAATTGTCTCGTATTAGGCATCATTATAAACAAATATTACGCATTTATAAAACTTCTTCTTACAAAAATGTAAGGATTTTTTCTTGCATTTTTGCAAGACTGCTGGTCTGATTCTGCACAAAATCTATGCTGAAAGAATTGTACCTGCTGTACATGCCTTGCTAAATATTCAAGAATGGCATTTCGCTTTTCTTTGACGGGGTTGTATAGACTGTGACTCTGCCACTTCAGCAGAATGTTGCCATTACAGTGGTGCCCCGCAAGACGAATGCCTCGCAAGACGGAAAACCCGCTAGACGAAAGGGTTTTCCGTTTTGGAGGTGCTTCGCAAAACGAATTTTCTATGTGCTTGCTGCGCAAGACGAAAATGTCTTGCGAGTTCCTGCGGGGTTTTTCCCCCCCCTTTTTCCCAAGCCGCTAAACCGCTTATCAGCTGATGGCTAAGCCGCTTAACAGCTGATGCTAAGCTGCTTATCAGCTGATCGTTAAGCCGCTTATCAGCTTATCGTTAAGCCGCTTATCAGCTGATCGTTAAGCCGCTTATCAGCTTATCGTTAAGCCGCTTATCAGCTGATTCACTAAGCCCGCTAAGCCGCTAATACAGTACTGTAGCACTAATCCGCTAATGGGCTTGCTTCGCAAGACGAAAAAACCCGCAAGACGAAGAGACTCGCGGAACGGATTCTTTTCGTCTTGCGAGGCACCACTGTACTTGTTTTGGGTAGCTGAGGATGCTGCTGGATTAGCATTTTTTCCATCTTCTGCTTGGCAGGGATCCAGGCCCCTTGGATCCTTGTGAAGACCATTGGCACAGATAGCGGAAAGGGGACACACAAACTGATTGGATGGGAAGAATAACTTCTGTGTAGCAACGCATTATTCTTTAAAGCACAAATATGTTTGCATTAAGGCAAGAAAGCAGCCTTATTTTTAATCCTCAATTTTTAAGAGCTTTTGCCAAATGCTCTGAAGGTCAGAGGTGAATTTGAAACTCGGGACACAGGTGGAGAGGTGGGAAGAAAACTGGTGCTATTGGATTAAGAGGAGAATGAAATCACTTTTTCAAATCTGCCCTAAAAAGAACTTTTCAATGGAGTTGAAAAGGGAAGAGCAACGTGGAAGTTGGTCCATTAGAGCAAATGGGGCGCTGTCCTACCACCTTAGAGTGCCATCAGTCAGCCCCCACCTGCATGCTTTCTTACTTACTGCTGGGCTTTAGTTTCATCTTCTGATGGGAATTGTAGTTTAAAACATCTACAGGGCACAAGTTGAGCAAGGATGGTCTAAAATCTCAGAAATGCTCACCCAGCTTCTCTCTGAACTCTGCTCTTCTATCTGTGCCAAGTGGGCCTTGCTTCCATTCTTTGGGAATGCATTAATTTGCATGCTGCTGTTTTCATTCATAAAATACAACAGATTGGTTGTCCTCCCTTGGTGACCTTGGGACTAGCAAGACCTGTTTGCTGGCAAAATACTGTTTCACACACGACTTAAATAGACTATTAAAGGCTGCTTGTTCATTCTATCAGTGCTGCCGCTGCACCATAAAGTCTCTATCTACTTAACTAAGGTTTAGGTACATTTGAGGATGCATGTTTACTACTTCCAGTATTAGATATAAAAGAACTATTCTAATATCCTTTATTGCAGAAAAGCTCTTTTTATTCATTCTTTGCAGTATTATGCATGGCATTGTTAGGAATGTCATTTCATGTTGTGTTTGACAAGATGCTCATGTCAGTCAGCTGTTAGGTAAAGTAAAGGTAAAGGTACCCCTGCCCGTACGGGCCAGTCTTGGCATACTCTAGGGTTGTGCGCTCATCTCACGCTAGAGGCCGGGAGCCAGCGCTGTCCGCAGACACTTCCGGGCCACGTGGCCAGCGTGACAAGCTGCACCTGGCGAGCCAGCGCAGCACACGGAACGCCGTTTACCTTCCCGCTGGTAAGCGGTCCCTATTTATCTACTTGCACCCGGAGGTGCTTTCGAACTGCTAGGTTGGCAGGCGCTGGGACCGAACGACAGGAGCGCACCCCGCCACGGGGATTCGAACCGCCGACCATGCGATCGGCAAGTCCTAGGCGATGAGGTTTTACCCACAGCGCCACCCGCATCCCACCCAGTCAGCTGTTACTATATGTTAAATTTTGTAGCATCATGAAAGTTCTCTGAGACATTCTATAATCTAGATCTAAAAGTCTATTTTTAGGAGGTTCCAGTGGACATGAGACCTCTGGCTGCAATGTTGTGATTTCTTTAGTGTTCACACTGTTTTACCAGCCCCTAACCTTCTTTTTGCAAGAGAAATATACAACATATACAAAATACAAAAAGAAACCACTACAAAACAACCAATTGTTTTTATTCGGGGCAAGCTTGAGTGATTAATGTAGAAATGACTAACGCTAAAAGGCTACAGTGTGCAGACTTATCATTCAACTTTTTTTACTATTGGTAGGTAGAGGCACTGGTGAAATCAACATTGGACCTTCATGGGAGGATAGATTTCCTGGTCAACAATGGGGGAGGCCAGTTTCCTAGCCCAGCAGAAGCAATTAGTTCAAAAGGCTGGAATGCTGTGGTTGAAACTAATTTGACTGGGACCTTCTACTGCTGTAAAGCAGGTGAGCACTTGGTGTACACAGGAAATAAGTAACTAAGCCATCAGAAGAACTCTCTCTCTGCTTTCCCTGTATAGCAGTTCAGTCTCTTTATCACTGCCATGGCATGTTCTTGCTCTGCTGTCCCCAGTTAGCAGTGACAACTTGGTCTGGAGTCCTTTAATAACCTGCTGAGCCCAGGAAGAACCCCAGACTAAGTTGTCACTGCTAACTAGGTTTGGTTGAAAGTTGGGTTGCCAGGTCTGTTGAAGCTCAGACCCTGAGATGCAAGGAGGAGAGGTTGGGGGCTAAGAGAGTCTGGATGCTGCCTTAGGTTGGAGGTTGACAGACATGGGGCAGTGGTAGCAGGATGAAGCCTCGAGTACCAATGATACAATAGCCTGCTGCCTTGATTTTTGGTCCTCAATCTGAAATTCTGTTTTTGTAGAATCTTAGAGTTGGAAGGGACCCAAGAGTCATCTAGTCCAACCCCCTCTCAACTCGTTTCCCCCTTCAAACCCTGGGAAGAAGGCTGAAATCTGACACCCCAGGTCAAACCATGAGACCTGACAAGTAGTTTCTCCCCCTGACTAATTTACAACTAGAGGTGGAAGAAGCAAGGGTATTCTTTGACAATTTTTTTCCATGTCTGCAGATACCTACTGACTAGATGATAGATTTACATTTGAACACTGATGCTGTTTTTGGCACTAAGAAATAGTGGGTGACAGGTGAGGCAGCAGGATCTTCCTTAAGGCTCCAGAGCAGTTTTTTCTAGAAGGAAAGGAGGTGGGGGCTGGAGCAAACACTGGATTGTCCAAAAGTGCTGCCAGTTCTAGTTCTCCATACTTGCCTAGAAACATCATGCCTGGGTCATCAGGCCTAACTAGTTGGAGCCATTTTCTTAGGAAGTAGTAGACGAATTGGTAGCAGGATGGACAGGTATCCTTCAGGAAGCTGCCTCACACTGAGTCAGACTTGGTGCAGCTAGTCTTGCCTGCACAATGACTAGCAATGACTTTCCAGGATTTCACAAAGGAGACTTTCCCAGCCCTTTCTGGAAATGCCAAGGTTTGAACCTGAAACCTTCATGCAACAGATGCGCTGTCCCACTGAGCTGTGGTTTTGTGTTATACAGTACAGATAAATATCAATAGAGTTATAAGGTGTGCATTCAGTTGTGATTCTCAGGTGAATATTTGGGTTTAATGTCATTGCTGCTTCCACCTCTGAGCAACTGGTTTTGTCAAGTTTTCTAAGGCTATGGAAATAAGGCTTGAGACAGATTTCATTCCACTCATGTGTTTACTGTAATCTTTGTACACCATTTATCTGGCAATGTAAAAGCCTTCACGACCATTCTTCTGTGTCTACCCAGTGTACAATGCTTGGATGCAGCATCACGGAGGTGCTATTGTCAACATCGTGGCTGATATGTGGAAAGGGTTTCCTGGCATGTCGTAAGTCTGCTATCCGTATACGATACACAGTCCACTTGCTTTCACTTAAACTGCTGTCCCTCTGAGTAGTCGTGTGCATTTGAATGGTAAAACAAGATGGAACAGCAGATTCCCAATATTTAACATGCACATTCCTTGAGATTCCATTTTAACAGAAGTCTTTGAGGAATTTGGGACTAAATTGCCGGTGCTTATGATCCTCATTTATTGTCACCTGCAAGGCTTTCCTGAGAATGCTCTTGAACAAAAAGTGGAATGCAGGAAGCAGTCACAGACAAGAAGAGGCTGCATTTTTCTTAGGCCAACTGGAAAGCAGAGTCCCTCTGCTGGGACAGTGCAATGAGTCTAGCTGAGGTCTGCCTATATAGCTGTGCATCTTTGCACATGCCTGTTTGTAATCCGCCATCTTACTGGGTTGCCCCAGCCACTCTGGGTGGCTTCCAACAAAGATAAAAGCATAATAAAACATTGAACATTAAACACTTCCCTATACAGGGCTGCGGGTGGCGCTGTGGGTAAAACCTCAGTGCCTAGGGCTTGCCGATCGCATGGTCGGCGGTTCGAATCCCCGTGGCAGGGTGAGCTCCCGTCTTTCGGTCCCAGCTCCTGCCCACCTAGCAGTTCGAAAGCATCCTTAAGTGCAAGTAAATAAATAGGTACCGCTTTATAACGGGAAGGTAAACGGCATTTCCGTGTGCTGCGCTGGTGCTGGCTCGCCAGAGCAGCTTCGTCACACTGGCCACGTGACCCGGAAGTGTCTCCGGACAACGCTGGCCCTCGGCCTCTTAAGTGAGATGGGTGCACAACCCTAGAGTCGGACACGACTGGCCCGTACGGGCAGGGGTACCCTTTATACAGGGCTGCCTTCAGACAGCCCCAATGACATAACTTCTCATGCATTTTAGTTCAAGAGGACTTCTCTCATAAACATAGTGAAAGGACAGAGCACCATACCGACTTCTGTTTTTTTACTGGAAGTTGTTTCTGCAAAGTTCCTACAGAAGACTGAGATGTCTGGAAGCGCAAAGTACAATTTTATTAACAACCTTGCACCTCAGAAGTCTCAGTCTTCTGTAAGCCATGCTTTTTTCTCAGTCATTGCCTATACTTCTATAACTTGTTGTTTATAATTTGATGAGTCATACAGAATGCTATTAACATTGTGAGCTTTTCGTTGGGCTGGAATAATTGGACAAACACAAAATATTGAAATTTTTTTTTACTGCAGGCCTTCAGCCAGCCTTTGTTCATTGTTTGTGTTAGCATTGAGTTTGCAATTAAGCTTCTAGAATGTCAGATATTGCTAACTTGACTGCCCTGTTCTGCTGAGATTTGTTTTGGATTTGTTTGATTGGATGACTGCTTGTCGGAGTGTGAACCTAGTTAGGCTTGCTAGGTGTCGCTATAGTTACTTCAAAGCATCCAGTCTTGATGGAGCTGCCACATACCCCATGTCTATTTATTGATGGAAGATAATATTGCCCTTTTAAAATTTCCTTCCCTCACAGACACAGTGGTGCAGCAAGAGCCGCAGTCGATAACCTGACCAAAAGCCTAGCCATCGAGTGGGCCCGCAGTGGAGTGAGAATTAACTCTGTTTCCCCGGTAGGTGACAGAAACATGTGACCAGACCAGCTTTGGTGCCTGTAAGGGAAGAGTCAAATTAGTACAAATTTGTAAAATGATCATTTAGTTTGGTTTAGCTGAGATAGAATAAGATAATTTCCTACCAGCTGCGCATTTGGTCATAATTATTTGAGTCTATTAAGGGTTTTTGTAGTTAAACCTGCTAATAGCATCCAGGGTTTGGGATGGGTCTTAGGATATGGAAATGGAGGACGATTCTTTCTTTCTTTCTTTCTTTCTTTCTTTCTTTCTTTCTTTTACAAATTTATAAGCTGCTTCACAGACTGAAGCTGCCAAAGCAAACTACAACAGTATAGAAATGTGATAAAATGCAAGCTCCCAAAACAATTTCTATAGATATACAATGTGTCTTCCTTGAATGACTGGGTCACACTTCGGGGAAAGCTGTCTTAAGCAAAAATTACTTTGGTACATGCCTAAATATCATGATGCAACTCTTCACAGAGATTGAGTGGTTTATAAAAGATTCAAATAATAAGTGCCGTTAAGCCAAAAGGAGAGAGAACAATTTAGTTGCAAGGAATAGAAACTATGCTTTTTGGTCCGTGTGCTTGGTTGTTGTTTTTTTAAAAAAATATTTATTATCATTCTACCGCATCCTTCCTTCTGCAGGAGACCATTGGAAAGTACACATAATCAAGAAAATACAAATGGTTAAAAAAAGTTTTAAAACTGCCATGCAAACAATAATACCAATAAAACAATTTAAATACATTATACAGTGGATGAGGAATATTGGGCCGTCAGTCTCAGTTGCCATTAAAGTGGTTTTTCCTCAGGGTGAATCCTGCACTACACAAGAACAGAATGTTGTGTTGGGAATTGTGGCATATGCACAGCCCTATTTATTGAGGGAATTGTAAGCAAGTTAAAGAGCCAAGATTTTGAATAAGAGCTGGAATTTATTTTTATCCCCTTCCCCAATCATGTAGGTCTTAATGAGCACCTGCTTTTCAGTGTAGAGGGTTCAATGTTACTGTATTAAGCATTAATGGAGTCTTACTGTGAGTCTGTCCTTTTCTTCATAGGGAGTGATATTTTCAGAAACTGCTGTTGCACATTACAAAGATGGTGAAGAACTGTTTAAAAGCTATGTCCGAAAAATTCCTGCCAAGAGATTAGGACTTCCTGAAGAGGTATTACAGTATTTCAACCTAAAAGTTACCTTTTGGCACTGAGGGTCTTTCCGGATGATCAGTAGTGGCGCCCACCCTGTGGAACTCCCTCCCACCAGATGTCAAGGACATAAACAACTATCTGACTTTTAGAAGACATCTGAAGGCAGCCCTGTTTAGGGAAGTTTTTAATGTTTGATGTTTTATTGTGTTTTTAATATCCTGTTGGAAGCCTCCCAGAGTGGCTGGGGAGGCCTGGCAAGATGGGTGGGGTATATGTAATTATATATATATATATATATAGTGTCTCTGTGTGTGTGTGTGTGTGTGTGTGTGAGAGAGAGATTCCCCTCCCCCCTACACAACATTTACACTAAGTAGTGCAAATACCAGCCTTGCTGTGGGAGATGGTTTTCGGTGGTACTCCTGATCAACATGTGTGTGAACAGGGATAGGTCAGCAAGGGCCAAATACAGTCCTTCAGGCCTCTCATAGAATAACTAATGCATTAAGGGGAAATGGTGCTATTGCATTGGAAAGAGGAATTTCATGACACTGGAAAGAACACCCTAAATTTCAAAGAGTAAGATGTTGGAAGACGCATACAACTAATAAATATGTTCATACCAAAAATTTTTATTGAAGTACTCTTTAAAAGGCAAGCTATGTGCCTGGCATTGTATAAACCTAAAATAGGTATCCTGATTATGCTATAATTATGTTGTATGTACCATTCACTCCACAGTAGCAAACACCACATTGCGAGCCTGCTGGTTGAACTTGCAGAACTTTTGAATGTGCAGTATATCATAGAACCTTGCCAGTTTTGAAGGTGATTTTTGAGTACTTTTAGAATGGATCGTTCCGCTGACATATCCAAGCCAGCAAAGCATTGAAATGATATAATATTTATGGACAGTAAAATACCAAGCATTTTCTTTTTGACTTGAACATTTTGTATTTAGTAATATATTCCTGTGGACCACTGGTCAGTAATCTTCTGTAATTGATCAGTAATGACTTCTGCTCTAAGAATCACCTTCAAATAGGGAGCTAACAGGAACCCTTTTCAGAAATGTGCATTCAATGGACGCAGGGCTGGTGGCACTGTTGTGGTAACTGGCTCTGTTTCCACCCTACATGCTTATCACTGTGCATTGGCACCATGCTTTTGACATACAAATGCATACGTTTGCACATGTGTAGGGCAGAATCTATACACTACTGCCTTGGTTGTGATGAATGCATGAAGCCTTGCCTGCATTTTTGAAAAGTGCTATGGCATGGCAGGCATTGAACACCTGTAATTCACATAAGTAAATGTCTCGAATCTTTATAAGGTATCTCCCTTGGTGTGTTTCCTGCTGTCTCCGGCTGCCTCTTTTATCACTGGAGAAACTGTGAAGGTTGATGGTGGGCAGAGCATATATAGTTCCCCATGGGAAGTACCAGGTAAAAAAACCTGCTTTTTAAAAACTACTTTCTAACAAGTAGCTTGTTCAGTTATATGCCCACCCAGGGCCTGTTTAGATCTCTTACACTCTTTTGTGGAAATCAACACTTCAGTTTTATCATAGTTTATTGTCAGCTTTGCAGTAGCTTGATAATTTAGTTGTGAGTCTTTTTAGGTCCAGCCTGGGATTGTAGAGTAATACAGCTCACTGTAACAAAAGGATTTCTATACTAGCCAGTCTTGGGCAAGTGGTGCTGGGAACCCTGAATGCTTTCCTCCCTAAACTATATGCTCAACAGCCTTAACTTAAAGGTTCTAGTCTTAACCCATGGCCGCCTTAACTCTCATGACATTGGAATGGGATTGGTAAAAACACTCTTGGGATTACCCGAACCTCAGTTATTGAATTGTCATTTAGCTGTCTTATAAACAAGAAGAAGCAACCTTTTTATAAAAATTTTTTGAAGGATTTTAATAGACAACAAGGGTATATACAATGTCTCTGTTCTCAGTTCATAGAGTCCTTTCTATAGGTCAGTTACATTTGGTGTGAGACACTGCTGTCATAGAGATTATGAGGTGGAAGAAGTGAATGGGGGAAGAAAGGGGGTAATGGTTTTCATTATTTTGACAAACAACCCTTTACTTAACAATGTCACATCTAGTTTTTCCCAGATCTTCATGTGCTGAATCCAAGGCTGACTAAAGATCTGTAGAAATATAGTTTGCCTTTTTGGTGTTTGGAAGATTTTTCAGCCGAAATGAACATAACTAATGCATGGTCCATAGCTTTTTCTCCTAGGATCTCTTCCTATACATGTTGGAAAGACAGTGCTGTAATTTGGATCACTGTAAATATGTAACATGATAATTTTTGGAAAGAATTCGATAAAAGGGTGTTTGGAGAGCATTTCCTTTAGCCCAGTCTTCCCCAACCTGGTATCACTATTTATTTTGGACTATAATTATCATTCACCATGCTGGTGGGGACTGATGGAAATTGTAGCCCAAAACAACGGAAGGGCACAAGGTCGGGAAAGAGTGCTTTACACTTACAGGAAGTTTTCTTTCTTTAAGAGAGCTGCTCATCGAGATCTAGCTGGGTTAAGGTGAGATGAAGCAGCCACTAGCTTTTGAAGGTAACTGTCTTATTGTATCCTTTCCCACAGATCATAATAGATGGCCACCTGCACCAGATGGAGATAATGCCAAAGCACTCAAGAAGATACTTTCAGGAAAAGCTTTGTCAAAGCTGTAAAACAAAAGAAATGGGGTTAGCCCCCTTCCATGCCTGTCAGTGGATAAATGCTGCCTTTCAGTAATTGACTGCAATCTTGAGGATCACAGCCCCACTGGGGTAACAAACTGTGCCTTAGTTTTCTTCTTATGATTCCTCTGAAGAAAGTCCTCCAGAACCATGTGCTGCTGCTGGCTTTGATGTAAAAGGGTAAATGCATCTCTCATGACCTCTGCTTTTGCAATTTGCACTCTAAGCTCCGCTCACTAAATCACGTACATATGCTGCATTAACAAGGTGCTGAAGTGAATTACGGTCCAAGTTCTGTAGCTTGCTATCATCATAGCCTTTCTGATTGCCATGCATTGATTACTCACTTCTGCCATAAGAGTCTTTGCCACAGCTCCCAGAGATGAGAGATGTTGGTGCACAATAAACTGGTGGTTTGTATCTATGTTCAAAGTTGTATTTTATCTTCAGTGGGAGTAGGAAGCATGGGTACTAACTGCCACTTGAAAACATCTTTAGGTAAAAAAGGTAAAGGTACCCCTGACCGTTAGGTCCAGTTGTGGATGACTCTGGGGTTGCGGCGCTCATCTTGCTTTATTGGCCGAGGAAGCCGGCGCACAGCTTCCAGGTCATGTGGCCAGCATGACTAAGCCGCTTCTGGTGAACCAGAGCAGCACCCGGAAACGCCATTTACCTTCTCACTGGAGTGGTACCTGTTTATCTTCTTGCACTTTGACGTGCTTTTGAACTGCTAGGTTGGCATCTTTAGCCTGTACTATACAGTGGTGCCTCGCAAGACGAAATTAATTCGTTCCGCGAGTTTTGTCGTCTTGCGATTTTTTTCTTCTTGCGAAGCACGGTGCCGGGAAAGTTTTGGAAAAGCTTCAAAAATCACCAAAGTCTTTAAAAACCTCAAAAAAGGCTACCACACCGTGTTCTATGAGTTGCTCCTCGAAGTCAAGTCGCAACTGTATTAACGGTGTTAAGAAAAAGGAAACAAACTTGCAAGACGTTTCCGTCTTGCGAAGCAAGCCCATAGGGAAAGTCGTCTTGCGAAGCAGCTCAAAAAACAAAAAACCCTTTCGTCCAGTGAGTTTTTTGTCTTGCGAGGCATTCGTCTTGCGAGGTACCACTGTACTTTAAAAGTTCAGAGATTCAGAAAGGGAAATGCCTTCATCTTGTACACATGGAGAAAACAATGGCAAAGCTTCATTTTGTTCGCATGTGTTACAAGATAGTTTATTTTTCTGAACTAGCACTGCTTGTCTTAGACAGCTTGATTTGCAAGCCTTCATATTGACTTAATTCTAGTGATTAGAGAAGTTGTCCAGAAACATTTCCCCCGCCACAAAGGAGCTGAAGAGGAGAGATGGCAGATGTAGAACTGAAATATGGATACTTCATTATCACTGCAATTACCAGAACCCAAGGGGAAGAAGAAAAATCATTAGAGCTATAAGGGGAAAGTGCATGTTAGCTGCAGTTCCTTGCTTTTAATGAATTGCATTTTATATATCTATTTTGCCAAATAAAAAAGAAAATTAGCAAAATGTTATCCTGCCAGAGTGTAATACTTTGAAGGGGTAGTTTCAAAGCCAAGTTACTGCACAAATTTAAATATTTAGTATCTAAACATTGGTTCTTGGGAGTCTTCACTTTCCTCTAGGCGGAAGTGTAGTAGCAAAAAAAGGAATGGAATATCCTTGTCTTCCCTGATAACAGTGCATCTTCTTTTCATAATTGACTGTTGTGACAATTAGGAAGTTTCCATCACCTTTTGCAAACACTGTTGAACAGCTGATATCTATCAGTTTACAAACAGTTTATGAACTGTCTTGTTATCAAGGAAATACTCATTTATTTGACCATCCACGTCACTTTTGAAGTTCACCTGCACGCCAATGATGCCTTTTGATCAACTCAGATGTGTACTACCCTTCACTGATAGACCAGATTTATAACCATAAAAGACAGTTAGTAGGTTACTGTATTTCTGGAAAACATAATTAACAGATTGCCTTGGTGTAGGGTGGCTGCATTTAATTTAATCTTTGCCGAGAACAAATATCAGCAACCTATTAAGGAACCCTTTAGTGACTCTTCTGTTATTTCCCTGCCTACTATGGCCCACAGTGTTTCAGGAAGGACTGGCTTGTTTGTCTTTCTTAAGCAGTCCAGAGAAGCTCCAAAAAGTGATAATGGGACCATTCATAATTGAAGACACGTGAGAGATCTTCACTTACACTCTTTGCTGATAAAGCCAGATGCTGGAAAACAAGATGTCTATGGGCTTACAAACTACCTTCACTCCATTTTTTGCTTTGCTCTCTTGAATGTATATTGTGAAACACTTTTCTTACTATGGACTTCAGAATATGTTGCCCAGCATTGACATCTTGACCCTAATGTCACTTTATTTCCTGTTTCATAGTGATGGAAGGTTTCTATCCTGGAAGTAATCATAGTTTAAACATTTGTTTTTGTTTTTATTTTTCCATCCTGGATTAGATGCTGTTCTTGTGTTTGACACTGTGGTTCCGTTTAACTTTCAAACAGTATTGTTCATTTCTGTACAATGGACCGGAAATCAACAATGCACAAAACACTTCCTTAAAAACAAACAATACAGAGAAACGCCATTTGTTATGTCTCCTTCACATGGGTTTATGCAAAGAAAACGTTTAACAGAAAGGTGTACCGGTACACATACACACACACACACACACACACACACATATATATATATATAACAGTATAAGGCTTACTAGCACTACCGCAAGTTCCCAGAATGGAAAAGACTGTGTTTCCAATTCCACCTAGTGACTAGCCAGAGTATTACATTTCACCTATTTATAGACAGCTTAATATTCAGAATTTCTGCACCTTGCCCATAAACGTGTTTAAAAAATAATACAGAAAACAAGAATGATAAAAAAAATTGGCTCCCCAATAAGCCAACTTTAAGCCATGCAAGTTCTATTGGCTTGTTGACCAGAGGAGGCTGCATGGCGACATCCCTCGCCAGCACAGCATTCCTGCACGCACGCGCTCTTCCCAGAGCAACGAGCGGCTGTCGGTGGGGATCGAACCCGCGATCCGAGGACAGGCAGAAAGGCAGGCAGGCGAGCACTGCCCCAAAGAGATCCACAAGGCGGTAGGGGAAACTGCGCATGCTCCTTCCGATAATCGCTTTTCGCGTCATCGGCCACTGTGTGGCGAGCGTCGCTCGCGAGGTACGGAGAGCTCCGGCTTGTCCACCACAGAGATAAGAATAGTAGAGAAGCCCATCATTAACGAGACGGAGAATTTCAGGGTTCGCACAAGGGAATGCCAGTGGGGTCGGAAGCGAGAGCTGCCCATAGAAATAGGATTTTGTAGGAGGTGAAGCTGAGGTGAGAAGCAGGGCTGAATTTCCACTCAAGGCTGCCTAATGCAAAACACCCTTCAGCTTAATCATTCATTTGCTTCCTCAAATCAACCTGTCGGGACAGCTCCAATATGCAGTCGCATGCAAAAGGATTGTTTTTAAAACTCTCATTACTAAAATAAATATATTTAACAATATATACAAAAAATCGCGACGTGAACAAGGAAGAGTATGACGTTCTGACTTTTCTACCTTGTTTGAGGAGAGCTCTAACTATATTAAAATTGTGGATTTCTCCATTGTTAGAGGGAGAAAACATTTACAATTAACCCGGAAATTTCTTCCTAGTAAACTCCAGTTTTACAAATATACGATCCAGATCAACTTTAGAACGGAAATGTCAGTTAACTTCTTTGAATCCTGCGACTTGCAGACTTGTGAGTCCCAATCAAGAAGGTTCTGTTTATAAGAGTTGCGTTTATCCTCAGTTGGTAGTTCTATGACACAAAGCATACGTATTTCGGCGGTGGATTTTTTATTTATTTTTATTTTACCATCTTAGAATCCCCAAGACGTCCAGCGCTACCGCTCTGCGCTCAGAGGAGATCATAGATGCCGGGTTTCCTTTTTATCCCCCCCACCCCGACCGGCAGTTGGACGCTATGGGAAGAGGGGGTGGGTGTCCTCAGACGTCACCGGAACTACAACTCCCATCATCCCTCATTATTGGCTAGGCAGTCATGGGGCTTGCTGGGAGTTGTAGTCCTACGACTTCAACGGGTTACAAAAGCTATCCTTTCTGGAGACTCTTTCTCCGAGCGCACTTCTTCGGGCCACCCGCGAGCCCCTTTCCGAATGAAGTCTCTGTAGGGGGACGCGGCTCTTTCCCTCCTTCGTGCCTTTTATTTATTGATTGATTTAGGCGCGACGTGCGTCATGACGTTGAGACGCGCCGTCTTGTGTGTGTGTGTGTGTGTGTACGTACGGGAGTCACGGGCTCCTGCGTGAGGGGAGGCGGAGCCTGAGGAGATCTTGAGGAGGAAAAAGAACAGGGGTTGCTTGTGAGGGGTGGGGGTGGGGGAAAGGTCTGCTCGAATAGGAGACGGGCACCGGGTTGGGGTGGTGGGGGCTCCTTGCGCGCTTCTTTCCCTTCCCCCTCCGGCCCCCGGGTAGCGCAGGGGAGAGTGAGGGGGGCCGCTGCCTCATTGGCCACTTCCACCTCTCCCCCCCGGCTCTTTCTGTGGGTCTGTCCCCCTCCCCCCGCATCGACGTGCTGCTTGCCCCCCTCCCTGCGGAGGGGGTGTTGCTGGGCCTGCTGTTCTCCCCCCCCCCTCCTCACTGATACCCGGCGAGGGGTGAGAGTGGGTCTGGCCTCAGCTGAAAGCCAGGATCCTGGACCCCTCCGGTGTTCGAGGCCTGGAGCTGCCGGCTTCTGGGGGGGAGGGAACCCTCCGCCTCCCCCCCCCACTTCCTCGTCTCTGCCCCACAGGTAAGTAGTGTGTGTGCGCGCGCGCGCGCGTTCATGTCGCCTGCTCTGGTGTCTGGCGAGGTGGGAAAAAGCCTCCTGCTCTTGGTGTAGGAGACCTCACCCCCCTTTGGACCTCATAGCCATGCATGTAACCTATATTTATTATATATGATACGTTAGCTTTATTTCTAGTGGGTCACTTTTCCTGGTTGCGGTTGTAATTGGCAAAAGCCAAGTACCGAAAGTCTATGGGGATTCGGGGTTTGGGAGGACCCTTGAATTGTCATTGAGGAAGAAAGGGGAGGAGTAAATTGTGGTTTCTTTCTATGCCATCCTGCGTGTGTGTCTACTCAAATGTAAGTCCCAATATCAAGAGTGTGGCTGGGATTTTGGCATGTGTGTGTGTGTGTGTGTGTGTTTGGAAAGGAGGTGAGGTTTGTGAGTTCTCTAAACCATAAGGCTTGGCGTAAGCGTACTTATTTGGGAATAAGTCACACTGTGTGTACATTTATCTGAGAATGGAAGAAGGTTTTTATATAGCATCTCTTTGCCCTGCTACCACACGTGCACACAAAGACACATCGAGCAGAGGAATCTGGTTTCAACTGCAGAGATGAGGTATGGAGAGAGAGGAAATAAGCAAGAATCCACAAGATACTTGCAAAAGAGCATCAGGTAAGAAGTAGGCCACAGTTTAACACTGTGGTTCAAAGAACAGGATGTCAGCACAGATTAGGGTTGATGTTAAAATGAGATATTGATTTACTAGAAGTATAAAACAGGGTTTTAATCCTGATTTGGGATTTTATGGAGAAGTTGGTGCAGTTTTGGTGGCCATGTTGGCTAATGACAAATTTCAGTGTGTAGTTGTGGAGTGTAGTTAGAGGTTATGGTCAAGTTGAGTGACTTCTGCTGACAAGGAATATTGGGTGAATGGGCTGTTTTTTATGTGTTGCGGCTTGTAACTTGTGCTACCCTATTAATGTCATTTTACTTGAGTTCTTGATGTTTTGAATTTATGAGAATTGCCTATCAGGTATTTTCAAGAGGGAAAGTGAACAAAGAGCTCCTTTTGCCCTGAGTTGTGAAGTGTGGAAATACATGCAAGGAATTTATCTAGCTTCCGTTCTTACTTTGCAAACAAATTCTTCATGGTTTGCCACAACATTGTTGATTAGAAGATCAAAGCTGAGAGATGCTGACCACAACTTAGTGATATTTGTGTTTCATGCTTATTTTCTGTTGAATGGCTAAAAAGGCTAGTGGAAGTTCACTTTTGGAATAATGAATTTTCATAGAATACTGTATCTGTGCTCTCTCCACTCACAAATCCCCCTGGAATTCCCCCACATTAACCCTTTAGAGCTTTTCATTCCTACTCCATGCAACTGTTAAGCTCACTTTTCATTTTCCCAACCTCATTTCAGAAGCCACCTCTCCTATTCTGCAACCTTGCTTTGAATGCCTGTTTTCACCTTCATCCCCACATCCATGCCTCCCTCTCTCTTTTTGTGCAACCCCTGCACACAGACCACCCCCATAGTAACCTCCTGTATCTTCCTCCTCCAAATACATTGCGTCCACTAACCATCCTTTTCACCTTCCATCCAGTTATGATGAAGCCACCATCCCCTCCTGGGAGAGCCTTTTATTCCTTTGCTTTCATCTTCATCCCAACTCCCATGCCACCTACTCCCTCCTTCTTTGCAACTTCCTCTGCCCCCATTTTCAACTTCACCCCTTTTTCTTACCTCCTCCTTCCTATTTTTTTCTAACTCTGCCTTGCACACAGACTACCCACCAATTCCATGCCTTCTCCTCTCTACTATTCTGTAGCCTCTTTTGCACATATACCCCATGCTGATATGCTACTATATTTTTAAGAGGAATAGAATTTTAAGAGCAAGTATGCTAGTTAGCTTGTGTTGATGGATGTTGTACATATATGGGTGTTTGCTTGTTAATAAAATATATTTTCTAAATTACTACGTTGAATCTGTAACTTCATGGGACCAGAAATACATGGGACCAGACAACACATGAGCAGAAATGCATTCTGTGAAGGTACTATTGAATATTTGAGGGCTCCACGTTTTTATCTCTTTCACATGAGGCAGATCTGAGGGAGATGCTTAAAACAACCCTTTCACTTTTCTCCCCTTCTTCCTGTACTCAAACAATGGCAGAAGTTTCAGTAAAGCAGGGGTGTAAGAACACTGAGGGTTGTTGTTGTTGTCTAAACCAATTTTAACAAGGAGAAATACAAGAGGTGGGTACAACACATAAGCTAATACCAAAAAGCTAACACAACAGAGCCTTCCCCAGCTCTTTTCTCACTCTACTCAAACTCTATTTTCAACTGCCACTCCCCCCTTCAGTGCTGCAAATTTGTGACTGTTAGTTGTGTGTTTTAATTTAGGAACAAAATTCAGTTTCATGATCATAACAAGCTGAAAGATGTTTCTGTCAGGGCAGAAGCATATAGGATAAACAACTTAGCAATGTTTTTGGGGGGAGGAAAAATAGTATTTTGATTCTTGCAATTCCTTGCCGTGTTAACATTACAATATTAAAACATTACAAAAAGGGTTGTCATTCAGACTATTTTCAGCCCAAGTAAATGCTGATGCAGACTTCCTCTAGAAACTGTAAAATTGTGAAATGATTTAATTATCACCTTGGTAGAAAATGACACTTATAAAATAACTCACAGAACACATTTAACTTGATGCCGAAAAGCAAAGAAGTGGTTAGCAACTGTAAAGTTTTTTGATGTTAAAAAAAGAGAGGTCTGTATAGCCAGAACCATTAAACCATTTATTAGCTGAACATTATTGCTCCCACCCTCTAGTACTCTGCATAACTTGCTACATTGGTTGGTATGTGAACTGAGCTATGTTCAAGGTATTGTAATTGACAGATAAAGGCTTGAACTACTCAGGGCCAGGTTACCTGAAAGAGCTGTTTGATCTCTTAGCTAATCAACCTGAATCCCTATTGGTGGTACTGGATCCTAAAGATTATTTTACGGCAGGGGTGGAGAATCTGCAGTCCATGGACCTATTCTGGGCCACCAAGCCTCTCAGTTTGGTCTTTGAGGTCATTTCAAGTGAACCCTGCCCAACTGTTCTACACATGATGTTATTTTGATGTCAGGTGTGGGGTATGTAAGGGAACGGTTTGGCCAAAAGCACCTTGGCATACACCGCCAGTTGGCAGTGCCAGCAATACCCCTATTTTACAATACAGTGGTACCTCATGTTACATACGCTTCAAGTTACATACGCTTCAGGTTACAGACTCCACTAACCCAGAAATAGTACCTCAGGTTAAGAACTTTGCTTCAGGATGAGAACAGAAATCGTGCTCCGGCGGCGCGGCGGCAGCAGGAGGCCCCATTGGCTAAAGTGGTGCTTCAGGTTAAGAACAGTTTCAGGTTACGTACGGACCTCCAGAACAAATTAAGTACTTAACCTGAGGTACCACTGTAGTTCCCAAGTTCCCAGCTACCAACTGGTTGTTGGGTGCTTGGTAGCTGCTGTACAGGGGCTTTGCCAGCCCTGTGTTTGGTGCTCAGGTGTCAAGCCTAGAGCTTGCAAAGACTTTGGGCTAAGCTTCCGGTTTTGGCACTTGACAGTCATCTGCTATCATTATGAAATCAGATGATTTATAGATGGATTGTCCCTCCCTTCTGTCATAGTTGACTTGCAGGAATGGAGGGTGATAAAGATTTGGCCTATTCAGCCAAAAAGGTTCCTCACCATTGTTGAGTGATGAATTGGGAGGGGGCATTTTGTACGCTTGCTCCTGCCATTTGGAAGGCCCTTCCCTGTTCAATCTATCAGTTATCTGCTTGAAGTCACACCTTGTTCAGGCCTTTCCTGTCCCCTAAGGCTGGACTCTGTCTCTTTGTATCTCTGTTACCTGTATGTTTATGATAGTGTTCTTGTGTTTTATTGTTTGTTTTTATTGATTATATACTGTCTTTTATTGTATATGTGTACTCCGCTTCAAATTTTTCTAACATTAAGCAGTCTATAATTTTTTTTCCAAATAAGATAAATAGTATGGGGCACTTTTTTCCTTACCTGTACCAAGAACAACTCTCACTGATAATCTCCATACAGCCTTGCCAGCTAAATAGTGTTGGTGTTATGAAATTCTTGGCTTGCGAAGAGAGTAATACTTAAAATAAAATAAACAGTTTCAGCTTAATGTGTGCAGTGCTGAAGACTACCCAAATCCATGAAAGTTTCTGCTTATCTTCAGTCTTAATTGTTTAGGCAGCAGACGGGTTTCAAAAGTGTTAGGAACAGAGGAATTTCATAATTCAACACACATGTTCTTTCTGACCTTAAAATATCCAGATGTTTCTGTTGTTCATTTCAGCCCATTTTTTTTAGTTTTCAAGATTTGTTTTTTGCAAGAGCAACCTGCAACACAATTTTGTAGTGTGGGGTGCTTCAGTACAACATCACGGCTATTCCATTCTCCCCTACCCACCCCAGTATATATGTATGCAGTGCCAGTATTCTATGGCTACCAAGCATATTCAGCCCCCATTGGGCTGTTCTGGAGATTAATTTCCTACTGATGGTTTCCCCTCTAAATATTTGTTTTTAATTTATGAAAACCTTGGGGTTCTTTCAAGCCTGGTGAAACCTCCTCCTCCTCCTCTGCACGGATAGTTCTGAAGGGCTGTCACTTAGCTAATTTTGATTGCTATTAGTCTGTACAAATGCAGTGTGGAGTATGGACTGGGACTGTTGCTGTTCAGGGTTCCAGCCACTCTGTCCCATTCTCCTCTCTGCCTCCCACAGGTCCCCCATCTAACAGTCAGTATTCTGAGCGGAGGTGGCAGACACACCTTTGTGCTAAATCCCAGATACGTTACAATCTTGGATTTCTGTGAACAGCTCTCACTTCTGTCCCTGGGGACACTTTAAAGTAGTTTATGTGTGTGAACGAGGAAGTGACCTATCAAGACAGTGAAATGGCCTTGTCTGTCCATTTTATATCTGTGTCTTTCTCTGGCCATTGCATTCCTGCTCCCACATAGTTTATAGTTGTTGTTTTTCATGACAGTCAGTCAGCATTTTGTGCCCAATGGATAGGTTTCAGAATTACCTAATTTGGTTTTCCAAATGGGATACCACCAGTAGGAAATAAAGCTCCAAAATTGTGTTGCAGGTTGCTCTTGCAAAAAACAAATGGTTTCCCATCTAAATAGATAGATACGAGTCCTGTAATCTTCAGGGTTAGCCAGTTTCTTCTTGTGCATGGGTAGTGGTGTTTCAGCTACTTTGTGTGAGTACAAAATACAGTGGTACCTCAGGTTAAGTACTTAATTTGTTCCGGAGGTCCGTTCTTAACCTGAAACTGTTCTTAACCTGAAGCACCACTTTAGCTAATGGGGCCTCCTGCTGCTGCCGTGCCGCCGGAGCACGATTTCTGTTCTCATCCTGAAGCAAAGTTCTTAACTCAAGGTACTATTTCTGGGTTAGCGGAGTCTGTAACCTGAAGCGTATGTAACCTGAAGCGTATGTAACCTGAGGTACCCCTGTACTTAAATATAGTTGATATGATGGGGAGAGAGATGGAGGTAGACAGAAACATACATATGCAAACCTGCTGAGAAAGTAAAATGTGGAGGTGCTGATCCTGTACATGCATGTAGCAGCTTCTTTGAATTGTGGCTTTAGTTGGTTCGGATAGGAATACATATATAAAACCAGACTTTCATTTGCATTTCAATCATCTATAACAGAAAGCTGTTGATATTCTGCATTGGTGTCTGGAGGCGGTAATGGGCAGGATAAGGGCTAATAAATTGAAACTTAATCTAGACAAGACAAAGGGGTTGTGGAATAGGGGTTCATCCTGTTCCAAATGGGACAGTACTCTGCTTGAAGAATCACGTTCACAATTTGGGTGGGTTGTGTGCTTCTGAACTCTGCTTTGTACCTGGGTGCTCAAAGAGCAGTTGTAGCCAGGAGTGCCTTTGTCCTGCTTAGCTGGTGTGACAGCTGTGTCCATTTCTACGAGGTCGGACCTGGTCATGGTGACCATGTAGACATAGTTGCATCCAGATTGGATTATTGAAGCATGCTCTGTGTGGGGCTACCTTTCCAAAGTTTTTTGAAACTAATTGGTCCAGTATGCTGGCTTATGGGATGATGTTACACGTGTCCTGCCAGGCTGCACTGACTACTGATTTGTTTCAAAGTATAAATCAAAGTGTTGGTGCCTTAAGACCAGGGACAGCCCCCTCCTGTATCTTCCTGCCCTCACCTTAAGATATTACTGAGATGCTCTTCTCTATGTCCCAACTGTAAGAACAGAAGGAAAGCCTGCCAAAGGCCCGTCTAGTTCAGCACCTTGTCACGGTGAGCTGCCTTGGAGAAACCCACAAACAGGACCCAAGGACAAGAGCACTCTCCCCTTCTGTGGTTTTTGGCCACTGGTATTCCATAGCATATTGCTTGTGACCACAGAGGTAAAGCATAGCCATTATGGCTAATAGCTACTTATCTTCCATGAATTTGTACAATCCTCTTCTAAAGCCATCCAAGTTGGTGCCCAGCTACAGTATGATGCAGGCATGGTTGCTAGGGTCTAGATAAACATCCTTCTCTGCAGCTACACCTAAATTTTTTAACACTTGGATGCTTCCCCCCTTTTTTTACAGTGTTTCACTATATGGCAAAAACCTTTTTGTTTAGGCAGGTATTGTTTTATCATTTGGGTAGACTAGTATCAATCTCTATTTTAGCTGCTACAACTTAGCTCTCTTTTAATTATATTGTGTTAATGTTTTAAAAAGAATTGTATTTCATTCTGGGTTTTAATTGTTAGCTGCTCTGAATGGTGCATAGGCGCCATTAGGGTGGGAAATTTATGTTTTATTGTATTTGTAAAATGTATCTGCTTTTCACTACTAGTAGGCCCAAAGTGTGTACAATGTCAATAAAACAACAAAATTCATAGTAATGTATCAATAAGACACACCAAGGTAAACACAATCAGCATATGCATGTAACAGTGTAGCAACCTACAATGATGTTTACTGTACACTTCCTGATTTAAGTTCGACAAATGAGCAAGTCCAGAGGATACCTGTCTTCCATAGCGTTTCATTTTATTGTTGAATCAATTTGATTTTGGGTAAATCTTAACTTGGTCTTCTAATGTTGGTGGGCATTGAATTTTCAACAAATCCTGTGAATTGTCTATTTCAGGCATTGATGGCATGTGATGGACTGTTAATACTGATTAGTTTCCTTGAATTTATTTTTTCTGCTGGTTCTGATTTTAATTTTTATGGGTGCATGCTTTTAGCGTTCTATGGATTTGCTCACTTTTCCTATGGTTTTAAACTTCATTTTTTTATAATCATACATATAGTCACTCAGGTTATTTTGAGAACGGTGACTAAAATGTAATAAACAATATATAATCATTATGACAACACAGTAGTAAGTGGGCTTCAGCTTTTTACTTCTCTAGAGGAGAGTGGCATTTACTTCACAAATATATTTCATCTTTATTAAAGTTTATCACCTCTGTTGGACCCCCACCTTGTGATCCCTACAGTCATATCTGTCCAGACAGGTTTCTTTTATTATTTTAGTATATGATTTAAGATCAAGAAGAGGTTAAAACAACAACAGCTTTATTGTGTCAGTACAGCCAACATAATGCTTCTCTGCTGCATGGTAATTTGGAGGTCTGAGAAAGGGACTGTGGTTTGCAGAGCTATAATAATACAGCAAAAGCTACAACATTGCATTGTTGGCTATTCATGAACAGTAGTCAAGTAATTCCTATAGTAATCTTCACCCATACTTCTTCATGAAGAAGCTGATGGGAAAGGATGTGGCTGACCTGTAACTAATTTTCAGTGGCTTATTATATTTAACATTTGGGACATGGCAATTTTCTTTCTTTATGCCTGTAATCATAGTCCTTTCTGAACTGTTTATTCTCTTCATTGCTGTAATTTATGTGTTTGTTTTTCATATAGGCAATAGAAGGGTTCTAATGGGAGAACCATTCTTCTGAAGTAAAGGTTTGCTGGCTGGCTGCAGCTATGGGTGAGTTCTTGGGTTCAACTCAATTTAGCTCAAGCACATCAGCCTTGTGTTCATAATGCAAACCATCACTGAAAACAGGAAATTTTTGCAAGTGTATATTAAAATTTGGAAATCTATGTTAACAACATAAGTTAGAATACAAAGTAGTTCTTGAGACATTAGACAGTCTGAATATATATGAGTTAATAAAATGTATAATCAGAACAATCTTCAGATCCTACTTATTTTATTGGAGGTATTAAAAATAATAAACCTTGTTTTCAAAGGCATTTTATGAATAGTGGGTACAGATAGTTCTTTTTTCCTCCTAAACAGATGAGCAGCAAGCTTTGAAATCAATCATGCAGGATTTGGCAGTCCTTCATAAGGCAAGTCGCCCTCCATTGCCTCTACAAGAAACAGGGAAAGCAAAATCATCTTCACCGAAAAAACAGGTAATCCTGTAATGTGTTTGTCTTACAATGAAGAATGTGTTTCTGCATTTGATGTGAGTGATTTCCACTTGCTGGAAATGTTCCACCTTGTGGTGTACATATTTTTGAAATTATGAAGTAAATGAAAGGGATATAGTGTTGCAGAACAGATCTTAAACAGATGTGTCCTGTGTTCCAGAGTAATGCATATCCCAAATTCCCACTTCCCAATAGTTTTTCTTCCATTGCCAAAGAATGTTGCTTCAAGTGTGTGAGAATATTTGTTGGCTGTCTGCAATCCAGGGAGGAATATTCACAAATAATATTTGTTCCCAGCTTTGTTTTCTAGTATGTGTGTAATTCTTTTACAGAATGATGTCCGAGTCAAATTTGAACACCGAGGAGAGAAAAGGTAAAAAAAGATAATCCACAAGTTTCCAGAATCCATTCTGAATGTTACATCCAGTTGATGACCTTCGGCAGATGGAAGGCTCTTTGATCCAGTGGAATGGGAATTGAGGCAATATTTAACAATTCCCCCTAGAACTCCAACATCTGCTGCAAAGGGTTACTGGACCCTTCAGAACAGTATGGACTATAGTATGGGGTGTGTGTGTGCAAAAGGAAGATGACTCTTTAATAATTACTGTGATCCCTGTTTCACTGGCTAAAAATTCCACTGAATCAAATTGTCTTCTGTCAGTGAAGGAAAACCAATTGGATGCAACCCATAATATTTTGTAGCTTTATGGAGTATTGGCAAAGCTTGATAGAGAATAGAGAGATGCCTGTCCAACGTCAATGTTTAGAAAAGAGAAACTTAAGAAATGTGCTAAAAATGCATGCATATGTGTGAAATATATATGTTGCTATCTTTTGCTCCTAGAATAGAATAAGGAACAATATATCTTAATAAAATCATTTATTTTGACACATGCACACCCTATAATACTCCTGCACTGCAGGGGGTTGGACTAGATGACCCTTGGGTCCCTTCAAACTCTACAATTCTAATTACACATGCAAAGTAAGCTCAATTATGGCATCCAGCTACTCCTGAATCCCAAAGAAAACGGGGGAGCCTTCATGCACCTGCATCGTGGTTTGTGATGGTCAGCTAGTTTCCGTTTCTGCTGAGTAAATTACTAATGTTTAGAGAGATCAAACCTGGAAAATGATCTAGCTTCTGTTCTTGTGCTAAAACTGACTTCAGGTTATTTTGGTGAACAAATTTATTCTGTGTTAGTATTTCACCTCAAATGACTGCACAGCACGTATTTCAAATCCTTAAGATAGTTTGCCTTTGGCATAAGAATTAATTTCCTAGAAACTCTTGGCCAAGTTGATGTATTGCAATTAGGAGAGTTTTACTTTAATAAGGTATTGACTCACATAGTTTAAGCCTGCTGCAGATCTTAAATAAATGATTTCTAAGCATGGCTTTCTAACTTTAGAAAATCTTATAATGGCTGATAAAATCTATCTTCAGAAGTTGATTAGCTTGCTAATTCACTGTGCAAGTTTCAATTTGACTACTACTTTTTCAGCTGCAGTAATTATTTGGTGTAAGGTGGGTTGAAACAGTATTCCGGAATAGTGCAATTGTTTACCCAGCAGCAATCATGTACATTCAATGATTCACCTTACTGAATGTGGGGTTATTAATTTGGGTGCTGTTTTTGTCTTTTCAGTAAATGCACTTTTTAATAATTTGATTTTTAAGAGAGAGTGTGACACCTTATGAAAACATGCTTTTCTCCCCCCCCCCCCGGTATGTCACTATTCCACGAACAAAAATTTAACTTTCATCATTGTCATCAATAGTTACGTACTTGTTTTCATGTTGGTGGATTTCCCCCCATATACCTATACCTTGTATTACAGAATTCTACAGTTTCCTAGACCTGTCAAGTTAGAAGATATTGCATCAAAAGCTAAAGTTGCCTTTGGACAGTCAATGAATTTGCATTACAGCAATAATGAGGTAAAAGAATGGTTCTTGAATAGTAGTTGTTTGTGTTATTCCTTAATCACATCAACTGTGAGTAGGTTGCATTGTGACCTTGTTCTGTGTGTATATTTTTCTGCCTGTAGCTGGTGATCCCATTAGCTACACAGGATGACCTGGACAAAGCGGTACAGCTTCTTGATCGAAGTGTTCATATGAAGAGTCTCAAGATATTGCTTGTTGCCCATGGAAACACACAGGTGTGTACATGTTATTTATACGGATGTATGTGCGTGTGTATTCAGATATCATATGACACAAGTGAACTTTCTGAATTTAAAATTACTCTTTGGGGCATGTCCACATGAATCCAAATCCATTGGTCTGTTTTGAACTAGCTTTGTTTGGTTGTTTGTCTGTTATGTGCTCAGGTGAAGAAATCCAGATGGCTGATTTTCTGAAGCTCTGTTCAGGTGTTCATTATGAGGATTAACTTAACACATGGGGATTAGAGAGCACCACCCGAACTCCACCCTCTTAGGTCACACTCAAGAAGGTTCCCTGAGGTCCTAGCGTTCCAAAATATGTGCAAGCCTCCATGAGTAAGGAGGCTTCATTAATGCAGATAGTTGCATTTGAACCCACAGAGGGCAGCAGGGAAGATGCAGAGCTAGTGTGCTCATTCATGGACACTCCCCTCCTCATATCTGAATGCCTGAACAGGGACGAGAGTCTATGGAGGGCATGTATTGTTGTGGCAGCACTGGATTAGGCAGCACACTGCTGCTTTTATGAGTTGCAGACTTTTGCTTCCTACTACTTGCCTCACCAAAGCAGTGGGAAGGGGTGATGTAGACATGACCTACGTCAATTCAAAGACTGCTAGTGACTGTATTTTTTTAATCTGTTAGTGCTGATAGCTGCCATTGTGTGAAAGATGGATGCAAAAGTATTTTTTCATGGGCTAACAGGCATTGGCAAACTTGGCTCTCCAGATGTTTTGGGACTACAACTCCCATCATCCCTAGCTAACTGGGCCCAGTGGTCAGGGATGATGGGAGTTGTAGCCCCAAAACATCTGGAGGGACGGGTTTGCCTATGCCTGGGCTAGAATGATGACAAAAGTAGAATATTACTGACAGAAATAGAATATTTCTTCCCAGTTTTAAAATACTCTGGTTTACATATTTTAAATCTTTGAATTCCTTTGTTTTTGTAAGTGGCTTTTTGAAATTCTGGTCCGAAAAGAGCTGCTAAGGTTGTGTAGGCACGGCAGCAAATAGCACCTGTCCTCCTTAACAGTCCATTCACTGAAAAATTACAAGAGTGGGAGGATTTCTTATTTTTTTTAAGGGATAAATAAACTGCTCCATGCTTTCACCTTCAGAGTAATACTGAGCCTCTGCCATCGCTGGAGGATTTGGATAATACAGTTTTCAGAGTGACTGAGAGGAAAAACAGGCTTTCTGTAATAGGTAAGCAAACTTCATATTCCTACAGTTTTGAGTTGGTTGGGTGGTGAGTGGAGGGAATCAATATCTCTCAATCTAATATACTTCACAGAATTGATGTGAGAATTAAATTGAGGTCAAATTTGGAGATGCAAATGTAATAAATAAAAAGGTAAGCACCTGTGTGTGGGTGAGAGAGAGGAGACCAGCACATTGAGTCTTAGCGCAGTGTGACTTTTGCACCCCTCTTCTCCCTCTGTAGCCCCTGTTCCCTCCCCAAATCCTGGTTGGGAGGGTCAGGAGAACCCCCAGAACAGCAGCAGGCAGAGGACAGAGGAAATCATTCTGTCTGGCAAGCCAAAATACTTGTGCTGACAGAACAATCACTTAAGTGCAGCATTGAACCCCACCCCTTTGAATTTATCTTCCCACCAAAAGATAGTCAAACCTTATTTCTTTTGTGTGCCTTGCAGCATCTGTGGGCGTTCAAATAAATGTCACATGCTTTGATACTAAAATCATATAAGTAGATGATTCTTGCTGGTAAAAGGATTTTTATAATTTACTCACATATTTTAAAAAATCAACAGGTTATTATAGTCGTGACAGAAGCTCTCCCCCTCCAGGATACATTCCAGATGAGCTGCACCAGGTGGCCCGGAATGGCTCATTCACCAGTATAAACAGTGAGGGCGAGTTCATTCCAGAAAGCATGGATCAGGTGAGTGTTTTCTTTCATTTTCCCTTCAGGGGCGACTGCATTTCCTTTAAAAGGGGCTACTGCATTAAGGTTTTGCTGTTTAAGATCCTTTGTTACCTTCTTTGTTATCCTGATCTAACAGTGGACCATGGCCAGGGGAGATGCAGCTCTCCCAAAGGCAACTCTTGGTACAACTATATATGCTATGATCCTTCAGGCTTAGCTAAGCAGTGTTGCAAGTGGCAGAAAGGGAAGGAAAAACCTCCCTCCTTTTCCTCCTTCATGCCCCTGATGCTGCTGTTGTTACTGCTTGCAAGGTAAGTGAATGGGGGGGGGGATATGTTTTTTGGGAGGGTTTCGGGGAGCAATGTGGGTTGGTGAATATTTACACAAGGACATTTTTCTGAATTACCAGATTTATTCAGAAAAATGGAATGAGATTTTTCTCATTCCCATCCCCTGAAGATCTCTGATAATTTACCAATAAAAACTGAGGTGAGCTTGAGAAAATGTGCTCATCTCTAACACCAATGCTTAAGTATGCCCCGAAATGAACTGGTAGCCACTGTATCTCCTTAAACACTGGATTAAGGTGTTCCCAGTATCCAAATTTGTGCTTGGCTAGTGTCTACTTAGGGGACGCGGGTGGCGCTGTGGGTAAAACCTCAGTGCCTAGGACTTGCTGATCATAAGGTCGGCGGTTCGAATCCCCGCGGCGGGGTGAGCTCCCGTCGTTCGGACCCAGCTCCTGCCCACCTAGCAGTTCGAAAGCACCCCTAAGTGCAAGTAGATAAATAGGGACTGCTTTATAGCGGGAAGGTAAACGGCGTTTCCGTGTGCGGCACTGGTCTGGCTCGCCAGTTGCAGCTTCATCACGCTGGCCACGTGACCCGGAAGTGTCTTCGGACGACGCCGGCTCCCGGCCTCTTGAGCGAGATGAGCGCGCAACCCTAGAGTCGGTCACGACTGGCCCGTACGGGCAGGGGTACCTTATACCTTTACCTTTTACTAGTGTCTGCTTAGCTCATCATGCAGCTACTGGGTTACTAACAGAAGTTTCTGAGACATCTTCAAAGGTAGCACTATGTATAATGTGTTACAGTAAGCAATCCAGAATGTTAGCAGAGCCTGGACAACTGTAGTCTGTGTTTCCCAGCTTGTTGCATATTGCCTATGTATGTTACACCCTTGTAGTGATAGTTCTTCAAACTTCCTTGTACTTTTGTTTCCAGATGCTGGATCCGTTATCATTGAGCAGTCCTGAAAACTCTGGCTCAGGAAGCTGCCCTTCGCTTGACAGCCCTTTAGATGGGTAAGAACCACATAATCTGCACTTCTTTCTGCTGTGATCTTTAAAACAATGAGGTAACAGAATTCAGGTAGTGTTGTACACGAGGATGTAATAGTTCAGTGTTTCTACTTATAGGGATAACTACCCGAAGTCCCGGATGCCAAGAGCCCAGAGCTACCCAGATAATCACCAAGAGTTTTCTGGTAGGTAAAACAAATGCGTACAGCTTCTGATGCTATCCTTACAAAATCTTCTACTGTAACTTCATTGTGTGCCTGGATGTATGCATAAAGTTTAACCTAATAACGTTTTATTTGTCTTTGAGGCTGTCGTAACAATGACAAAAGTATGAAAAGTAGAAACAACCCTATGTTCATACAAAAATGTTTACTATTTTTTGAAATGTTAGTAAATCAGTAGATCAGTGGAGATGAAGCATGCACTTATAAGCCGCAAAAAATCAGTGGAGGCAGAGCATAGCTATTTGGAGGCAGAGCATAGCTATCACGGCTAATAACTATTAATAGCCTTAACTTCTATTAATTTGTCTAAACCTCTTTTAAAACCATCCAAGTTGGTGGTCATCCTGTGGGAGTGAGTTCCATAGGTTAACTATGTGCTGTGTAAAGAAGTACTTTCTTTTATCTGTCCTTGATCTTTCAACATTCAGCTTTGTTGGGTGTCCTTGTGCTATGATAGCAGGAGAAAAACTTTGTTCTGTCCATTTTCTCTATGCCATGCATAATTTTACAAACTTCTGTTGTGTCACCTCCTACTCGTCTTTTCTCTAAACCAAAAAGCTCCAAATAATGCAGCCTTTCCTTGAGGGGAATTACTCTGTCCCCTTGATTATTTTGGTTGATCATTTGACTAACTCACTTAACTTTTTCATCCAAACCTAAAATAGCCTAATTGAGAAGAGGAACTTAATTGTTTTTTCCTTTAGATTATGATCTTCCTATATTTGAGAAGTTTGGCAAAGGTGGAACTTACCCTCGAAGGTATCATATTTCATACCACCATCAAGACTACAATGATGGTAAGTTTGTGGGCCCCTTAACACTTTCGTGAAAGCTTCCCCCCCAAAAAAACACACACACCATAATGCTCTTTCCTATCCAGAAGGGAGGCAATTTTAATCTTCAGTTGTGTGTGCTCTGCAATACAAAAAAGTATTTCTTGGCTGGTCTCCTTTCCAAGTTTGAAATGTTCCTTAATTCTTGATCTGTTGTATGCAATCATAACAGTGTGTGATGGATTTAAGAACATAATTAATTTTCATGAGTTTTCTGGATGGCCTAGAGGCAGAAATCACTGTTTGAAAGGGGGGGGGGGAGCAACCTAAATGTAGGATTGCTGCTTTAGGAACATAGGAAGGTGCCTTGTACCAAGTCAAACCCTTGGTGCAGCTATCTCAGTGTTGTCTACCCTGACTGTGCACTGTTCTCCAGGGTTTCAGACTAAACTCTCTCTCAGCCTTGCGTGAAGATGCCAGGGATTGAACATGATGTGCTTCTGCATACAAAGCAGATGCTCTACAACTTGGCCACTTTCATATTATGTGCGTGTTTTAGGTGGAATTTATTCCCAAATTAACTTCCATTGGCTTCCAGCATAACAAATACAAATATTACACAGAGGCAGCTGAGTCGTGTTTCTTGCCGACAACTTAATTGTGGATTCTGCTGTTTAAATAACTCTGGGAAATTTTCCGTTGTTTCTTGTTACCCACGGGCATTATCGTATCTGAATCTCATTACAATTACTCCCAGTTTTAATAAAGGTAACAGTGCACTATATTTTACTGCATTGTACTATATTTTTAAAGCCATAGTTGCCTTCCCACAAAAGAAGTTCTCTATTTGCAGAAAGGGCTGAGATCCTGCAGAGTCTCACCCTGGAGGAAAGAAGGGAGAGAGGGGAAGGCAGTATTTGCAAATTTTCCACTGCAGCCCCCAGCACCACCCCAAGTTCTATTCCGGAATGGCCCTCAACCCTTTGGAACAGCTTTTCAGGGGGCTGTAAGGGGAAGGAATGAGTGGAAACTACCTTCATCTGGCAGGAGTGTCTCATGAGGAGAGATCTATTTCCTCGTTGTCACAGAGGAGCATAGGACGCTGTCTTATTCCAAGTCAGACCTTTGGTCCATCTAGCGCAGGGATGTTTACCCCAGTGGTTCCCAGTCTTTTTTGATACGGCAACCCACGTCAAAATTGACTTGGTATGGTGCCCATTGATTTATTATCACATGAATTTAGGACCTTAGGTCCTCATGCATTTTAACTACAAGTTTGCCAGTTTTATAGTCATTACTTGAGGCATCCAGGCAAAAATTTCCATAACACTTTTCAGCCACCAGAAGGCGGTTTGCAAATGCTGTAATGCAAAATTTACTCTTTCCCATGTTCAGTTACAAGTTTCAATACAGCATTATAATAAAAGTTGTAAGAGGTATTCATCCTACCAATGAAGAATTATAAGCAGTACTTATTTTGGGCTTACTTATAACGCCCTTGGCCAACTTGTACAAGCCTTGTGCCCCACTTGCAGGTTGGAACCCACTGGCTGAGAAACACTTGCCTACTGACAGGCAGGGAATCACCAGGGTTTTAGATAGGAGACATTTTCCTGTACATGCCATCAGAGATTGAATCTGGGACTGCCTGCCACTGAGCTGTGGCCTTTCCCCAAGTTAAGTTCCTCCTTCCACACAGAAAAAGTTGTGTTAAGAGTTGGATCCGAGTCTGCTGAATGTGTACAATCTTCCAAGAGATGGTCCTAGATTTGTTTCCTTTGGAAGGTATTTCCTTATTCCTCATTCATCCATGCACTTTTCTTTATTTTTTAATCTAGAGGTAGCATGCTCTGTTCATTTGTGATTGCCATTGAGGTAGAAAAGTGTGGTTCTAGTCTATCCAGCATTCAGTTATTGTCCTTTGCTTCCAGTGGAATGTACAAATGGAAATAATGTTTCATGGTCCTGTATTGTAGGTTTCTTTGTTCATTTCTGCAGGCCGTAAAACTTTTCCACGAGCTAGGAGAACCCAAGGAAACAGCTTACGATCCCCAGTTAGCTTCAGCCCAACTGATCACTCATTGAGTACAAGCAGTGGGAGCAGTGTTTTCACTCCAGAATATGAAGATGGGCGGATGCGAAGAAGAGGAAGTGACATAGACAATCCTACTTTGACAGTCATGGATATCAGTCCGCCTAGCCGCTGTAAGGAAAAAAGCTGCATATAATGCCATGTGACAGACAAGTCCAGTAAAAATAAGGTAACTTTAAAATGATTGCAAAAGGAATTGTTTTTGAGAGAACAATCAGACTAGCAAAACAACAACCCCATACCAAAATATATATAGCGCAATACAAAACAGATTTCTTTTTCCATTCCCAGTTGCTGAACATGGCTGAAAAGTAATAGTCACTTGACAGTGTAATATTTTGGAATCTTTGGGGTCAAATGGGTCCCTTTTTTGTAAATTTGTTATTAAAACCTATTAACACTAAATCTTGAAAAACAAAAACCTCTGGAACTTATTTTGTAAATTTCCTTTGCCAAATCATCAGTAAAATCTGTTGATGGCAGTCGCTGTCATGATCTTCTGGCATCTGGGCCAACACTTTGTTTCAGCGTAAGACTCAATGTAGTATGGTTCCTCCATGCTAATAACAGCCAGTGTGGGTGGAAATGAATAAGGTACCCCAAATGCTTGACAGATTTTCTACCCCATAGAAGTGCTGGACTGTACACAATTTTGTGCCATCACATAGGGGATACTCTCCTAGAGGTGGTGATGTCTGATTTCGGGTGAACCCAAGCTTAGCTTACTCAGTTCTCTATCCCTATAGGTAAAGGTAAAGGGACCCCTGACCATTAGGTTCAGTTGTGGCCAACTCTGGTGTTGCGGCGCTCATCTCACTTTATTGGCCGAGGGAGCCAGCATACAGCTTCCGGGTCATGTGGCCAGCATGACTAAGCCGCTTCTGGCGAACCAGAGCAGCACACGGAAACACCATTTACCTTCCTGTCGGAGCAGTACCTATTTATCTACTTGCACTTTGACGTGCTTTCGAACTGCTAGGTGGGCAGGAGCAGGGACTGAGCAATGGGAGCTCACCCCATGGCAGGGATTTGAACCGCCGACCTTCTGATTGACAAGTCCTAGGCTCTGTGGTTTAACCCACAGCACCACCCACATCCCTTCTCTATCCCTATATCCACTGGTTATTAACGTCCCCAAGGTGTCAGTTCTTGACATTGTCTGTGGGTTGAACCTACTTGGCTTGAATACATGGCCCTCTTGTTCTCATTTGGAAATGCTTCAGGAGAATGGCCTATGGTGCCTGGAGTGGTCACTCCATCCACCCTGTACTAAGACCAGCCATGGCAACATTTGCAACGATCTGAACAAGGCAGCTTTTCGGATCTTCATTTTTTTGCTTGTCTGATGATTGTCTCAAATAATTTCTTTTGCTATTATTTTAAAGTTTGCATGTACTTTCCCCAATCTCTACTGGACTGCCTGTGTTCCTATTTTTCTTTTCAATTACTTTGAGTCTCTTTGTCCCGGTGAGTTCCTGTGCTGCTGTTTGCATGTTAGCAGTTTACACCTACAGAAAAGTAGGACAAGAATGACTTTCATATAAGCCTCCTGGCTCTTGTGAAGCAGCAGTCAGTGGTGCTCGTGGGTAGAGCCCCCAGGACTGTCCCCTTGCTGGAAAACCCACATGTAAAGCAGCCCCCTTCAGACTCACCCTGATTACGCAGCTGGAGTTTGTGCCCGACATGCACAGTGACACTGAGACAATGGAGCTCAGCCTGTGTATTCCTGCTTGTCCCTTTCTGCATTCCTACTGAATGCCTGCAGAGGGCCTATGTATTGCATGTGCCTATGGTATTTCTTTGGAAGAACAGCTGGCACAGACACCTGCCTAAACGTCAAATACACACAGGTATCTTGCATTACTAGCTTCTAGCACTTTTGTGGGGAAATTGGTAATTCTAAAGAGATACACCATGGGCATACCTGGGACATTAGGAGGAAATGTTTCAATACATTGTCCCTCACAAAAACTGTGTCATATTTAACAAAAAACTTTCCTCACACCTGACAGGGTAAAGTTACTAAGTTGTATGTGACCAAGCAACTGTAATGGTTTGTTGCCCTAACTGAGTACATTGCTATCATAAGCAACTATTTAGTTTCAGTCTGTACTAGGTGCCTCCTCAGTCCAAAGTAATCTTTTGTGTGAGATACTTTGGACTGAAAAGGTATCTGGTACAGACTGAAACTAAATAGTTACTTAACTATTAACTAATGTTCTATCCTTAGATGCATGGATAAGTTTTCAAGAGACATCAGCAGCCTGCCTATTAGTCACACTGCTGGGCTTAATGAGTATTTTCTTTGAGTTTTTGACAGATGGAAAATGTTTAGCATTTTTACAACATGCTATGTTGCAAACTGCTCAGGGGATATTTATTGATGCACATTTACTTTTAATAAATAATATTAATAGCTTAATGATTTTTCTGCCAGATAAAGTGCCACTTTTTATTTTAAGCTAATTTAGTTGCATTAAGGTGAGGAATGCAAGAGTAGTTTGTGGCTTGCATTCTTGATCATTACTACAGATTGTTGTCTTAAAGGTTCTCTTTAAATACTTATGTTGCAAAATGCAATGTGTGTATGTATCAATTCTTGCTGAAACATTCCTTGAAGTTTTGATCTTCTGATCCTTTTTCTTTAAGAAATAGAAATTGATTTTTTTATATTCTGTTTTCAGCCCCAAGAGCTCCAACTAACTGGAGACTAGGTAAACTCCTGGGGCAGGGTGCATTTGGCAGAGTTTATCTATGCTATGATGCAGATACAGGACGCGAGCTAGCTGTTAAGCAAGTTCAGTTTGATCCTGACAGCCCGGAGACCAGCAAGGTAAGAGTACTGGTTATGGTTGGTTGGTTGGTTGGTTGGTTGGTTGGTGTTGTTAACCACTTTTCACACAGAGGAGTGTCCCAGCATAAAATACATTAAAACTCAGTATAAAACAATAAAAAAACCTGAACATGCTTATCCAGTAATATGTGTAATAGTAGGACAAATCTTACTTACCTCATTAACAGGATGAGTGTTAAAAGTTTTTTAAAAAACTAATCCTCTTTCCCGATGTTTGAGCACAAACACTTTAGCCTGGCACCTACAAGCAAACAATGATTGCACCAGGCTTACTTCCCAGGGGAGAATATTCCACAAATGGGCAGCCACCACTGCAAAGGCCTGTTTCTATGTTGCCTCCCTCTGCACATTCCTTGGAGGAGGCAGAACAGGACCAGGAATGCAGTGTCCAGGTAGCTTCATATATGGAGAGGTGCCTCATGTATCTGTTACCCAACTACTTCCAGAGCCAGTGAGGCATAGTAGTTAGAGTGCTGGACTGGGACCTGGGAGACTAGGGCTCGAATCCCCACTCAGTCATGAAGCTCACTGAATGTGACCTTGGGCCTGTCACTGTCTTTCCCTACCTCGTAGGGTTGTTGTAGGGATTGAATGAGGAGGGGGAGAACCATGTACAATCCACCTTGAGCTCCATGTAGAAAAAAAGGTAGGCTATGAATGCAATCAATCACCAGTCAATAATATTCTGAAAATTCCCTGTAGTTTTATTTTTGCTGCTACAAGGTAACTTTGCCATGTGGACATTAAGACGAGGTTGAAACCCAGGCCACTGTGCAGTGAAAATAACAGAATAAGGACTCTTAAATTGCTCAGGTACATTTCAAAGGGACTTGGAAAAGTCCAGTCTTTATATAAGAAAATGGTAATTTTATGTAGTGGTACCAGATCAAATAATAAGTACTATCCAGTTTAGCCACTCTTATTTAATAGTTGGGGATGGTGGATTTGCTAATTCCCCAAGTTCAAGGATTTCTAATAGTGAGCTAAAGGATGAGCCCCAATGTGGCCTTTGGAAGTCTTCGGTTCCAAGTGCAAGTTAAATGATGCGTTTATTGTTGTTTGAATCAAACCTGCTTGTCAGATTCTGTTAAGGCTAATCCTGTGCTCTTGCGTTCCAGGAGGTAAATGCACTTGAATGTGAGATTCAGCTTCTGAAAAACCTTCTACATGAGAGAATTGTTCAGTATTATGGCTGCTTGAGAGACCCTCCCGAAAGAACACTCTCTATATTTATGGAATATATGCCTGGGGTAAGCCAGAGATCTGGATATAGATAGTAATTTAATGTGGGCTTGTTAGAGTTAAGGCCAGATAGGGGAAGGGTCCTTAGAGGATTGCTTCTACAAACTTGTGAAACATTTTTAAATGCAGCCATTTTTTATGCAAGAGTGAATCTACTCTTAAAAGAGGCGCTACAGTATTCTTATTCTTCCTTTGTCTGTAGGGCTCAATTAAAGATCAGTTGAAGGCATATGGCGCACTCACGGAGAATGTGACTCGGAAATATACCCGGCAGATTTTGGAAGGAGTTCATTATTTGCACAGTAACATGATTGTACATAGAGATATTAAAGGTAAGAATGGGAGAATTGTTGAAGGTGTGCACTTACCAAATTGTAGATAAGTAATGTGGTTAGAAAAAAATAACAACTATTAACTAAATGCCAGTGATGAGCCAAATCTTTATGATGAAAACAATACGATGTTTTATTCAAGGTTCTTCTTGCAATTAAAATATAAATATATCTGTTGGTAGTTTACAATGTTTCAAGTTAAGACATCATTTCAAGTAAGACTGCTAGAAAATTTTAACAGACTCTCTCATTCATATTGCTTTGTCAAAAACTTCTCAAAACATCTCCAAAGCAGTCAGAACATTAAACAACTCTATCATGGTACCAATAGGTGAATCTTTTCCATTTATTCATTGTGAATGCTTTTCCAGTACAGTGATACCTTGGGTTATGAACTTAATTCGTTCTGGAGGTCCGTTCTTAACCCGAAACCGTTCTTAACCTGAGGTGCACTTTTGCTAATGGGGCCTCCTGCTGCCGCTGCGCCGCCATTCCTCGATTTATGTTCTCATCCTGGGGCAAAGTTTGCAACCCGGAGCAACTACTTCCAGGTTAGCAGAGTTTGTAACCCGAAACATTTGTAACCCAAAGCGTTTGTAACCCGAGGTACCACTGTATTTGGAATTTCAACCACAAAGGTTGGCAATATTTAGTGTTTACACAGTGCTTTTCTCAGTGCCTAAAGAGCTTCACATATACTACTATGCTAATGTGTAAAATGTTCCTCGTATGCCAGTATTATCCCCATATTGCTGAAAGAATAGCAGCTTGCCTAAGATCACCAATGAGGGAGTGCATGGCTTAGTTGCAGTTTGAGTCTGGCTCATAGTCTTGACATGGACACTGCACCCAATTCTCAAAACAGCCAAAGCCCAGGGAAAACAGCATGGCAAATGCCCCAGGCTCACACACCTCTTGACACATCTATCATAGTTTTCAAGGAAAACGATAGTAATTTTATTTCTGCTTCCTCATCCTGTCTCCTCTACCTTGGCCTACTTATGTGGGTGAAGTGCCAAGACACCCTGGAAGTGATCTGTGTACACAAATGTATTGACTTGTATGCAAGGGCCACTGAATCAAACATCGAATTCTATGTTGAGCTGATGTACGTGTAATGTCATGTAAGCTTCTGCTAGCCCCATGGGACTACTATAAGTCTTCTGTAGAGTTAGCTTGCTACCAGATATACACCAAACCTTATCTCTCTGTGTTTTGCAGGTGCAAATATTCTCAGAGACTCTGCAGGGAATGTTAAGCTGGGTGATTTTGGTGCCAGCAAGCGGCTTCAAACAATTTGCTTGTCTGGTACAGGTATGAAGTCTGCCACAGGAACGCCATACTGGATGAGTCCAGAAGTTATTAGTGGAGAAGGGTATGGGAGGAAAGCAGATATCTGGTATGTCTATGCTGTTCCAATGAAAAACAGTTGTACAAGGGTCTTAACATTAAATGGTATGCTTGACACACACGTGTGTGTGTGTGTGTGTGTGTGTGTGTGTGTGTCTGTGTGTGTGTGTGTGTATTTTCATCTACTTAGGACACACTGTTCACAAATCTGGATTAGAAAGTTATGAAGAAGTGGCATAATGATATGGCATTAGTAAGCAGGGCAATATGATTGGTCAGTTGTGTACAGATCTGTGAAAGAATTCAGGTAATACATGTGAGAAAATGATCTCTGGAGGAGCCTGGGATGATCCATTGCCTCTTTGATACAGCTCACAGGCTCCCATTTTTTGAACTGATGCTCTGGTATGGCTTGGGTCTAGTCTACTTCATGTTACAGGTGGGGTCTCAGATAATATTTTTCCCTACAAACAAATGTATTCCAGATTATTATTTTTTTAAAAAATTAGCATATCATGGAGAAAGCTTAGTTTTAACTCTTCACTCTGACATTTTATTATTATCGTTTATTATTATTATCATCATCCTGCCATTTGTCCTGCAGGAGTCCAGGCACTTATACAACATGATAATAGTTACAATGATTAAAACATCTGAAATTCTCTATAATATAGAAAAATATAAGCAGTAATAAAGAACTGCTGAATCGCCAGACAATGTTCATGTCCTAAAAGCTTGGGCAAGCAAAAGTGTCTTCAGTTTACAACCAAGTGTCATCAGTGTGATAAACAAATGCATTCTACAGAAAGGGAGTCCCAGGATGCAACTACTGAGAAGGCCTTATCTCAAGTCACCTTCCCATGGCCCATACCATTGTTGGCATCACTTGCATTTAGTTTGGATTATGTTTCTGAAAGGAGAATTAATGATGTGCTTCTAATAGATTATTCTAGCTTCAGAGACTGCTGTGTGTGAGTTTGCTTTGTAAGAAGATTTGTAAGTTCTTTTCTTGCAGTGATTGCAGCTATTTCCTTGCTTTCCAAGGTATTTTATGTCACTTTTCAGAAGTATCTCACAAAGCGTTTGCATAAGATTATTACAACAATAAGCATCGAAAAGCTTTCCACATAAAAAAATGCAGTTGTTTGTTTTGAAAATGCTGTATGCCCTTTTTCTCGACAAGGGCAATGTGGTTCTCTCCTCAAGTCCCTGTGAGTGACAGTTGGAAGAGTTGTCTGGCTCAGTCTGACAACAGCCAGTTCTAAAATTGAGGGGCAACTTTAAATATTGAATTAATGTAGCTCCAAACTTCGTATTCTAATTTTCTTCAGTACAATTTCAGTCTCCCACCATTTTAAAGATTAAATTGTAACACAAAACACTTGCTGGCCTATGGTTTTTAGGTAAATGTGCCTACAAGTGTACAAACCCTTTATGGTGCTGTTGGGTATTTTTCGCTCTATAACACACACCCGACCATAACACGCACGTAGTTTTTAGAGGAGGAAAATCCGTAGGCATGCCACCTGTAGGCATTCCCTCCATAACACACACAGACATTTCCCCTTACTTTCTAGGAGGAAAAAAGTGAGTGTTATGGTGCAAAAAATATGGTAAGTTATTGATAGATTGACCATTAGATCTAGCAACAAAATTATTACGTTCTGATTATTGGCATAATACACACTACTCCAACATGTGAAAGAAATGCAGTCTTTTGAACTGAATGTAAGTTGTGCTCTTTAGATATCCCTGTCTGCTTACTCTTGCAGATAGTAGAGATACTTATTAGTTTATAAGACTTCAACTTGCTTTTCATTCTTGACTTACAGGAGTGTAGGCTGTACCGTGGTAGAAATGCTCACGGAGAAACCACCTTGGGCAGAGTTTGAAGCAATGGCTGCCATCTTTAAAATTGCCACACAGCCAACCAATCCCCAGCTGCCACCTCATGTCTCGGACCACGGTCGGGATTTTCTGAAGCGAATATTTATTGAGGCCAAATTGCGACCATCCGCAGATGAACTGCTAAGACACACGTTTGCACATTATCACTGATGGCCTGCTTCAACCCAGCTGTCACCTACTGCATTTATTTTCTGACTGCACTTTTTTTTACACAAGGTTGAGAAAAGACAAGGGGGAAGTTGTTTCTCTTGATTCTTTATTTCATATAGATTGTTAATAATCTCTGCATATTTACACTGCAGATTTTGTTCCCCATTTAGGACTTAAGATCTTTTTGTTTTGGTAATGTACTGATGTGGTTCGCATAAAGCACTTTAGTACATATTCATTCCTTATTTAAGGGGGGAAAGGCAAGTTATTGGGACTGCCAGGAATTGTGTGTTAAGGTTTTTTTTCCTAGCACTACTGATTAACTCAGGATGCAGGAAAAATATACATGTTGTTAGCAGATATAGAAAAGGAAAATGTGTCCAATTGTTCTTTGTAATATGTAGATAGATGCCCTGGGAGGTTTTGGTTGTGTTTCAGCTTTGACATGAGGCTCATCCACAGTATTGGAAACAGGTTTAAAAGCTGCAAACTCAAACTGCTGACCAAGGTGTATTCTGGAAAAGAAATCTGACCAGTGCATCGCCTGCAACCAAATGTATATTTATAATTTTAAAAGAATATACAGGAGGGTTCCCTAGCTGAAGTAGTTCAAGAGTCTTTTGAGTCAAGTAGTTCTGATGTGTGAATGTTCTAGACCAGGAATCGTAGATAAACAGATTACTGTAGATCCATAAACCTTTACAGTTGAAGAACAGGCTTCACATACCGTGCCACAAGTTAGTTTACTTAATCTGCTAAGAACCGCAATGAGTTGTGCTGGACGGGGCCTCTGGTGGCCAGGGTGAAGGCTAGTTTCTCTCTTGATAATTTTCTGTTCTGCATCCTTCATGCTGTCCCAACTGGTCTGTCTGTTGCATAAAATACTTAATGAGACCCAGTCTTCCTTCCTTCCTTTATTATCATGCTTACGATGAAGTTTTAAAGTACTTGAATAGGTATCAGTGTCAAAATTAAGCCGTTACCATTTATGTTGATGCTAAACAGAAGTCTTTGTCTTAAGTACATTTGATTTAATAATCAAATAGTATTTGCAGAATTTGCATCATGGTGAGCCTGCAGAATTTGGCTTTCCAGGTTTTTTATATGGAGTATAGACGATCCCTCCTCTTTTTAAGCAAAAAGAGAAAGCAAGCTGATTAGAAATAGATATGGAGGTTTCCATGTGCATCGCAACAATATAATTAAGTTCTGGCACGCTGACCCTGATGGAGGCACAAAGAATGAGGTACCATTTTTACTGTCCTTTTTCTAAAGTACGTTTTATACCTTATCTGACTGTTAGTAATTAAAATAATTTCAGATTTGACATTATTATCCCAAATGTGTACATTCATATTTGGACACCTGAATATAGTCTTGAAAAGAAAAGAAACCCCTTTAGAATGCTTTAATACTTTCTGTCCCTTCAAGAAATTGGGAAAAGTTCTTGAAAGGAAATAATTCTAGTTTCCGGTGCCACAGTGTCTGTTTTCCAGAGGTGATGTTTCTTAATGCTGCTATTAAACGTTTCCTAGGGAAATTCAGCGCAGCCTGTATAAAAGCATCCTTGGCAAACCAAACATACTGCAGGTGTGCAGATATTATATGGACAGTGCATAGTTGGTGACACTATCTTCCATTAATAAGCTAAAAAAATGTCATAAGTCTCAACAGCAATCAGATGTGGAACAATGTAATGCTATGCATGTGATACGCTGCATGCATGTATATAACGCTCCCAATACTTTAGCCACAGGTTAGAAATAAGAGTTGCAAGTTGTAACTCCTGTTTTCAGTTGTAAGTGGTTAAAGCCAACAAGGGAAATTTGCAGTTGGGAGCAGGGGCACAAGAGGCTTAGAGATAATATCTGATCCTTTAGCTATGGTTAAAGGATGCAGAGCGATATGAGAGCACTCAAAGTTTGGGAATTAAAAGTTTATTGAACAAAATTTACTCTAGGTCACACTAAGAGACTCTTGCAGTTTTCTATGAAATATAGTACCTAATGTAGAAACTGAGTGGACTTCTAAGAATAATAATTTCTTTAGTTCTTAAAGCAAATCCTTTTAATTGTGAATAAAAAAGAAATGGTCAATTTTTGCTACCAAAAAAGAAAGAAAGAAGTACTGTATAATAGTCTGGGTGTGATTCCAGTGATTGACTTTCCTTCTATACCATAGGTATTGATCCCTCTCTGTGGCCCACAGTCTGTTGTCTTCTCCTACAGACGTGTGCTCATCTTTCTTATACACTCTTTTTCCATTCCTCATAGGAAGATCCCTAAGGTTCAGATTTCTAAACTCCCATAAAACTGTAACTATGCAAATTGTGTAAAACATGCAAATCCAGTAAACATATACAAATGTGCATTGTTTGGTCCATTAATGGAATGTGGGATGAGGCTAAGATGGAAGTATTGACTCCCCAGTCTCCAAAGTGTACCAAACTATGTTGAGCATATTTGTCAAACTTCCTTGCTCTACTCCGTTGTCACTGTTTAGAATTGTTTAATATCTAGCAGACAATCATTGCAGCCTGTAAGTGACCTCTTATAAAGTGTTGCTGCACCAGCTAAAGACTTGTTGAACTGAAAATCATCTTCCAGTGCAGTGATTTGAAGAGCATGTTTAATGAACCTTCCCCTCTACAGAAAACAGTAACTAGGGTTGCAATCCTGAGCACACTCACTGGAGAATAAGCACCATTAAACAAGACAATAGTTACTTTTGAGGAAATACGGATAGGACTGGGCCGTTGGATTTGCCCCCTCCAATTTTCATCAAAATCTCACCTGATTTTTGGCTGAGTGGTCATAGAATTGTAGAGTTGGAAGGGATTCCAAGGATCATCTTCTAGCCCAACCCTCTGCAATGCAGGGATCTCAACTAGATCATACATGACAGGTCGCCATGTTCCACTGCTGAACAGCTCTTACTGTCAGAAAGTTTTCCTGATGTTTAGTCAGAATCTTGTTTCTTGTAACTTGTAGCCTCTGGAGCAGAGAAAACAAGCTTGCTCCATCTTCATGTGACAGCCCTTTAGATAATTGAAAATGGCAGTCGTATCTCCTCCTAGTTTTTAACAGCTGACAGAAGTTTCTAGCTTGGATGCCATTCAGTAGTGTGCACTTTTTAACATGATTCTTTGAATATCTGTTTTGAGCTGCAGAATATAAATTTGGTGCTAAAGTCACTGGCTGCCTACCCTTGCTGTTTAGCTGTGTCAAGAACAGTGTCTCTTGGTGCTTTTTATTATTGGACTGCTAATCATTTGGGATTTGTCATATCACCTCTTGCCTTTAGAAGTCTCAGATATGTGTAAGCCATGACTGAGGCGAGGATGGAAGAGTGAACTTTTTTTAAAAAGCACCTAGGAAAGTTACCAAGACTTAATTTTAAAATGTGAGGATGGAAAAATGTGCTAAAATCTAGAATTGAGGCTTGCTTTTAGGAGTCTGGATCTGCCTTAACCTGTTTATCTTTAGCTCAGCCACCTATACCATAGTTGCTGTTTTAGTGTCTGAGGCAGAGGAGTAGTAGTGATGGTTTCAGTTTTCTTTTCTTCCCCACTGTTCAGGGTGGGTAGCAGTATAATCTTAGGAGAGATCCTTGAGTCAGCTTTTTTTGGCTTCTTATTACACACCAATCGCTTGTGGAACCTGAAGGGAGAATGTGAATCTCTGAAACTCTAAATTTGAGCAGTTAAAAGGAGCCTAAAAATGTTAACATTACTTTATAGTGTACAGGTATGATAGTACTCATTGATTATGTGAAGGGTAACAATGTTATTAGAGTATTAGTTGTGTAGGTACAACATAGAGCAAGTAGGACAATACCTCTTACTGGTCATTTAGGGGGAATATGCAAACGTTTAGAGTCGTTTCAGAGCTTCAGGCATTCAGAGTTCAAATAAAATCCAAACAGAATTTTCTTTGTAGTAAGGCTTTTTGGTTATTTAGCTGGGTGCAGTTCTCTAGGACAAAGCAAGTAGATGCTATCAGGCTACACAGATATGAGTTCTGCTTTTCTAGAGTTCTTCGCAACCTAAATCTTACTAGATGGGGGAGGAGCCTTATGGGTTTTGGTTATATTGCTTACTATCTACATATTTTCCCACACCTTTTTTTGTTCCTAAACAGAGCAGCTTACAGTAACCCAAAATCTATTTTAAAGCCGCTTTATGATCTGAAGTAGTATGCTGTTTCATCCTCCCATTTCCTTTGTTCTAAAGAACCAGAGCCTTGACAGAGGGCTAGAGGGTTCAAATTGCATCTCTGTTTATTTTGGTCTCTGAATACCTGTGCTGAAGCATGCAGTTCAAAAGTTTGCGCTATTTTAACAAGGTTACTTCTGTTACCAAAAAGTATGAGAATGGACTTCAAAAAGAATGTATGAATTGCAGCATATGAATTTTAAACTCTTCTTGAATTGTTTTAAAAGGAACTATTTGAAGCTTGGCAGCATTCAGATTCTATATTAACCCACCAGCTTGCAGTGCACAGCTTGTTTCTCTCAGCTGCAGGTCCATTTCCTTATTGTGGCTAGACAAGGGTTTGGGGCAACCTAGCAGAATAAGGTGCCTGCTTTCTGTGCCTTTCCCCCCCAGTACTGCATTTTGTCTTGACAATGGCAATGTAAAAGCGCTGCAGAGAGATAAGTATCTCTGGAGATTTCAAAAATCTGAACTACTGTCTTTAATACCATTTAGATGACATAAATACTATCACAAACACATGCTTATATAGGAGTCCCAGTGGTTCTTTAACATTGTTGCTAGTTATTATTAAAAACACTGATTTGCCCCCTAAGCAGCATGGGGAGTGGATCAAAGGTGTCTGGTTCTTAATCCTTAGCAATTTTGCACTTAATGTAGTGCAAGTTTTGGATATAAGCCTTTTGCCTAAGGTCACCAAACCAAAAAATGCAGTGAGGAATTTTAGTGAATGGCAGCAGCTCTGATATTAAGGAGCCCAAAAGTTACCATTTTGTTTACAATTAAGACTTTGCCAAATGGGACAGCAGAGTGTTTACATGATTACTTTGTGGGTAATCAAGTGGAATTTGCTGCCAAGGAGTGTGGTGGAGTCTCCTTCTTTGGAGGTCTTTAAGCAGAGGCTTGACAACCATATGTCAGGAGTGCTCTGATGGTGTTTCCTGCTTGGCAGGGGGTTGGACTCGATGGCCCTTGTGGTCTCTTCCAACTCTATGATTCTATGATTCTATGGGTTGCTGTCTAACTGACAAAACCACTTAGAGCCTTTTAACAACATCTACAAGAAGTGTACACTTTTATTTAGAAGAAAAGCACTGATCTCTCAATAAGTTGCATATATCCTCCCCCATGCACTGGGGTGCATAATGAATCCTAGTGACATTGTCAGTTCATTAAATTCCCCCTTTCTAGGTGTGTATTCTAAAATTCTTGTGTTCCTAGAATTCCAAAGATGCAGGGAGAATGAGGCCATGAAGCCTTGCGTACAACTGCTATCATGTATAGGCTATTTGCGGAGAAATTTTAAATCATGAACATTCTTCATGTTTCTTAAGGACAATTATGAGAAATTGGTCTGGGAACAGACTGTGATCAAATGATCATTCTAAGGTGAAACTGGAAACAACAAAAAGCTGGTAAAAGAACCGTCACAGCAAAATAAAGATTCATCTCTCCAAATATAAGTTGCAGATCTGGCAGCAACAATTGTCAGCCATGCTAGTTGGCTTTTGTCACTGTTTTTAGCAGAATTTAGATGGCATACTGATGGCACATTTTAGCCAGTCAGAAATGAGCGTAATGCAATAATGCATTAGTGTCATAACTTCTTGTATTTGGTATAGCTTGAAAGTTGTCATCTTTTGGAGAAGAATTGGATGAACAAAACATTGACATGGAATCCAGCCACTGTAGATTTTTGATACCTAAAATAAGTTTTTGAAAATCAGGAAACAACCCTAACATTATTTGTTGAAGTTAAAGGAAAAATGAAGTTTCACCAAACTCATGTACAGTCAGTTGGAAGCAATTTGAATCTGCAGCATAAGCTTTAGTCCTTACATTTCTAAAGCATTTTATTTTTTGTAGTTTGTTGCACTCATTTTTCAGATGCACACCCCACGGAGTGAAACTTAACCTGTTTAGTTATACAAACAACAAAAATCAAGCAGAGTGCCTTTATCTGTATGCCTTAATTTTGTTTGTTTGTATATTAATTACAGTAGTGGACAAGTGATGCAGGACCAGCAAGATCAGTCTTTGAAGTGTAGAAAATGGCAAATTCCCAGTTGTTACAAGTTACTTGTTCGTCTGCAGAAATTTCAGATTTAACTACCTAGTTTCCACCACCCCCGCCAGCCAAGTTCTATACAAATACTCAGAATACAGCCAATGTTAAGCTTGTTGAACAAACACTTAACTCTCGCCACTGGAAATCAATAGCACTTAATTTGGTTTGACAGTGTCCTTTATTCTTAAGCTAAGTGGGAAGTAGGAAGTTCTACCACCACATTGTTCTTGTTTTTTAAAAAATAACCCAGGCTTTGACTCTTGCACTCTGTTCCAGAATGCATGGTTAATGCTGCAGCTGCCCTAATGTCCAGTAGTTCAGTGAGCTGCTAACAGCTGCCCTATATAGTCTATGATGGTACTTATTCTGAAGGAAGGTGTTAAATCCCAGTCAGCATGGCCACTGGTTAGGGGATGATAGGACCTCTGGAAGATCACAGGTTCCCAACCCTTGGCTTAAAGCATGTGACAGTATTGCTTTTGTATAGACAAATCAGATGCCGTTTCAAGGAACACATTTTCTTTCTAGTTATATATATATAAATAGAAATATATATATATATGAGACAAACCTTGTTCCTGCCATTGTCCAGATTTAATGCTGCATCAATGAGTCAGTTGCACTAGCAATCCTTTCAATCATCTCTGCAGCAGTGTCTGACAACTGCTGCAGGTATTTAAGAGAGCTGGTCAGCATTCATAATATAGTTCCTTTTTTCCCTTTTTTAAAATATGTGATCTTTGGAATATATCACGCCTATGCGGGCTGGGGACAGACTTTATTTGTTTGAATGTAAGTCCTTGTGGTGGTATTGAAGTTAGCAAAGGTACTACCGCCAGCATACCAGCTGGTTGGTTCCTTTTATGTATTATTGGCATGTGTGCATTTGCAAATCACTGCAAACCAAAGCTTTTCTACCCCTGTACACAGCCCAAAGTGATATTTATCTAGCTTAGAGACTGTTAATTGTTGTCCAATTTTTAAGCTTTGCTGGACATAACAACTTCCATGTGCAACCCAAGAGGCTGTGCGAGCAGAAATATTTTTAAGGGTGCCAATGAAACTGTGTGATGTAAGAGTTATGCTTAGTAGCCTCTGTGGAATTTCAAGGGCTCACTCCTGGGTTTGCAAGGTACATCAGTCCTTGTGGTGGTGGTGGGGGAGCAAAATGTGCAGGTCCTGATAGCTAACTGCAGGGGCTAGTGAGTGCTTTATTGGGCATTGCCTGACTCGTGTTCAGTGTTGATGTAAAGACTTAGCCCTGTTGATGTACCAAGGAGATTCTAGTACAGCAGCAAAATTTGAAAAGTGATCCATACCTCAGGGAAAATCTTACAGGTTTTAAATGAAAGGTGGAGGTGTATATAACAACTGATCCAAAATCCGACTTTATGCAGGAGCTAGGAGAAAGATCATTTGGTATGGAAAATACTCTATTACACACTTACATAAATTCATCTGAAACTTTCAGAAATGAAAGCCATTGGAAGAAATGTTCCTACTTAAAAAAGAAATGTGTGTTTATGCATAATGTGTTGGAAACTGGAATTGGCTTTTACATTGCAGTGCCACATATTTCATTTCTTCTCAGCACAAACTTAATAATGCTAAATGTGTTAGATTCTACTTTGTAGATGGTGGAGGCACCCCATCAACCCATCCCTGGCTTAATCTCTTAATGGAAAAACATTCTTATGCTATCCATTGAACTGACCAGAATTGGCCTTTAGGTGAAGTATAGAGCAAATACTCATGAAAACTTGGAGGAATCTGTCACAAGAAAAAGCTACGCCTGAAATGGTGCAGCATTCACAAGGCAGTGACCACACTGACCTTCACACTGTGTCCTGCAGATTGATATGGGAACTTCTAGGAAGAAGCTTGATAATGTGGACCTGCATCATCTGATAGAATGGTTTGACAAGCCTCAAGCCTGACTAGTCTTTTGTGTCCTGTACTTTGCAATTGTACAATTAAATTGTACAATTAAAGCAGAAGAAATGGAATCTAGAATGCATACAAAAGATGGACAACATCGGTGGGTATGGTGCATCAGTTATGGTAGGCTGCTTCAGTGTGGAGGAATATCTGTCAGTCGTGATTATTCACGTGGGCATAACCGTTCTATTCTGGAGATTACAATTACAGAAAGAAATGGAAACTTTGCGACTACCTCAAATACGAACTTTAAATACAGCAACGAGTTCATATGTAAAGACTGCCGTGCAAAACGCCCTTCTGTCCATGGAAGTTTGGTCGCTCACTACAATGCTAGAAGAATTGATTGAACCTTAAGCAGTAAAATTAGGACACAGTTTGGCTTTGATGGAATGAATCTAGGAATTGTTCTTGTGTCCTCATTCCCAAGGATAAAGAAGTTCTCTGCTTCACAAGAGGCCAGCTTGCTAAAGAAAAATAAAAGTGATTGTGAAATCGCAGGCTGAAATTGGAGCTGGACCCAGATTCTTTGTCAAATTGTGCTCTTGAAATGTCAGCGATTCTTTAACATTGCTCTGCTTCGCAGAACATGTGGATGGCAGCTACGGATGCAAAAACCTCCACAGGGAGCAGCACATTTCCCAAGACACTACCTCCAGCCATGTTCATGTCAGATTTGTGAGGTCTACACGCTAGATCTGGAAGTAGGGCTTGGAAACTTGAAAAGTTCATTCTTATGATAAGGCTTTTGATGATATCCTTAAATGTTGCTGGGTGTAAGTACAAGATGGTATCGAGGCTTGCATGCAGTACAGCTTGCCTATGCTATAAATGTGGCTTGGCACACATAGCATCATGCAGTGATTGCCAGGGCGATGGATGTGGGATCCAAAGGTGCCTTGCTTAAGCAAACAAAAAAAACTTCAATCTGCATCAAGCAGGGGAAGATCATATCCTGAACTATTTCCCAATAACCCTGCCCCCTGAAACCAGAGTTGGTGTTTGGGGGGCCGCTGAGCACTGCGGCACAGAAAAGGAAGCAGATAATTCTTGCTCTGTGATGGAAAACTGCTTGTAGTTCTCTGGATCAAAGCCATGGTTGGCTGATCTGATGAAACCTGACACCAGATCGTGCAGCATAATAAAGTATCACCAGTTTGTTAATTTTGTAGAGTGAATTTTATGGAGATTTCATAAATACTTGGAATGAAATATGTATTTCATGTCAAAATTTGCCCTTTGTTTAAACTATGATCACCACATATTAGCACTGGAGTTTTGGAAAGATGATATATATATACCTTCACCTTTCATTTAAGTACTTCTGTACTCCCCCTCCACCACCAAAAGTTGTATTTCTGTGGCTTCAAAGTTTGCAGCTGAAGGGAACGAGGTGAGTCTTTAGGTCAGTATAATAGGCCAAAGTATTTCTTGTGCCATAGCAAACCAGAACATTGCAGAGTTTACGGGAGAAGTAGTCCATTTTATTCCAAATAATTCAGAACAAAACTTCTCCCTTGGCTATCTTGGTTCGGTGTAAGTCAGACATGCATCCAAGTGAGCAGGACTTAAGATTTCTAAACTGCTGGTTACTGAGAAACTTAGCATCAAAAGCATTTTATTTATCTTGCGTATGCCAACTTTTTCTGCATTTCTAAAATAAGAGTACTTGACAAAACTAATGCTATTGGAAGTAGTTGGAGTCAGGTGAAAGGGGTCTTGTATAGGAAGAAGGGTTATTTTAATATACATATTTTTTAATGGATTTGACCTCCTCTCTCCTTAATAAGAAAGGAATAACTACAAAAGGTTACTGAAATTCTCTCTGGCTATTTGACTGTAATGCATTCAAACCCTGTTGGTAAAGGATGTCTCCCTCCTGAGACCCCTCCTAGGCTGTCAGACACTGAACAAATTCACAGACTAGTTTAATATCAGAGGTTGAACTACTCACAAACTCTGTTTTTAAAAAGGATTGTCCCAGTATTGAATACCACCACACCCACACCCACACCCACACCCACACACCATGGGCACATAATCATGACCTAAAATAAAAGGTTTGTGCTTTCTTTTTGGAACAGGGTATGTAATCTGTCTAAATTTCACGTGGCTTGCTATTTGTTAGTATCACAATTTTAAAGCTTGATAATGTTTGTCCAAAAGTGGAAACTTGATTAATTGCAACCCAAACGTGCTCAGCCTGCCATCTGTACCTTGCACCATTTTCTTAAGAAAATGTCACTGTAAGTTATGGGGAAGAGATGTTGGTTAAAGCAGACTTTTGCTTTTAAAAAAGCTAATAATAATGATGATAATAATAATGATGATGTATATCTACCCTTTGGATCTAATGTACATTTTTTTATGCAGCTGTCAAATTCTCTATTTAATCCCTTGGTTTCTCTGTAAATGTTTTTACTCTCTGTTTGAATGCTGGGCACAGTTTGTAACGTATGTACACAACGGTGTTTTTTTCTATCAATGTTGACTCTTTTGCACATTTTTTGAAATTGTTTAATTTGTACACTGTTTTAATACTCTGACCAACTGTTATGGAGTGTATGCGGATTATGTATGTGTGCAATGTACTACTGTTTTGAATGAGGATTTTTAGATTCCGTATAAATGTGTGTCCACTTCTGGCTTTACCTTGGTTGAGGAACTCAGGACATTAGCTTTGCTTACTAGTTCCCCCACAATAGTCCAAATCCAGCAACTTGGTTGTACCTGCAGAGCTTTGACACAGATACTGAACTCTGTGTGAATAGGGACTTCCCAGTTCACTCCATGCTATTTGGGGCTCTTGCCAGTTGACCAGTCAAATATGGTCAAGTTGACCAACAACCTACATCATGAATTCAATGTAACAGTTAACTTGGTTCTGTTTTGTAGCTAGTGCATTTCTGAATCCTTGCCCATTATTTGGCTGGAATGCTAGCCAGATTCCAAATGCTTTTTCACTGATGTGCAGAGTGCACACACCCAGCTTCTCAGAAGCATGGCGTGAACAGGAACAGGGAAGCCACTGCTTAATAGAGCTTCAAATATGTGTCAGATCCTCTGCGGAGTTTGGATTGTGGTAAATGTGTCTAAGAACTTTCCAAATATAGGGTACATAAAAATGCCTTCTATGTACTGTCTGTCCTGTTTCCCACAGACCTATTCCAGTTTCATTTCTACATGTTTTTTAAAAAATTGTTTTTTAAAGGTACTGCATTTAGTTAGATGAATATATAAAAGCTTTGAGAGATAATTTACTAGATAAATATATTTTCAGCTGGCTGATGTTCAGAAAATATTTTATTTTTTGTTTTTAACCATTCAAAATGTATTTGTATTTCCAAAATTAGACATGAATTGTATATTAAAACACTCTGGCTGGATAATGGTATGGTTTGTCTTGTAAGGTTTGTCTCTCTCTCTTTTTTAAGAGCTAAAAATGTTTCTGTGATACAGAGAATAATAATACTGTTCTGAAAAGCTGAAGGCAATCTTTCAATTTAGAGCTGCTTGAGAAAATTGAGACACAAAACCAATCTTAGAAAAGTCAGATGTTTTTATTGCCTGTTCTTTTTTGTTACATTGAATGTAATGTTTCCCTCTTGATCTTAAAGCTTTCCTTATTTTCTGGTACTGGGAAAAAATAAAGCATGTTGAAGGTACTAGCAGAATACCAATTTGCCAGCCTAGTTCATGGCTTGAAAGATTATTTGTATCATTCTTAAGACTTGCCAACAAAAAATTCTCATGTTGGGTAAATAGCACACTGGTGGATATCAAAAACCAACAGTTAGGAAAAGCGGTATTCTCTCTTTCTCTCTCTCTTTTTTTTAAAGAGCCTACTAATAGCCTGGTATGGTGTGGTATGTTCCATTGTTCATGCACATTTTGACCTTGTCATAGTCTCAAAAGTGTGCTTGTACAAAATGTATAAAAGCATTTTGATTTTTTTAAAACAACAACTATGTATTTACCTGTCATTTTTTTGCTGGTAAATGGCTTTTATTTTATTTGGGTTTTTTATCAATTATAAAAAGAAGCCATGTTTATATTCTGTGTTTGACCAAATTACTTCTGTTTTATGAAATTTGTATATTGGTGGTACACATCTTCGTGTAGGATGATTGTGCATGAGGACCTGCAAGAATTAATACAATGAAAGATTGGAGGTTGGTTTTTTTTCTTCCAAGTTAATTCTGGAAAGGTTATGGTGCAAAGGTTTACTGGATGTAACCTTATGAGCTTATGGAATGACTATAGAGAATGGCACTTCTAAGTGTTAATAAAACAAATATTTATTTCCACTTTGTTTTTTGTCTTTTCTAAGTGCATTAATACTTGGCATTTACATAATGCTTCGGAGTGATACCCAACAAGTCATGCTTGGAGTAGACCCAGTGGAATTTAATGGACAATTCAGTTTCAGTTTCAGTTGATTTCAGATTTCAGTTGAGCTATGACATAGCTGGAAATTATCCTTAATGTACTGACAGGGTTTTATGTACAGCACCTCAGTAATTATTACAACACTGCAGGGTAGGTTGGTGAAATCCAGTGCATGCTTTACCTAGAAGTAAACCACTCTGTGTCCTCTGGGGCTTACTCCTTAATGTGTTTAGCACTGCAGCTTCATTATTGTATCTACTATGCAGCACTGTACAACTTGCAGGTAGTGTTGGGTATTCATACATAATTTCTATATTGCTTTTCCCACCCCAGTGTTCATAGTACTAAAACAGCCACCTAACTGATTATTGATTGGTAAAATTGGTATACCTCTCAATATAAAAAGAAATCTATACATTTACATGAAATATAATTAAGGGGGTAGGGGGAAGGTGAATATAAAATCATATAAAAATACAAGACCATCAAATAAATTTTTAGAAGCCAAAACTGAGTACTGTAGAACTATATCATAGTTATAACGTGAGTAGTACACAAGAAAGAAAAAGTTTAAGAATTAGAAATGAGCGAAAGCTTGGGTAAGCATGTCTTGGTAACAGTTGTTTAAAGCTGGTTACTGTCTCAACCTTTTGAGCCACCCAGGACAGGGCATCCCAAATGGAGGGTGCCACCACCAATAAATCCTCCTCCTTGTCTTAAGTTTACTTACAGAAACATGAAGAATGTAACAATGATGCAGAACATCTATTACGCTTTGTGTACTTCTTACGCAGGGCAAAACATTTTAAACAATGCAAAGCAGACGAATGTTTATACAAATAAAACCAATGTTTTAGACTTATTACCTATAGTCAAATAGCTCAGGCCAATGGCACCACTGTATATTATTAACATGCACAGGCCTATAAATGTGGACACACACTCCAGCCCCCATGCAGCTTACATAGGGTCTGAACATGCATCTTCATGCATGTGATTACATTGCTTTGAAGTCTTGCAGCTAAACTATGTAAGCCGCCTCAACTGAGAACTGTTAGGTGGAAAAGATGGCATGAAACCCAAGTTCACCAACTTGGATGGATTTAAAGGTGGATTGGACAAACTCGTGGAAGTGAAGGCTTATGTTGAACCTCTGTATGCCAGTTGCTGGGAATCAAACGGGGGGAAGAGGGTTGTTTTACTCAGGTCCCGTTGGCGGACTTCCCAAAGGCATCCAGGCAGCTATTGTGAGAGCAGGATGCTGCACTAGATCCAGCAAGGCTCATGCACTCAGTGCCTGCATGCCTGAATTTAACAACTCACATTTGGTGTTTTTGTTTGTTTGTTTTGTTTTTGGCTAATTGTCCCTGCACTTAATTCCTTCCTGGGCCCTTTCTTTATGAGAGCCATACACACGTGGCAGGTACCTGATCGAGTGGACTATCCAAGGCCGGATTTAGGTTTGATGAGGCCCTAAGCTACTGAAGGTAATGGGGCCCTTTATATGTCCAGCTGTCCTTTGTCAACAACAAATTGTCCGTGTTTTTTGTGTTGAATATACGCTACATGGTAACTTATGGACCTAATAAGGTATCTAAAGCCATTTGCACATGCAGAATGTGTTGTCGTTTAGTTGTGTCCGACTCTTCGTGACCCCATGGACCAGAGCACCCCAGGCACTTCTGTCTTCCACTGCCTCCCGCAGTTTAGTCAAACTCATATGAATGTAGAATGTAGGCACCCTATATACAGAAATGAGCAAACCAGTGATATTTTAGGGAGCAGGCTAGCAGGCGGGGCCCATTACTTACATCATAGGAGCCTACACAACATAAAACACTGTTGCTGTATGTAGGTTTTATTTGTTTTTTCTCTTATATTTTGGAAATGTACATCAAGGCGTTTTTTTCCTTTAATTTTTTGGGGGGTCCCCAAGAGAGGGGCCCTAAGCTATAGCTTGTTTAGCTTATACGTAAATCCGGCACTGGCTAGCCCACGGATGCTTCTTCTTGTTGTTGTTTAGTCGTTTAGTCGTGTCCGACTCTTCGTGATCCCATGGACCAGAGCACGCCAGGCACCACGGATGCTTAGGCTGCCTAATAAATCTGTTAGCCTTCGAGGTGCCACAAGCCTCTGGGCTGCTCTTTGTTACATCTTCGTGGATGCTTCAGCTGAGATTCCTGCATTGCAACGGGGCAACTTTACGATTCTAGGACACCCGACGATCAGCGACCTCCTTTCTGCCAAGCGGGCACGGCCGGCCCTCCTGGCCTCCCCGGGAAATCCGCCTCTTTCCTGGGCACTTGGGAAAGCGGCTCCAGGCTGAAAGAGGCCCCATCGCGGCAACTTTAGCCCTGGGGGCGCACGCTTCTTTCCCTCCCGTGCAAGCCCCCCGTTCCTGTCCCCCCCCCCCGCAAGATCGGCCATGTTATGGAGGCGGAGAGGAACCGGATTCGCTCCCTGTCCTGCTCCGGAAGCGGCGGGGCGAATGGGAAGGGACGCGGAAGGGAGGCGCGAAAGCGGCGTTGCGCACTCTGCCGAAGCCGCGAGCCGATGGGCAAGAAGGAGCGAGGTGAGGAGCCGGAGAGGCAGCCCTTTCCTTTGCAAGGGGAGCGGAGCCCAGAGAGATCGTCCCGACCGAGTGGTCCCCAGGGATCTCATTCCCTACGCATCCCTAGCAAGGGAGATTTCCAAATCCTGGAAGCCCTCGGGGGTCCCTGTTTTCTTTCGTTGGGGAGGGCTTGATTACCTTACCTCTTTTGAACTGTAGGATGCATGACGGGATAAGTAAAAGAGAGCATACCTTTTATTATCTTAGGCACCTTTGTCTTTTTTCAACACATGCCTATTTTGGGGAACGCAGCTGTAAAAAGGCGTCTTTTTTTCTGGCAGCTACAAAATCGGTATCTACAGTTAGGCAGGCCGATTAGCTATACTTGCTCCCGAGCCCTGTTTTATTCACTTTGTGTTTTTAGGCATAGCTTTCCGGTTTGAAAATTCAGCTCTCCTAAGTCACGTGTTGCGTACTGCTTTTCAAAACAACTTTTGTGAATAAAAAGAATTTCTGCATGCATCTATGTGCTAGGGGCCCAAATCGAAGATTGGAACTGGCAGTTGGAGTTCAATGATAAAATGCAGGCCCTTCCAGCAGGAAGTTTCCAGGTTTTTATCATCAACCCCTTACGGTTAAGAAGAGTTTGGAAGCTTAGCAGGGTGAATGGGCTGACTGAATGTCTCAACATTAGCCTCTTCTAGGGTTCATTTAAATTAGTAATATAGCTGTCAAGGAGCATAGAGAGAACAGATTTTTGGAGCAACACTGGTGGAATGTTTGGAGTGTGACTCCTGAGAATTGGCTGGATTGGAAGCTTGGTTCTTCAGTGATGTGTTTGAGTTTGACACTCCTGCTTTAGAGGGCCAATTTGTCTTGGTTTATTTGACCTGGTACTCCTCTTGCTGCCCAGTGAATACTTCTCTCTCCATAACTGTGTGTTGGCGGTATAAACAACCCAGTCTGTGCCTCTTGCTAATTATTTTTTTAAAAACTCTTTAGTGGCATGACTTTCAGAGGCGTATTAGTCCATGGAAGTTGTAAGCAGACATATGTGCATTTGAAGGAAAACACATTATCAGTGCTTAGCTTGCAAGCACATTTCACTTCCATTTTTAAAGCAAATGAGTGTGCGGTTGTCAATCAGTTATGTCACTCTGTTTTGGGTCTTTTCTCTTGCTCTGGATTTTTTTACATGGACATTTCTTGGAATGTAGAAAATACATTCACAATATGTGAATGTAATGCTATTTGCTACACATTCATTTGCTACAAATATTTTCATGGTAGGGAATCTAATTTTGTCCTAATAACAGGAAAGGCTGATAATATCCTATAGCCATATGCGTTTTCAATGAGACAAAAAAGCGGATGCAAAATGAGGGAAGTCTAGTCCTAATAGTTGCCCTGCTCCACATATTCTGTCAGGTGGGGGGTGGTAGCTGGGCGTAGTTTGTGGGAAAGCCTTCCCAGTCAAATTGGGACCCCTGTCAAGCCTGGTTAGATCTGAGGACCAAATGTCCCCCGTCAGGGAGCAACTTTTGGTTTTCTGAAGATTCTTCATAGAGAAAGGGCAAAGGGGTTCCATATGGGTTTCTCTACAGACAGTATAGTATTGTAAAATTCAGCGCCTGTGATTTGTTTAGCAGGAAAAAAAATTCTGAGTTGCGGGTGTGTTTTAAACCGCTTGGGCCTTGGTTTTCAGATAAGAAGAAATCTAAGAAACGACACTATGAGGAAGAAGACGAAGAAGAATATGATATCTCAGGCAAAGAGTCCCAGGAAGCCGTTCCCTCGGCAGCAGGGAAGCAAGTGGAAGATTCCTCAAACAAAATAGATGAATATGGAGCGAAAGACTACAGGAACCAGATGCTCTTAAAGGCTGATCATTCCTCACGCCCCTTGTGGGTGGTAAGTTCCATGAACTTGGAATGCTCACGTTTCGGCAAAGGAAATGTATCAAAGTATTTGGATATATTGAGCTGGTTTGCATGTGATGCTGAGCCAAACTATGGCTTAGTGTGAACACAGAGGTTCCCAGAGAGGAGATTGCAGCCGGTGTGCTTCTTCTATTATGCTCTTGCACTGACGTGAGCTGTCCCAACCTAGACTCATGGATTGGAATAATATATGAGTGCAGTGGGACTTCTGCCATCTGGTGCACGGCATTTCCAGGAGAACACTTAAAAGTGATTTATTCCCCACAGGTGTATTTTCTTCAGACTGCTTGGTAGCCTTTAAAAGTTACCTTTCTTCCAAGGAGCTCACAGCTCGGGGTAGCATGCATGGATGCTTACAACACACATTTGCCCTTACAACAACCGTGTGAGGTAGGCTAGGCCATCAGTATATAGTGGCCCCAAATCACCCAAAGTGAAGCTTCATGGCATTTGAACCTGGGTCTTTCCATTCCTGCTCCAACCACTACACAATTGGCTTTGGGTGAAATTGTTTTATTATTAATTTTAATTATGGATAGGTTTTTTTAATATTCAGATTTATGCTTCTTACGTTGCCATTGGGTTTTATTTGTTGGTGAACTGCCTTGGTATTCTCGAAAAAAAGGGTGGGAAATAAATTCTTTTAATAATGATGAACATACAGATAATATAAAGTATTATTACCATTGATGCTTGCCTTTTTTGTAGGCCCCTGATGGCCATATTTTCCTCGAGGCCTTTTCACCTGTTTACAAGTATGCCCAGGATTTTCTAGTTGCCATCGCTGAGCCTGTTTGCCGACCCACCCATGTCCATGAATACAAGTTGACGGCTTACTCTCTCTATGCTGCTGTCAGCGTGGGCTTGCAAACGAGTGATATCACCGAATATTTGCAGAAGCTAAGTAAGACTGGAGTGCCAGATGGGATCGTTCAGTTTATCAAGGTAAGCGGTTAATCATTATCAGCTTGCTTTATATTTTAAAACTAATAATATAACAACAACAACAACAGTCTGTTGCTGTGCTTGGAGCTGCCCAAGAACATCGGTGCACAACTTAACAAGATCTTCAATAGATGAGTGGTGGAGACTTGCCAGTCCCAAAGTCACTCATTTAAGTGGGGCACAGCAGCGAAAAGAAGGAGGAAGCTAAACACTGAGGATCGGGCATCATGAAGAAGTGTATAGGTAGCTCAGTGGAGCAATGCTCTATGGATGCTGCAAAAGCACAGCCACTTGCTGCTGTGAACCTCGGCCAGGATTTTGCAAGCTACAGTGGTGCCTCGCAAGACGAAATTAATCCGTTCCGCGAGTCTCTTCATCTTGCGGTTTTTTTCGTCTTGCGAAGCACGGCTATTAGCGGCTTAGCAGCTATTAGCGGCTTAGCGGCTTTAAGAAAAAGGAAACAAACGCGCAAGAACTCGCAAGACGTTTCGTCTTGCGAAGCAAGCTCATAGGGAAATTCGTCTTGCGGAACGACTCAAAAAACGCAAAACCCTTTCGTCTAGCGAGTTTTTCGTCTTGCGAGGCATTCGTCTTGCGGGGCACCACTGTAGTTCTGGTCAAAGCTGAGAGCGGATCTTTGGTATCAGGTCATTATGGGGCTAAGCCATGGTGTCTGTCTTCCACCCCTGGGCATAACATTTAGGAGAACTTCTCATGTGCATTCTACCCTTCACATAGTGAGCACTGCCTCATTGCCAGTAGGTGCCATGGCATGGAATGAAAGTGGGGAAACCTGCTGTGTGATGCGCAGGATTCATGTGGCCATGGGAGTTGTCTAAATCTCAGGTAGCCAACGTAGTGCCCTCCAGATGTTGTTCAACAACTCCCTTCAGCTCCTGCCAGTATGGCCAATGGTTGAGGATGAGAGGGCCTGGCTGCCCATGTTCTAAGCCAGGGTTTCCAGTTCCCTGCTGTTTTTAGACTACAGTTCTCATCATCCCTGACCATTGGTCCTGCTAGCTAGGGATGATGGGAGTTGTAGCCCAACAACAGCAGGAGACCCAAGTTTGGGAAATGCTGGTCTAATCCAAGTTTTTGAAAATGTGGGGCCTTTGTTCTCTTTCATGATTCAGGCAACTTGACCATGTAGCCTGCCTTGTTGGCGATCTTGTGAAATAAGCTGCAACATTACTCTCGCCATGTGTATAATGCAAATTGAATATCTTCAGGAGTTCTGTTTCCAATGCTTATTATTGTTTTGCAGCTTTGTACGGTCAGCTATGGGAAGGTAAAGCTGGTCCTGAAGCACAACAGGTAAGCAGGTGTTTGCTTTTTGAGTTGCAGGGGATTATTTCCCAACCCATTCCCAAATCCCAAATAATAGCTGATTACTGAGTTTCGGCTGGGGTGCTGCTTGAGTGAATTATCTTCTGTTATAGAACGCCATTGCAGAAAGCAGTGTGATTGGAGAAGCAATGTTCTTAACACACTGCCTCTTTAAAAACTGTCATCAAGTATTAACTGTGCCATTACTTCACAGTTGTCCTAAAAGTACATGACACAACATCCTAGCAAAGTGTGTCATACAGAGGAGCAACATGCCCCGTGGAGGCAGACCTTCTGTAAAATGGTGGTAGATGTTGTTAACATTTGTGAAATCTATAGAATTCCCTCTCCTTTTCTCTAATTCCTAGGTATTTTGTAGAAAGCACCCATCCTGAAGTCATTCAGCAGCTTCTCCAGGACCCGGTTATTAGAGACTGCCGGCTGAGGAATGCAGAAGGGGAAGAAACTGAACTCATCACTGAAACATTCACGAGTAAATCAGCTGTACGTTGAGATTCTGGACCACCTTTTTATGTAATATGTCCCCTTCTTTCTTGACTAGAAGCTGTAGAAAAGCTTACCTTCCTGCTGTACTCATCCCATTGAGTTTCCCACTCCATTGGAGGTATCAGAGATGGCCATGAGGCATGTTGGTTACATGTTTCACTGGGACACTCTACTTCTCTTCTTCTGCCAGCTGTCCTCACTGCTGTATGGCAGTGATGTGGGGCTCCTGCTTATTTGCAGCCTGTATTGGAGTACAGCTTGTCTCATTAGTTGCCTTTTACAAGGTCCAGCTAATTGACAGAACTTAAGCCTCTTTCTAGCCACCTTTTCCTCTAGCCTGATGAATTTCTGTTCTAGATTGCCAAGTCTAGTGAAGGGGGCAGTGGCCCTTCGACGTCGCAAGGGACAGATGCTCAGGGTAAACCAGGTGTTCCTGCTGACTTATTTGAGTTTTACGAACAAATGGATAAGGATGAAGAGGAGGAGGAGGAAACCCAGACTGTGTCTTTTGAAGTGAAACAGGTAAAAAACAACCACACCCATAAATTTGATGGCACCCCCATTGAGGAGTACCCTAGCCACAGCATATTGAATATGAATTAATTCAGTTTTGCAGTAACAGCATGACTTGGCAGGACATGGTTCTCCGTGGTTGTTGTCAGCCCTTTGCTGCTTAGTTTGAAGAGCCATTTTCCTTCCTCCCAGGCTCAGTTGTATCTGTGGGTCCTTCAGTGATCTTCAGTTTTGCATGCCACACTTCAGCCAACTGCCTTGGCAGTTTTGTGTGACCGCAGAACAATGTCCTTTAAACCAGTAAGACCAAATGTTCCTTAGAAACTGATTTCTATTGTAGTATGATCATTTGTCTGCAGCTGATAAGGTGAAGTGGATCTTGGCCATGTTAATGCAAACTCTTAACCTACGTTTAGCACGGCAAAGTATATTGAATGGTCTTTCAACAGGTATACAGAGGAAGAACCAAGGCTACACATTCTGTTCCAAGGAGAATATCCTAATTCATGCTTAGTTTGGTCTGTGAACATTGATAGTGGCTGCTCTTCCCTTCCACAGAAATAGAATAGAAATTGTATGGCTGTCTGTACCATAGGGAAACCAGAGCTGAGAATAGTTCTGGATTGAGCTCATGACTTCAGTGAGTGTGCTCCTTCACAAGCAGGGCTAGGGAACCTGATAGGCCCTCCAGGTGTTGCTGGACTACAACTTCCATGATCCCTAACCATTGGCCATACTGTTCACTCTTCTGGTTTCAAGGGCAAATTACTGTATTTTTCGCTCTGACCATAACACGCACATAGTTTTCAGAGGAGGAAAACAAGAAAAAAAATATTCTAAACGAAACAGTGGATGTATGATTTTTGTGGTTCATGCTGTGGCCACAGACATGTGATCTGACGGTGAGTTTGGGGTAGCCCAATGCAAAAATCCTGAGGATCCATGTGGATCCGTGCTTTGTAACCACGTTTTAAGTGGGGAGGGAAGGAAAAGCACTCAAGGGGCAAGGAGCACACGTGGGGTGTCTGGAGAAGGATGCTGCTAATAATGCAGAAGAGGGGTATAAGGGGAGAAGGCTCCTCTCCTCTCCCACTTTGCTCCTTTAAAACAAGCAGGCTCTGCTTCTCTCCCTCCTCCCTGGCTTAGAGAGCTGAAAAGCTTTGCTGCTATGTCGCGAGCTGAGTGGGGAGGAGAGAGGGACAGAGAGCACGGTTTAAAGCAGCCAACCAGACAGGAGCCGTTTACACCTGTGTAAGTGGCTCCTCTCCCACTTTGCTGTTTCAAAGAGAGCCACGGAGGAGGGAAGGAAGGGGAACCATGGATCCTCTCCTCACGACTGCAGCAGATCCCCCTCCCCCGCCACCCATAGGCATTCGCTTCATAACACGCACAGACATTTCCCCTTACTTTCTAGGAGGAAAAAAGTGAGTGTTATGGTGCAAAAAATACGGTAGGTATTTTCTCCTGAATAACCTGAGTAGCGTAGAGTACATGTTACCTTATGTTCATGTGCACTCAGCCTGAGAAGTTGATCAGGATGAAGGTTAGATATTAAAACTGTAGTAAGTGCTTTCTGCATCCCCATCAGCTGGAGCTCTGAACTTCAATCAAGTATATAAATGTAAACATATGCTAGAAAATTAAAGCATAGGAGTGATTTTTAAAGAGAGTTGATTTTCTTGCTGTGGCTCATAACATGTGAGAAACATTTTCGGATTTGTCCATGATACCCAAAGCGTTGCAGCATGTATATGTGTTTGTGTGCTAGTTAATAATAATAATAATAATAATAATAATAATAATAATTCCCCTCCATCTTGATGGGCCACCCTAGCCACCAAACACATAGTCAAACATTAAAAGCTTCAGATATAGCAACCTGACATTCTTCTTTCAAGCCTTACAGGAAGATTGTAGCTGAAGCTCCCAGCGAATAGCAGAGTAGCAAAATGAGAAAAAAGATTTTGCCCCTGCTTCTTTTTTAAGGAAATGATTGAAGAGCTTCAGAAGCGATGTATCCATCTGGAATACCCTCTACTGGCTGAATATGATTTCAGAAATGATTCGGTGAATCCTGATATTAATATAGACTTGAAGCCAACAGCTGTCCTCCGACCATACCAGGAGAAGAGTTTGAGAAAAATGTTTGGGAATGGCCGTGCTAGATCCGGTGTTATTGTCCTGCCTTGCGGTGAGTTGGCTGGGTTTAAGTTAAGAAGCTTTCTCAAATTCTCTGATTTTGGCTTAGGCTTCGTCACACATATGAGAGTGTTTATTTTGCCGGAGAGCAATCACTAATCTGAACTTTTATGGATATATATTTCTTGTGCTTGTAATGTCTCTTTTCATTCCTCTTGGAACAGCTTATCCGACTTACTCAACTTGCATCTACATTTGTCTTGAGAGCGTTACCTGGGTCAGATGTGCCAGTTAAACTTTTCCATATTTGTGTGACAGGCAGGACATGCATCACAAGTGCTTTTTCATATGACCACTTTATTAGATGTTCTCTCGATAGAATGCAGCTCTCTGGGGTCTTGTGCGCTTTCTATTCTGGATCCTACCGCACCTTGAGCTGTGGTGCATTTCAGGCACATTTTTGACAACTTCCCATCTTTTTGTCCACTGCAGGTGCTGGCAAGTCACTTGTAGGAGTCACAGCTGCCTCCACGGTCCGCAAGCGGTGCCTGATTCTGGGCAATTCCGCCGTCTCTGTAGAGCAGTGGAAAGCCCAGTTCAAAATGTGGTCCACCATAGACGACAGCCAGATCTGCCGATTTACTTCTGATGCCAAAGACAAGCCAATTGGCTGCTCCATCGCTATCAGCACTTACTCCATGTTGGGGCACACAACAAAGAGGTCGTGGGAGGCAGAAAAAGTAATGGAATGGCTGAAGAGTCAAGAGTGGGGCCTTATGATCCTTGACGAAGTGCACACCATCCCTGGTAAACAAACCGTGTCCATGTCTGTGAACAATCCCATTTGCCCCAGTCTTAAATCCAGCACTACAGTCGTACCTTGGAAGTCGAATGGAATCTGTTCCAGAAGTCCGTTCGACTTCCAAAACGTTTGGAAACCAAAGTGTGGCTTCCGATTGGCTGCAGGAAACATCTGCAGCCAATCGGAAGCTGCAGAAGCCCTGCCGGATGTTTGGGTTCCGAAAGAACGTTCTCAAACCAGAACACTCACTTCCATTTTTGCGGTGTTTGGGAGCCAAAACATCCAAGTTCCAGGGCGTTCAGGGTCCAAGGTAAGGCTGTACTGAACTAGGGCATTCCCAGTTATTTCATTCTGTAATTTTGACATGTGCTGTCACCTGGCTTCAAAAATTAATACATGTTTCGGAACCCTAACATGGGTGGAGCATATTGCAGTGCTGCTAGTTGCCCTGAAAACTGCTTTGTGAGCTTTCTCAAAACAAGTAGGAGCTGCATTTTTTGTAATACCTACTACTTGACTATGATTGCTTTGTAGCCTCTCTTTTCATTATTCTTAAGCGGAGAGGGAGTGAAAACCCAGTATGATTCACTATATGACATTTAGATTTAGACATGGGCTAAACTTATTGCAAAACTTGGAGATTTCATCTCTAAAATGCGGGACTAGGGGTGGGTGGAATCACAAACCATCTCACCAAAAATATTGGGTCTTCAAACCCCCCTGAAAAATACAATTTAAAGACTTCCGGGGTGGCGCCACCAGCAATGGCGGACTCCCTCTGAACTGGAGGGACTAGCTCCGCGGGAAACGGGTCTTCTCCGCTACGGCGAAGCGGGGACCCTTTTAAAAATCACAGGCGGATGAAGCCTGTGACCATGGGACTCGGCGGGCACCATTAGCGGCCCCCCAACCCGCTAAGGAACCCACTAACGGGCTCCGAAGTGAAGAGGGGGAAGTGGCGCAGTCAACTGCTATTTCCATGGAGCGAAGCCGCATAGCCGTTGCTGGAGAGCGCTGCCTTTTTCCTGGGACAATTTGGACTTTAAAATAAGCACCCGTGAGTACTTAGACTTTGAACAATTGGACATCAAATAAGGACTAGCGAGCAGAAAAGAATTGGATTTTAAAAACCTACTCTAATTTGGTTCGGAACGGGAAGGTCTAAACAGGAAGTCAGCCTTCCGTTCTTTTGTAAACAGAATAAAGCAAAGACAATTTAAACTAGAGCTCAGAAAATCGTCTTTAAAGGATTGGATTTCACCATTTGAAATTGTGGAACCCCCCTTCGACAGCAGGAGAGGGGGGGATCTTTTTGGACTGTTTAAAGTGACTTTAAAGTAAAGTAACTTTCCTCCGTCCTGATCCTTGAGCGGGGTGTCAGGACTGACGTTTGAAGTTCATTGACCAAAGACAAGTGTTTTTGACAGATAGCTAAAAGAAAAGAAACATAGTGATTCCACTGTTCCCCTTCGCATTTTAAAGGAATATATATTGACAAAGTATCTCAAAAAGGGAAACTTTGTTGCAAGAACAAATAGAAGTTTTCCACCTAGAGGGAGTCTGTGAAACTGTAACCAACTCCAGGGAGCCGGCAGCTGTTACAGATTACAACCGTGGGAACAGGCATCTGACCTTGCAGGACAATGTATTCAGAAGCTTTGTTGTGTGCTCTTTATAAAACAAATGCCCTACTGGAACAATTACATGAGAAGGTGAATTGGATGGCGACTTCGACTAGAAATTTTGAACAGGCAGTGGGAAAATATGTGGAGCCCACTCAGGAATTAAATCAGAAGTGTGTCTTGACAGAACAGGCCCAACAGGAATATGAGTTTTCGGATTTGACAAATGAACTTGGAAAAAGCCAGATTTGGAAAGGAAAAGTTTGGTTTGGCTAGGAAATGGGGGGAGGATTGACCCCCCCTATGCTGGGACGTTTGGACTTTTCAAATATGGCAGTGGGCCGTGAGATGTTTGGGTTTGTGGGGGCTCTTAATTTTGGAGGGTCTTTGAAACATGCTTTTAAATACTACATGTAATTCAGTGTTGAATATGGAAAAGGGGCTGATCTGTCGAGAAGGGTTAAGAACATTGTCAAGCTGGAGTTACCACGAGCAGGAGACAAAGGAAAAAACAGTTACAAATATGAAAAAGAGTTGCGGAAGGGACATGGAAGAGACTTGAGGGCCTCAGATATAAGGTTGCCAGGTTAATGGGCTAGATCGACAGGATAATAAGGACTGACAAAACCCGGAACCAGGAGGAAGGGACGTTGGATGAAGATTGGATTTGTATCTCTTTTCTCTACCATTAGAACTGTTTTATAAAATTGATGAATGTTAGAAAAATGTTGGAATGAAATTACTTGGCTTTAGCAAAGATGTTTAAAGAATTATGAAAGAATATTATGGTTATGAGAAGTTGGTAAGGATAAGATTTAAGTTTTAAGCTTTAAGGTTTATTATAGAAAGATAAGATTAAAACAGTTTAGGGTAATGTAATGACAGAATATTATGAAACGGAAAGGATTTGCTGGGATAATTAATAACTAGGATACAAAGAAAGGGAGGAGGAGGAGGTCTAAGAAAGAAGGCAATGACAGTTAAGGATTTGAAAATAATGAATTTGTTTTTAAATGTTTTTATGTATTTTTGTATTTTTCTTTTTTTTCTGTCACTTTTTTTTATTTTGAATTTTTACTCATATGGTGGGAAGGGGTTTGTTTTTTTTCTTTTTCTACTTTGTCAACTATTTTTATTTGTACTTTCTTTTGCTTCTATTTAATTTTTTTCTTTTTGTAACACTTTGAAAATTTTAATAAATATCATTTTTTTTTAAAAAAAAAGAAAAATACAATTTAAAAAGCATACTTTTTCTTACCAAATTTAATATTGTTCTGTTTATTTTAAAAATTATAATAATGTGCTCGCCTTTCCATACTAGGATGGACCCCCTCCTCCCCCGAAATATGATATGATTTTGCAACTGGGAATTCTTCTTTTATTAAGCAATTAATATACTAAGGATGTGGTCTGTGTATATTTACTTGGAAGTATCCTACTAAGTTTAACAGACTTACAGTCAGGGAAGTATATATAGAATTGCAGCCTGGAATTCTAAGCATAGCAGATTTAATTCCCATCTTGTAGGTTGTCCCTAGTTTTCTCAACTTCAAAAATTATAAAGAGGCTGCTTACTTTTGATTTGATTAATGCTTGTAGAGCATAAAAAATAAGACTAAACCCACCTGGTTAAAGAAAATTTCTAATCTAATGTGGCTCTTCGAAATAGGCATATTTTTGCCTAAGCCTTTTCATGTTACTCACAGTTCTAAAAATAAATGTGGCGCTTCAGCTTGAATGCCTTTCTAAATATCCCTTTTCGAAATCAAGCATAATCTGTTCTTCTGTGATTCTTCAGCAAAAATGTTCAGGCGTGTTCTGACCATTGTTCAAGCCCATTGCAAGCTTGGGCTGACAGCTACTCTTGTCAGAGAAGATGACAAAATCGTAGACTTGAATTTCCTCATTGGGCCTAAACTGTATGAAGCCAATTGGATGGAGCTGCAGAACAATGGCTATATTGCAAAAGTCCAGTGTGCTGAGGTAAATTATACCTTGCTCCTTAAAGCTGTTGTTCTTCCTTGGACTCCTGATTATGTTCTTAAACATTCAGATTATGTTCTTAAACATTCAGAGTAGCCACAGAATTGCTTTTTCTGTAGATCAATTTCTTTTTTCTAACCTAAAACTCTGAAATGTCTATCATTGGGTATACGTCCATGGGTTATAATGCTCCTATTCTGCAATGAGTTTTCCCCTATCATGGAATTTAAAATCAGGAAACAGGACTGATACAAATCATGGCAAATTTTCCCAGTATTAAATCTGTTAGCTTTTCAGCTATTGCACACAGCTGAAAAATGAAGATGCTACAAATACTACAGTCTTAAGCACTCTTGAGCAATTGTTTGCTTACAGTGGTCTTTTTATATATATTTGCCTTACTAAAGCCCTTTTCTGGTATTCATCTTCTGAGTTAAAAAAGCACCATGGAGGGTGGCAGCAGTGATGAGTATGCTACTGTCCCTACTTAATTTGCTGGAGGGGGGAAACTAATGCATTCATCTCTGTGTCTCTCTCTCCCCACCCCCAAGCGTTTGCTTAGTTCAGAAGAAGAATGCCTGAAGAGAGCTTTCGTCTTGCAAATAGACAGTATATAAAAATCCTCTCTCAGAAAGTTGCATTTTGAGTTAACCCATTTTTACCATGTGAAATAACCAGTCTGCTTTGAAACGCTCAGTTCTCCTCAGCAACAGCAGAGGGCAGCGCCCCATTGCATGATCAGGCAACGCTGTGTTTGGGGCATGTGAGTTGAACTATTTCTTGTTAACTTGAAACCAGAGAGGTGGATGGCAGGAACTGCTGCACAGGGTTTACTGCTCGTAAGGGTGAGAATACTGGATGAACTGCAGCCAGAATGGTATTTGCCCAGAAGTGGGAAGAAGATGCTGTACCAACTAAGGAAGAGCGGCTGATTAAATTGATGGATTATGCTGAAATGGCAAAACTGGCAGGTGTAATAAGAAATGGGGGGGGTGATCTTAAAGAGTGGGGGAAATTTTTAGAATATTTGAAAATTTCTGGCATACAGGCACGTTCATTAGTAGGATTAATTTAAACCAAGCAGTTAAAATTGTACTAAGATAAATGGAAGAATAACAAAAAAATGGAGTAAAGTGGAAAATGCAGTGTTATACAATCTAAATTAGAAAAGGAACCACAAAAGACTGGGTGAGGGAAGTCAAATATGCAATTGTATTGGAGGTATGTGTTTGTAAGGTGTGTATTTGTCAACTTTTGAAAAATGGAAAATAACATTTATTTTAAAAAGAGAATACTGGATAATCTGGCAGGGTGACCCAGAGGCCTGAAAGTACCCGAACCTAGAAATATCACTAAAAGTAGTCTACCCCATATTGGGGGGTGGGAGTGTGACATCACACATTTCTCTTACTTTTATTAAGCATTGCTTCACGTCTTGAAAGGTAGCAGTGAGAGAGGATGCACAGGTGAGTCATCTATCCTCAGCTCATTGTGTTTAGACACAATGCACTGATTTACGTTGTCCAAGGGATGCAGTGAATAATTTTCCTTCTTCTTTTTAGGTTTCCTTTTAAAAATTCACAAACATCCTTTTTCAATTGTGAATATCTCCTCTTGTTGAGGTGCTGTGTGGCTCCTTCATCCTTTTTTATCATACAGCATAACCTATAGACTTTTATCATAGTTCTCTTCTGAGAAATATCTTACAGAAATATCCTGACTGGAATCTAACTTTGTTTTATTTGGCTTAAACATAGGTATGGTGCCCAATGTCTCCTGAGTTCTACAGAGAGTATGTGGCTATTAAAACAAAGAAGAGGATATTGCTCTATACAATGAACCCAAACAAATTCAGGGCTTGCCAGTTCCTGATTAAGTTTCATGAGCGAAGGAATGACAAAATCATAGTCTTTGCAGACAATGTGTTTGCTTTGAAGGAGTATGCAGTTAGGCTGGGCAAGTAAGTATTGAATGAAGCATAGACATGAAGATATATATGTGTTATGCTTACCCATATGTTTCATATCCACAGTAAAATGGAATGGTGAACAGCATTGACTCGCTTAGTCTTTTCCCAGTGCTGTCAAAAATAGCATTTGGTTTTTCTGCTGATTCTCCTTCCTCTTAAAAAACAAACTATAGTGATGGAGAGCAAGAGATTATTATAAACATCTATACAATTTGCAGAAGCAATATTTGGAGGAAGGGTTCAAATCTTGGATCATATGTAAAATTGTATTCTAATTAAGAGATTGTATCCAACACTATTTGTGAATGGAGCACACTGAGCCAGTTCCTACAGTACCAGGGTCTATAGAGCCAGAGTCCGGACCTTTAAAGGTGCCTTCCCCTAGGCTGGAGGAACTGAGGGCCTCACAAAGTACTTCACCAATTCAACAGTACAAGAAGCGCACCAGGAGGCCATGAAGTGTGGGATAAATTCCTGATTTCAGGCCAAGTGTTGGCCTTTTGTTCCCAAAAAGCGATAGAGCCTAGGAGTAGTGGACTGGAGGCCAAGACTTCGAAGGCCTCCGGTCACTTCCGCTCCCTGTCAGAGGAAGTTGCCCAGTCAGAGCTCTTGGCAGAACTGTGACACTGACCCTCCATACCCTGTGGGCTCTTCTGCAGGAGCAGAACTGGATACCTACATAAACTTTAAACTGAACAAAATGAGATTTTTATTAAGAAATGTTCAGTGGTGTGGGGCTTGACTGGACAAAAGTGCTGTTGCTCAGAGAGAGCAACAGAACTTGTTTAATGTTGCTTTAACTACTTCTAAAAAGGGGTTTATCTTATGTGGAGAATTGTGAGGACAGTTGGAAACTTATTCAAATAAGTCACATTAGATACGTTTAGGCCATAGTTCAGTCATAGTAACATGCTTTACATTTGGAAAGTTCAGATTCAGTCGCTGACATCACCACTTAAAAATATCAGGGACCAGATGATGCAGAAGAAATCAAGTCCCCGGAGAGCCACCATCAAAGCAGACAATACTAGGCTAGATGTCCAACTGGTTTCATTAAGATGTAAAGAAAAACTCTGGTTTATTATTATTATTATTAGTGGAATGAGTTACGGTGAGGCTCTGGATTGCGTAGTCTTCTGGCACAGCTGCGAGGAGGAGACGGGAGCTTTTGCATATGGACAAGCTGAGACCAAGACAACTTGGGTCCTAACCCATCATTTGAAGCTGACTTGATTCCACAAACCGTAGTTAAGATTAACCACAGCTTGCTCAAGTTCAGATGTAATGACAAGATGCAGTTAATAAAAAATGGAAGGGAGAGCTTCCCACCTGCCTGTCATTGTGCTGGAAGAGGAGAGGGAGAGCAAAAGCACAAGAGCCCCAGCTTCACTTCAGCTGATTCCTTTAATGATAAAGTATCATTAAATCCAAACATAACCAGTGTCTGACGCGGTAGAGCAGTGCTTACGGTTGTTTATTTTGAATTGACCTACATTCTGAAACTTACCGGTTCATTATTTCCAACCCAGCGATGGTCGCTTTGCCAATATTTGCCGATGAATATAAGCATAATAGCAATGTGGGAGCAAGTTTTACCACATGCTTTTTTGTTTCTATAGTTACAAATCACCTTTGCCTCAGGACAGGGTATACTGTTTAATGTACAGGTACAAAAATGCTGTCTAAGAACCATAGAAGTACTGTGTCGAGTGGTGCTCGTTACTGCACAAAACAGCAAAATTGCTCATGGTAGCTGGGAGATACTGTGCCCTCACTCTCAAGTCATGCTAAGCCGAGCCATGGTTTAGCATGAACAAGCAAAGAGCAGAGGTTGAAGCCACTGTTCTCCCTCCCTTCACCAGCCATCTGGTTACTATGTCAGGCTATGGTTTCACTTAGTATGTTGTTTGAGCTATGGTTTGTGGTTTAGCTCTCTTCCAGACAAACCACAACCTGGAACCAAGGTCAGCTCTATGGTTTGCAACTCATACATTGTCTGGAGAGAGCTAGACAACAAATCTGCATAGTCTTAAGCATTGTTTGGCACTGCATGTGAACCTGGCCTGTGTGAATCTGAATCTACCAAGAAACTGAAATCCATATATTTTCTCAGATGTGTTGTATATATCCCTTTTTCTCTCTCTTCCTTTGGTTTTGTAAAAAGATACGGTTGCTCTTTTGTGTGGTTTCTTCTTCTTCTTCTTCTTCTTCTTTTTGGCCAAGTAAACAAGACATTTCTTCCTCCCTAGATGGTTTTACTTCTGTAAAGCCTAAACAGTCTCTTTGGTTGCTGTTCTTGACCAAGCTCTTTAGGCTCAGCAACCTGGATACTCTGTCCCAAAGGGTGCAGGGACACTCCCAGAAAAAAAATTAATCCACAGGGCAGCTTGTTACGCAAGGACACGAGTGGGAAGGGGGAAGGGAGGACACAGCTGTTAATGTGCTAACTCAGTGAATTTAACAAAAGAAAACACCTTTTTTATTTTAACAGCTGCTGCTATCCTTTCATGTAGGATTAGCAGATAAATTCAGCCCACTGATCTGTTGAGTCAGGAGGCACACATCAAGCGAATAACATTTACAACTGTCTGGATTTATTTCTTTGGAAGGGGTGTCGGGAAGAATGGGTTTATCTTCAGGCGGGTGGGTCCTCAGTGCAGTCGGCAAAGAATGCTGCAAGGAAAGCAAAGTATTTTTGTATTTTGAATGGAATGTGGAAAATATGCGAAACAGATTTATTTTAAAATTCCCATGGTTTTCGAGTCTTCGTAATGCCTGTTCCACATACCTGAGTCCATGGGACAGAAGGCGACACCCGTTCATCACAATTTTTTGTGTCCTTTTTTCTATTTAGACCCTATATATATGGGCCTACAGCACAGGGGGAAAGAATGCAGATCCTACAGAATTTCAAACACAACCCCAAAATCAACACCATCTTTATTTCAAAGGTAATGGAAAGCGATCTGTTAGTTACCAAATTGGCTTGGGATGTTACATGGCTTATTTTGAGCAGCCTGTGAAACGGCTATAATGTTGACAGATTTATTTATTTACTTTACTGTAGCCCACAAATCTGCATTGCTTGTTAAAGAGTTGTTTGCTTTTATTTTCAATGCTGGAAACAACACATTCGTTAAGAGGTTGTTTCTGTATTGTAGGTAGGAGACACGTCCTTTGATTTGCCAGAAGCCAATGTCCTCATTCAGATTTCGTCCCACGGCGGGTCTCGAAGGCAGGAGGCTCAACGATTGGGTCGAGTGCTGAGAGCCAAAAAAGGTAACTCAAGGCCTGTGCCCCTGAAAGTCTTCCATTTTAATGGGACACTCAAGCATGAAAGTAACATAAGTCAACTCATGTAGCCGACTAAGCATGTACAATTTGCCATTGTGCTAGTTTGTCACTATCAGCTCCAGGTCACAGGTTAAAACAAAATTCAAGGGTAGTTCTAAAACGTGCTGCAGTAGGGGGCCATCTTTCCCTTTGTCTTTCTTGCCTAATCGCTCCTCACATGACACTGAGCATTAGCATTTTGTATGTCTTGTAAAGACACACTTTCGCAGGCCTTGTGCTCAAGGGGCTCTGTTCTAATTGTTCTTACTGAACTTCCAAGGCAGCTGTGTTAGAGTTCTAAGGTGTGTCTGTTGCATAGTACTAGGATCTTTGCATAGGATTTGGGGCTTGGATGAACATGCTTCCTGCTGCTTTGCTGATCATTTTTAACACCTTGACCAGCAAAGGGCTCTATGCATGTGGCAGTGTGCTGCTGGCAGTAATGGCACCCAGCTCTTAGAATCGTAGGTTTGGAAGGGGCCCCAAGGGTCATCTAGTCTAGTACAGCCCTTCGATGCAAGAATCTGTCACCCAACATGGGGCTCAGACCCACTTCCCTGAGATTAAGAGTCTTGTGCTCTTCCCAACAGATATCATTGGATTGGGGGAGATTAGAATTATCCAGTGTTTAAGCATAGGGATAATGGGAAGTAATTGCATGGAATAAAGAATTCCTGCCTACATTGATGTGTGTGTGTTTCTTTCAAATGAAGGCATTGTTAGGGGGAAAGGAAACAAGAATAAATATGAAACATAAGAATAGTTGCTAACACCAAATAGCTGAATTTTACTACTTATAGTAGAAGGTTGTATTTTAGCTTGCTTTACATGACCTTATGGAAAGAATTCTAACGGTGTTGTGTCTTTGGTTTATAGCTTGGGTGTACCTCATATCCTAATACAATCCTAGCTACTCAAGTGAAATATTGGGTATGGAGAACATACAAACAAAAAACCACTGATTTCATATATGACATGTATAGGTTGGTTGATGCGAAATATTCTTTGTGCACTACACACCAGAAGGGTATGATTCTGCAATTACTGCAAACGCTGAATGGAGGGTGGCAGAAGGAAACCTGGCTCCTGCCCAGTTGACTTAGAGAGACCAGGGTGCTTTGAGCTGAAATAACCACTTGGGACTTTTGCCCATCTAAGGGGAGCTCTTTTCCTTTGCCTAACTGCAGCTGTTGAATTGGCAGCTGGTGGTTTACTTGATTATCAGCGATCGTCGGCTGCTGACATGGCAATAAGATAACTACAAAATGTTTGTTTCTTGACATCCTGACGTGCTTTTATGTGCTACTACTTCTCTAGGAATGGTTGCAGAGGAGTACAATGCCTTCTTTTATTCCCTGGTCTCCCAGGACACTCAAGAAATGGCATACTCAACCAAACGTCAACGGTTTCTAGTAGATCAAGGCTACAGCTTTAAGGTAATGTTGTCCCCCGTTAACTTGCAATATTTTTTACAGTGACTGGCACCTGAGTGTTCTGTGGATCAACAACGCCGCAACTTAGAAACACAGTAACACTGCACTAACTTTATTACCTCTGGTTCTGTGTTGCTCATAAAGAGATAAAGGTGGGACAACAATCACATCAAATATGTTGCTTCACCTTGGTTATTTAATAGTTAATTGTTTAGAAGTTGCACTGTTACTGATACAAACTCGAATTTATTTATTACACACACACCCTGCTCTTTTCTTGAATTAGCTCAAGGCAACATGTACAGCTCTCCTCTATTATCCTACCAAATAGGCTGGATAATAGAGAGTGGGATGGAGGGGGTTAGGCCTTAGATCACCCAGTGGGCTTCATGTCTATGTGGGAAACTGAACTTTGGCACTCCCCAGTCTTAGTCCAATTCCATAACGCAGGGGTAGCCAAAATAGTGCCCTTCAGATGTTGTACTACAACTTCCAGCAGTCTCAGCCAGCCCAGTCAGGGATTCTTCTGCTAAACACTGTATCACCCCGGCCCATTATTTCCTCAGATGATGATGATGATAATAATAATAATAATAATAATAATAATAATAATTAATTAATTTATTCATACCCCGCCCATCTAGCTGGGTTTCCCCAGCCACTCTGGGCGGCTTCCAGCAAAACACTAAAATACAATAACCTATTAAACATTAAAAGTTTCCCTAAACAGGGCTGCCTTCAGATGTCTTCTAAAAGTTTGGTAGTTATTTTTCTCTTTGACATCTGGTGGGAGGGAGTTCCACAGGGCGGGCACCACTACTGAGAAGGCCCTCTGCCTGGTTCCCTGTAACTTGGCTTCTTGCAGCGAGGGAACCGCCAGAAGGCCCTCAGCGCTGGACCTCAGTGTCCGGGCAGAACAATGGGGGTGGAGACACTCCTTCAGGTATACTGGACTGAGTACAGTGCCGCATCCATAAGCTTCACTATGAGAGGCGTAGTTAATTTCTGTATGTAACATCTCTCTCCCTTCCTGTGTCTCAGGTGATCACTAAACTTGCAGGTATGGAGGAGGAAGAGCTTATGTTTTCATCCAAGGAAGATCAGCAGCAGCTTCTCCAAAAGGTTTTGCAAGCATCAGATATGGATGCTGAGGAAGAGGTGGTTGCAGGAGAGTACGGCTCAAAGTCATCTCAGGCAAGTGGATATCATGGTAGCCTGTCAAGTTTGATGTGGAGCAAAGAGGAATTTAATGTTCAACGCCGCTCACCACACCCACCGCCCAAGGGAAGTGGCCCTGCCTCTACCTGCTTCAGTGGCAGTGGCTTCTATGATGAATGAGAGGAAAGGAAGTAGAAAGTTATTTTCCCCATTCCTGTCCATCCTGCAAGAAAGAATAAAAGGAGGGAGTTTCTTTCAGGATACAGGTAGTGAATGATTATGAGGGGACACAACCTCGCTCCGAAAATAAAGTGTGTGTGTGTGTGTGTGTGTGTGTGTGTAACTATCACAAATCTTGTTCACACATCATATGAATGTAGGGGTTTCATATGTAGAACAGACATTGCTACCCTGACATTGCACTTTCTGCTGGTCCTAGCCTCTCCACTCCCACATGGCAGTTCAAGTGTAGGCACACTCTGCTCAGTTGAGACGTCTGTGTGAAAAAGGGTTGCAGGCTGTGCCTTAGACGGTAGACGTTACTAAATTCTTACCCTCTGTCCTTCTAGGTTTCCCGGCACTATGGCACAATGAGCTCTATGTCTGGAGCAGATGATACAGTTTACATGGAATACCAAGCCTCACGAAGCAGGGGCTCCTCAAATAAACACGTCCATCCCCTTTTCAAACGCTTTAGGAAATAGTACAAGGAGAGTGCATTATGCATCTCTTCTTCCTGTAAGAAGAGGAGATAGATGAGTGAAGCAAACTCGTATTTTACAAATGGACTTTACCTTTATTATTTATGTGTGGTATTTCGTAGGTAATGCTTTCAATTTTTATTTAACAGTTTAAAGATGACTTCAGAATAATTCTCAGCTGAGGAAACTATTTTTTGCATATGTTTGTTACAAGTACACGGTAAAGGTTCAGATATCTTGAAAGCACTGAATAAAAATACTCTGTACAAAAACTACCCGTAAATCATCTCATTGTCTCTTTTTCCTCTGACTCCTCTTGGTGCCTCAAATTGGATGCCTTTAATGAAGACTCAGCCATGCTAAGAACAGTGGTCCTATTGATTTCAGACCCTTATGTAATGCTTCTGATCTAGTTTTTCCCCTAGCCATAGGCTTCCAAGAAAAAGTGATGAGAGGAGTTGCACATACCTAAGACTGGGAAGTGTTGAGCCATATTACATATTATGCAGTTTTGGTCCTTAACCATGATGCTTATATTTCCTTTTCAGGCTCAACGGCCAACAATTTTCAGTTCCGTGTTATGCCAATGATATGGTCCTTTTATCCCAGAGAAACATTTGAGATGGGTGTTTTAGTTAGGAGATGTAGTAATAAAAACTGACAGGTTACACGAAAATTGAGATGGTCTTTGAGTATAATCCTCCTTGATTTAAATATACCATGGACAGTCATCTGTTGGAGCAATTTTTCCTCTGCTATGTTTTGTGCAAATAAAGGCTGGTGTTACCAGATCTAATACACCAGGGCTATAGGCACTGTATAGATATACCATACTGCATTGCATCTTTTTGAAATGGAGGTACTTCCCAAATAACTTGTGGATCAGTTAAAACTTAACAGATACAGTGGTACCTCATGTTACAGACGCTTCAGGTTACAGACTCCGCTAACCCAGAAATAGTACCTCAGGTTAAGAACTTTGCTTCAGGATGAGAACAGAAATTGTGCAGCTCTGGCGCAGCAGCAGTGGGAGGCCCCATTAGCTAAAGTGGTACCTCAGGTTAAGAACAGTTTCAGGTTAAGAACTGACCTCCAGAAAGAATTAAGTTCTTAACCCGAGGTACCACTGTATAGGGTTTCTACAAAACTTCAAGATCAGTTTCTACAGTGGCTTCTTTCTAGTCCTAAGAACGTGGCTGCTATAACAATTAAACTGGAAATATACATAGGTGTCTCTACTAAAATTGACAGGTTTAGGTTAAGAAGTTCTGATGCATCAGGTCAAAGGCCCATTGAGTCCAGATTCTGCATGCAGGATTGAGTACAGCAGTAGTCTATCCACTTGTGATTCCCCATTCCTGTTCCAAATAATTCCTGGGCATAATGGCTATGTTGTATCTTAGCATGCAATGTGTACTTCCCTAATCTGTATACAAAATAAATGACACCTCATGAAAACAGTTGTCACAGATTCGTAAGAGTTTAGGCCAGATGTAGTTTGACCAAAGAGTTCTTACCAGGCCAAGGTTTACTGAAACAAGGCAGTCCTGAAGGTTGCAGTGAGTGTTTGATATTGGAGAGCGAGAAGAAATTGTGTTTCCATGTTTGTGTGTTGTTTTTAAGTGACCAATATTGCAACGAAGGAAAGAAAATGGAAGATTTTGCATGTTTCTTCTTGCCTGTTGCATTGTACAAAATAAGTAGCACTTTGGGGTATATATTTGGCAAAAATAGTTGGATGGCAGACAAGTTGCAAACTGATCTTTTAGGTGAAGATGCGTAAAACTACAAAAAGCAAACGAGGTGTTGTTAGCCCGTATGAAAAATTCCTAAAACCACATTAGGGTGATACTTTTATTTAGCCAACCAAACCCTTCTTAAATAGCACACAAGCTTTCAATTTTTCCAGAACTCATTATGTTAATTGGTTTTTAAAAAGCAAAGGATGGTGGTGAAAATTTTTGGCTGATGTTAAAGCCATGGATCAAGTCTGCGTTTCAGTCAGTCTTAAGATGGAACGTCGGAGGAGGCAGCAGACATTCAAACGGGACTGTAATAGTACAGTGGTCTAGTTTGCATGTTGTATTAAAAAGGTAAAGGGACCCCTGACCATTAGGTCCAGTCGAGACCGACTCTGGGGTTGCAGCACTCATCTCGCTTTATTGGCCGAGGGAGCTGGCGAACCAGAGCAGCACACAGAAATGCTGTTTACCTTCCTGCCGGAGCGGTACCTATTTATCTACTTGCACTTTGACGTGCTTTCGAACTGCTAGGTGGGCAGGAGCAGGGACCGAGCAACGGGAGCTCATTCCGTTGCGGGGATTCGAATATGTATGAATTGATCAATATAATTATATCTTAATGGCTATCACATGGAAGAGAGAACAGGCTTGTTTTCTCCTGCTCTGGAGGGTTGGACTCGAACCAATGGCTTCGTGTTACAAGAAAGGAGATTCCGACTAAACATCAGGGAGAACTTTCTGACAGGAGGAGCTGTGGAACGGACTCCCTCAGGAGATTGTGGACTCTCCTTCCTTGGAGATTTCTAAGCAGAAGCTGGATGACCATCTGTCTTGGGTGCTTTAGTTGAGATTCCTGCATTGCAGGAGGTTGGACTAGATGGTTTTTGGGATCCCTTCCAACCCTAAAATTCTAAGAACAAACCCATTGAGGGAATTATAGTACTCGTGCCCCAGGATTTGCCCATTCTTCATTTCACACATCCATGCCACCTCTGTTAATTGGTTTGATTACTAGAAGATTCTGGCAATTTTCCTAGCATACCTTGTGATTTCCCCTTTTCCCTTTAATGCAGCCCAACTGCTAGATTCATTATCATTCATTATCACTTAATTGGAACAGAGCAGGCTGGGAGCACATTAAGCTGCTGGGACCTCTCCCCTCCCCCTTGCTGGTGCCTTCAGTGCAATAATAATTCATAATTATCGCCCCCGCCCCCTGCTGCAGCTGTTGTTAAAGGTGGTGCTATCACAACCTAGCCACAATTATTATATTAAGAATTGTATTTTTAATTTTTGCTTCTTTATAAGAATTTATTTATTTATTAGTGTGCACATAACCAAAAAAGGAAAAGCAATAGAACCTTAAGAACCAACATAAAATATTACATACAACAGCAGCCAGTTTCATTAGGCTTCAAAAACTTAGCAAACTGAAACATAATCTTTAAATTAAATAATCTACGTCATTTTAAAATATGGTTTAGCAACACTAATTTACCAAATAAAAATATTCTTTATTTGTTGAAAGCCTACCTGTGGTGAGAGACTGTTCAACGCAGCCATGAAGCTCACTTGGTAGCCTAAGGCTAGTCATTTCCATCTCAGTCTAATATGGTAAGACCCATGCACACTGCTTGGAGCTCCTTGGAGGAAAGGTAATAGATGAATGAAAGAATGTGGCTGCAACAAATGATTCCTGTAAGCAGGTGCTCACCTAGGCTGGTGAATTAGTAACAACAACATGCTACCACCAAGATGCTTTTAACATTCTGCACATCTCAGGCTAATTCCCTGCTTTCTCATTAATAGTTATCACAATTGCTATGTCTGCTAGATGTTGTTATCTGGAGCCTAAAGTAGGGTACCTGTAAGTTATCTGAGAATAAGAGGGTTTCATCTGTTCCCCTTAGCTGTTGGGTGCTTGTTGTTTGTACATGGTTCCTCATCATCAAAGTTCCTCATCACCAGTCTCTACTTGTGAAGACTTGGGCAAAGAGCCATATAGCCGCATGTTGCATATCTTGATATATCAGAACTGTGTTCCTTTGTGTGAGCTTATATATAACCAGAATTGTGTCTTGATTGTAATCTTATAGTCTGCTGCTTTGAATAAAGGGAGGGGCAATCATTTATTGCTTTCCAATGGTAGTGTTTTACCTTATGCAATCTTTTTTTGCAGACATAATATTACACTATCATGGGACTGATACCCAAGCAAGCATAAAATCCCAACTACCTTCAACTTTTCCACTTCCACACACCCAACTCTTGCATTAACAGAGTTCCACCAATTCCACCAGCCCAAATATATTGCTATGTGGTGTAACTTTTTCCAGTGATGTGGTTAGTGCTCTGCAAGTACAAGGGAATTTGGCGTGATTTCTGTTCTGTCTAGCATGTACAAAGATAGGATCATGCAGAAAGTCTGAGTCCAGTCTGCTCTATGGGCTGGTGAAACACTGTTGACAATTATATATGCAACCTTTTGAGGTTTCAACTAGCAATATATGATCCTCCTGTAACAGTATTGTCAGCTGACGAAAATACGTTGATGAATGATCATAGAAATAATGGGTGGTATATGTTCTATAGCAGGTTTATTGTCAGCAGTTAGATGTTTCAAGATGGGGGGTGTATTTATAAACCACCACAAGTCTCCTGCCTGTATAGTCATTCCCAAAGAAGAATCACAGAGCATTTTCAACTGTGACTAGGACCTAATTAAAGAACAACAATAAGCATGCCATACTAGCTAAAAAATCCATGGGAAGTAAAAGGATTTATTATTAAGGATAATTCCTGGAAGAAAGGTATCTTCTTTCTCTTTAAACACACAACAGTATCTCATTTTAGGTCTCACTCCTTCAGTCACTACTCAAGCAGAACTCTTTGAAATCAATAAAAGTTGAGACTGAGTAATGATTGCTGGATGGCTCTGGCGATTGTTTTCTCACTCTTTGAACTTGCCACTTACCAAAAGATTTTTTAAAGAAAAGTTTGGCATCTGTTATTACAAGCTTTTAATTTGTGAAGACTGATTATGTTCCAAGCAGTCTCTCGCTATTGGCCAAAGTAAAAGAGGGGAAAAGTTTGCTTTGTTTTACTTGAAAATGTTAGCCTGACTCATAGTGACAGTCATTCTTCATGTTTGTCTTTGTGCCTTTTTCTGACTGCTGTGTAACTTTCAGTTTAATTAGATCGGCTGCATACAGATTTATCAACCACCACCTAGAGAGAAGATGTCAAATGAACTCAGCAGTCAAGTCAAAATGACATCTGGTCCTTTGACTTCTCTTTTAATTAAAGGAGAAAAGTGCACAATTTTAATATGAGATCATGGGAACTACTTGGTGTAGGCATTTAAATTATTAAAAGTAGGACTGCGTGCCTGAAATTTATATTGTGTGTAATAAAGTGCAGTGTATAGTATAGCATAGCGTATGGTGTAACTTTCAATGTATTGTGCTGTGTTAAAAGAAAAGAATTATAGTGAGGGTATTTGAAGCTCAGTGCAAGAGGTGGGAAGACTTTTACAAAGTTATGTCTGCAAAAGTGGCCAAATGTCCTAAGCTGATATCTACATACAGTCAAAAGGCTTGAGATAAACAAGCTTCCTCATCCCTTGCCTTTCCCAACACCATGTTCCAACAGCTGTTTCTCCTTTCTCGATAGTCTTAAAAATTCCACCTAGTGTCACTATTTCTCTCTTCCTCCTTAGCTAAACCATCATGTTCTGTCTCCCAGGCAATAGATGTTGGCAGTTTCCTACTGCCAGTACCAGGAGATGTGCTATTGATTTAAACTTTTTCTCATCATCTAAGTTAATTTTACTTATAGTGTGAGAATGAGAAAAGGAAATGTGAGCTGGATGAACAAAATATTTGGTGAGATATAAGCATACATATGCATTAAGTGAAGGCTTATTATTATTATTATTATTTAAAAGGACATAGAATGTTAATCAGCCAAAGGCCTAGTTACAGAGAAATCCTTTCACATAGTGCCTAAAAATATGTAATGAAGACACCAGGCACGCCTCCCTTAGGAGAGCATTCCACAAATGGGGAGCCACTGCAGAAAAGCCCTGCTCTTGTGTTGCCACCTTCTGGACCTCTCATGGAGGAGGCTTTTGAAGAAGGGCCTCTAATGATGATCACAGGGCCTAGGTTGGTTCATATGGGGAGAGGTGGTCCTTGAGGTATTGTAGTCCTGAGCCATTTAAGGCTTTATAGGTCAAAACCCACTTCCAGAATTGGGCCTGGAAACTAATTGGCAGCTAGTGCAGTCAAGCCAGTTATATGCTCAAACCATCTTGCTCTGATGAACAACCTGGCTGCTGAATTCTGCACCGCCTGAAGTTTACAAACTATCTTCAGCCCCATGCATAGCAGTAATCTTATCTAGAGGTTATCAGAGCATAGATGGCAGAAGTTAGGCTACTGCTGTCTAGATAGGGGCACTGCTGGGCAACCAGCTGAAGCTGAAGGCAGGTGCTCTGCACCACTGAGGCCACCCGCAAGTGACAGCAATGGATCCAGAAGTATTTGCACCTTCAGAGGAAGTGTAACCCCATCAAGTGCAAGCAACCTCCTCTCCATCTGGTCTAGGATGGATATAGGCCCACTAACAATGCCTCAGTCTTATCTGGATTGAGCTTCAGTTTGTTGACTCTGTCCTCAGTAAAATTTCGTTTAATACCACCCATTGGGCTAGATTCAACTAAACAGCAAAAGGCGTTCCAGGGCTTTGTGCCTGCGTGTTCCCGCTCCCTCAATTAGGTCTGGGGAGTTGGGAGAACCCTCAGAACAGCATGTGAGGGAAAGAGGGGGACATTGTTCCATCTGGCAAGCAGAAATGCATGCACTGATAGGAAAACTGATAACAGGAAAATATTGAATTTCTTTCATTCAGTGGGTTTTCTCTGAGCATGACTTAGATACCACTCCTGGTCTGCAACGTAAGTGGAAAACCAAACACTAACAAGCAAATAAAATTAATTTAAAATTGACTTTCTATTGCTTTAAATCCTACATTAGCACATATATTACACTCTATTGACTAAAAATAACATCAGTATTCCTTGTGGAATGTGTTAGCAGGACTGTTTCTAGTTATGGAGAAAATATTGATGCTGTCATATTGATAATACTATAGAAAATTATGTTTTATTTTACTTAAAATTTACATAGCAGCAATGCAGAGTGGGAGTAGAGGAAAAGGCAAGACAGAAACTCAGCCAAGAACAGTGCTACGTTTGGGCAAGTCAGAAGAAAACTAACACAGTGAGAAGTGAGGGGAAGAATCTGTTCGGGTTCTCTTGGAGCTGCCTGCTCACTGATGTTGATCGGTTTTCATTGGTTTTAACTTTTGAAAAGTTCAAAGAGAGATTACAATATAGTTTGAAACTTAGATGATTCTCTGTGTAAACAAAACCAGAATGGTAGGCATGGATACTGTTGCACGAGAGTGTTATGCAATGTCCGGCAGGTCTGACGTAAAGCAAATCTGTTGAACTGGAAAATGTTAGACAGCTACAAGATATTATTATAGTACTTCAGCAATATGTAAGAAGCAAAGGGCATGCATGCACACACTTATAAGGAGCAGTGGAGGACATCATGGCAAAGATGTGTCATTTATGCAGTTTTGAATGCATTTTCAGCATTCTGTGTACAGAATAACTCAGGGTTCCCCCTTTGGTTATTCTGCTGCACACTGAGTGCCCTTCTTTGTGCAGCTTAGGAATCGGGCTGAGCATTAGCTGACACATGGAAACCAAGCCGACCAAGAGAAAGAGGCGCCTCACAGCCAAATCCTCCCCTCCTTTTTTTGCCAAAACAGTGGGGAGGAGAGTAGAAAAACCTGCATGTTGACCAGTTTCAGATCAGACACTCATGTGGGGCATTTCATCTGACCTAAATGAAACAGAATACATGCCGCCTCCTTCCCCTCATGGCAGGCCACCCCGCCTTTTCCCAGCCTCAGGGGAGGGAGCCTTTAATAATGGTCTGTGTAAACTGATGCTCAGGCAGCGAAGAGTTTGGGGAAGAAGCACTGCTGGACGAGAAATCCCACAGAGGAGCCGCGACTCAATGAAAGGCGGCAGCCCCTGAAGTGCAGCAGACAGAGAAAATGTCTCTCCTCGCCAAGGTCTTGAGAAGGGACTGCAGGCAGGTGCTGGAGCCTCGCAGGAGCTGCGTTGGCGGCGTGGCTTTTGTCAGCAGGCTTCACCAGCTGCCCAAACTTTCAGGCAGCCCGTCCCTGGAGGGGCAGAAGGAGGCAGCTGCGAGAGCGGAGGACAAAGACGACGACGACGAGGAGATGGGGGCAGCTTCGGACCGTGGAGCCCGGGGGCTCCTCCTCGACGCCTGCCAGCACCCGAGCCACCAGAGAGTGAGGAGCCTGAGGGAAATGCCCGGACCCAAGACCTTCTCCAATCTGGTCGAGTTTTTCTGGAAGGATGGCTTCAGCCGCATTCACGAGATCCAGGTACCATTGAGCGGAAGGGGATCCGTGGCAGGAGACGGTCGACGAAATTGGGCAACAAAAGAGCGAGTGAATCACGGTGGTGGGACAGGAAGATTGCACACGCATTTCTCTCCCCTCGCAGGGCTCCCTTGTCGTCTGATTGAGAAGCAAGGAGGGCAGCTGTGTGTGTGTGTCCCCCCCATTCAGAAAATGAAATCAGTTTTGTGTTATTTCTCCAAGACGTAGCCTTGCTTTGTTTTCCAGAGGAGTATATGATGAACCCTTTTGTAAAATATCGGGTTGCAGATACAACCTAGAGAGCTTGTAGGGGGGTGTGTGTCGTTCTTTTTTTTATAAAAGAACGGTCTGATAACTTTACCGACAAGTCAGAAAATAGGTGCCAGAAAATATAACTAGCTGGTATTTAAATAGTTTTGAAGTCTGAAGCGTGACTTCTGAGGTGGTTTTTTGTTTGTTTGTGGCAGATGCTCTGAGGGGACTGAAAAGAACGTGAAAAGGAGGTGTTGCGGTCGGAAATGTCTGAGCTCCAGACTTTGGTCAAGGCTTTTATTCCGAACTACCCCCCCCCCCGGACCGTCTCGCCGTGGCGGGAGACGCGCGTGACGCAGCCTCGTGCGTCGTATGTGTGTCCGCGAGGAGCTGACGAGGGAGCTCCGGGGTCGCAGGGCTGAAACCCGCACCTTTCTCCTCAGCTCCGGGGAGAGACCATTTTGTCGCCTTCGTTTGCACAGGTCCCCGGGGGAGGGGGGACGTTGAGTATATATGCACGTTATAGATTAGATAGATAGATAGATATGGTTGACCGGGGGGGGGGAGCAGCAGCAGCAGCAGCAGCAGCACGAGCTGCCGGCGAGAAAGTTGCACAAACGTCCCCTCAGCGGAGGCGGGCGCTTTGAAACCCTCCCCGTTTCCCGGCGAACTTCCTTCCTTCCCTCTCCCTCGCTCCCTATTGAAAGAGAGCGCGAAGCAGTGGCGGCTGGAGGAGACGCAGGGAGGCCACGGCTGCTCATCCTCGCGCAGCTCCCCGGTGCCCAAATGCCCACGGCGCCGGGTGGGCGACGAGGGCTCTTCCTCCCCCGCCAAAAGGCGCCACACTCCTCCGTTCGCCGCCCCATATGCTGGCGGGGAGATGGGCCCCACGTGACGTGGGGTTGAGGAGGGTGGTGGGGCCAGCAGTTGTCTGCTTTCCAGCCTGAACGGGGCCGGGGGGGAGGCAGGCAGGGTGATTTTGAAGAGAGGCAACGCTAAGATCCCTTCCCCACCCACCCCTCCCCGCTTCGGGTTGGTGCTTGGCTGCTAATTTGCCCACATCTGGTTCTGTGCTCAGCCCTTCCCCGCCCCCCCCGTCGCATAACAGGAGGGTTGCTATGGAGCCAGGAGTGTTTTGACACCACACAAAAACACATTTTGCACCCCCGCCCCGAAGGACTTGGTGCATTTGCCATCCACGCTGTTCCTGGCACTTGACAGCGCTAACGTTTTACATCTGCTTCGCTAAGCCTTTCATCCCAGGGACCGGTTGTTTTGCTCGACATGTGGGACTGCTTTATTTTCCTCGGGAGGTTGGCCTCAGCAGGTTTTAAAATGGCAAAAAGGATTTCTCTCTCTCTCTCTCTCTCTGTTGCCACCTTGACCATCAAATATTGCATACTGGGAAGTTTTGTAGTTGTGAGTAACCGCTGAGGGGTCCTTTCATATTCCCTTGCTAATGAAAGATAAGATATGATATATCCTGCTAATATATTTAAGAGGGTGCTCTCAGTGTATCATAGTGCTCACAGGAAGATGTGGGGGCAGACAGGAGTTAAGAAATGCACCACATCGTGATATTATTATTAATACATTAATAAATTGTTATTCATTAGTTTCTATATGGATTAATGCCAAAAGAGCATTCTTAGTGGTTTATAAGTATAAAAACCAACTGTGCAATCAATCAAATATCCATAATAAAAAACACAATGAAACAATCCAGTTAAAAGAATCCGCAATTAAAATATTCAATTAAAAAACCACAGTAATTAAAACAGGAGACTCTGGAGAGATCAAGGGAATGCTTGTGTAAATAAGCATGTTTCAAAAGCCAGTGGAATACCAATACAGATGGGACCTCTTATATTTAAGTAAGGGATGCATTTCCTAACACTGGTGCCACCAATGAAAAAGCCTGCTTCCTTGTTACCACAAGCTGATCATCATTAGGCTGTGGCAAGACTGCTGGCTGATCTTAATGCAATGGAGAGGATTTTGGTTTTTCAAGCATACTGGTCCAGAGTTGTTCAGGTCTTAATATGCAATTAAGAATACTTCAGAATTGGCTTGGGGGCTAAGTAGTCAAATGCATTGATTTCAGATTGTAAAACTGACAGGTCACAACACATGCTCAGAATATCAGTTCAGTATTTTCTGGATTTAGTTTGCCAGTTCACTTACATCCAAGTTCTAGGCATGTTAGAAGCCATGTGGGATCTTATGCAGCTTCTGGATTGGATGAGGAAGAAAGATAAATTGGGATGGCAACAGCATATAGAGATCTCACCAAATCTTGTTGTCTTGCTGCTTGGTTGTGCCTTATACACGCTGGATAAGGGAAGGAAATGGAAGGAATCTGGAACTGGAAGGGAAGGAACTGGAAGGACCAGAGAGTAAAAGACATACGAAAATGTAGGGAAATGACTTACTGGCATCTTCTGGGACTGACTTGCCAAAGGAGATTTCATCACCGCAACCACACCTCCTACATGCTCATATAAAAGAGGCATTTACAATCTCCCTAACCAACCTAGCAAGCTTATCCAAAAGCTTGTGAGATAAATACCTACCAAACTCTAAGTAACGTTGCCCATTAATTGTAGATTGAAGGCTGGCTTGTAATTAAACCCCCTTCCCAATTCTCTTCATCTCAATCCCCTCTTCCTCTGGAACCAGTATTCAAGAGGTGAAAACTGTCAAGAAAGAAACCCTCACGCACTAGCAGAGGTACTGTTCCACGGCGGGACCTTTGGGTCCAAATATCAATCTACCTGCTCAGGAAATTCAGCAACTAAACTCATTCTGCAAATGTAATAAGAAGGCAAGGGCACATCTAAAATGTTATTCTCCTTCAATGTAGCAGCTAAATCAGCTTGGATACAAACAGTTTTTCTTTCAACACATTTTGCAAATGTAGCACAGCAGATAACCAGGGCTGATTCGTTGTCCCATTAGAGACCTGGATATAACAGGCCCATAGCTACCCAGAAAAGTTCAGCTGATTGACCACTGTGGATACAGTGGTAATAGATAAGTAAGATTTTCACATCACCATCACTGCCACAAAAGAACACAGGCTCTGGTCTATGTTTGGTCATCCCTACCGCTTCATTGTCTTAAACTCTTCAGAATATTAGGGATCAAACCTGAAGAGACAGGGCGGAAATTGGCAATAATGGGGACTATTTTTTTCTTTTTAAGAAAAGACACTGCTGGAGGGTCACAACTGGGGAGGGAAGGAATAACCTTCCTGTCCCCTGCCTGTAATTATTTAGATAAAAACAAGAAGCCTAGCTTCTATTACGCATGAAGCATAATGTGCAGCCTGACCATGAACTGTGGCATGTAGGATAGTGTGTCTAGGAACAATAGTGTCAACTGCTCATACTATCACCTTGCTTTAGCAGTTGACTAGTACTTCAGTGGGACAACTTGCAATATTTATTTGAAGGAAATTCCCTGGAGAGCAGTCAAGAAACCGTTTGTAACCATTAGCCTTTACATAGGCAGATTATCCTAACTACTATTACTCTCTCCCAAGAAGGCTGTATTCACTATAAAGCTAATCACCAGGTAAGGATTTATCCATGTTGTTGTAAATACATTTCCCATGTATTGATCTCCAGTGTCCTGTCCAGTACAAATCCAAGGTGTGATTTGTAGTATAAGTAGGTTCTGATCCGTACCAAGAACAGCCCACTCATGCCATTAAGTCATGAGCTGCACTAAAGAGTTCTCAGCATGGATACCAAGATTATTTCACAAACACTTAATGAAGAACAGCACCAAACATCACTGAAAGAGGGTCCAGTTTCCACAAGCATTTTGTTGTTGTTTAGTCGTTTAGTCGTGTCCGATTCTTCGTGACCCCATGGACCAGAGCACGCCAGGCACTCCTGTCTTCCACTGCCTCCCGCAGTTTGGTCAAACTCATGCTGGTAGCTTCAAGAACACTATCCAACCATCTTGTCCTCTGTCGTCCCCTTCTCCTTGTGCCCTCCATCTTTCCCAACATCAGGGTCTTTTCCAGGGAGTCTTCTCTTCTCATGAGGTGGCCAAAGTATTGGAGCCTCAGCTTCAGGATCTGTCCTTCCAGTGAGCACTCAGGGCTGATTTCTTTAAGAATGGATAGGTTTGATCTTCTTGCAGTCCATGGGACTCTCAAGAGTCTTCCACAAGCATACTATTGTTATTTGACAATTGTTCCAATTCATCAGCAAGGCCTCAGCACTTGGTATGATTGCTGTATATTACCTCCAAGTTCAGAGGAAGCATGGCTCTGAAAACTAGTGGCTGCTGCACCCTCAACTCCTGCCTGTGGGCTTCACAAAGGCATCTGCATGTTAGACTCCTCATATCACCCATGCATTTATTGAAAATATTGACATAAAAGCCAACCTTTCACAATGTTGGTTGCACAATAGAAAGGGGATAGCTAATTAAATAATTAACTCAAACATTTTGTTTCGATTGTACATCCATGTAGGGAAATAAACCATTTACAGTTTATTGGAAGCTACAGGAAGTGGTAGCAAGCAAGTACATGACTCAGTCTGTAGTACTGTGTAGCTTTCTTGTTCAAGAGTTTTATGCAAACCACCACACTTATGCAACTCTCTAAAAGAATTTATAAAACTATGTTAAGAACATAAATGAATAGAATAAAAAATAATAATCTGAAACCTTTGAGCAATCACAGCAGCTACTTAAAAGATGCAGTCTGACATGCAGAATGTTCCATGCATCACACCATATGTGAAAGTGGGGGAGGGAGTTGAGTGGTTTTACAATGAAGGTTCTGTTTGTCAGTAACCTGACTCCAACATTAAACCGGCCACAACATCTATGCCTAGCTCTGCTTTGGTTAAAGAGAAACATCTTCCATTTAGAAGAGCTATAGCTATGCAATGTGTTCTCTGCATTGTTAAGCAAGAAAGCAGAGAATGATTTTTCCACCCCCCAAAAATCTATATATTTGCATGTGAAGTGGTATGTGACATTAGCGGGGGGCGGGGACGGGACATAAATTATAAACAGTGTTTTAATGACTGAACAAAGATTAAATGCTTGTATGACATTGGTGAGCGCAGTGAGCAGGCAATATTTCACAGCACAGCATTTAAACGTCACTGGGATTATTAGGAGGTTTTAAAAAATAATTTGCCAGATTTAGATTTTCTGTTTTGTTTCGTTTTGGTGAAGAAAGCCTTTATCTGCAGCACTACTGAGGCCATAGCAGATTGGATCCCTAAATTCTCATGAGAGCAGAACTCTCACAGAATACTCCAGCTGGCACATGCCGGGTAATGTGATTTTCACTTATTCTGTTCTTTTTCTGCAGCCCTCTGTGCTCTCTGAAAATATGCCCTGGAGGCCTGGGGACCTCCAGGAACAACGTGGGAGGGGGTGGGGGAAGGAATGGATGAAAATCACCACCTTTCACTCTGCCTGCAGAAGCCTTCCTTGGATGAGAGTTCTTTCTATTCATAGAAGGGCAGTTTAGGATCCAAGCCGTTGTTCTTGAACACTGAGCATAATTTCCAAAAGAATCTCAGAATTCTCAAGCACAACTTTAGTTTTTCTTTCTTTAAATAGATTTTGTTGCTCAGTTTCGAAATAAAGTGGTTCAGTCACAATTTATTAAACAAAGTATAATATTTCATCTTTATGTAATATAATCTGCTAGGGAAGGCACTTTTTAAAATTCTTCATAGTTCAAATGTTTTTCACCAGCTCTTCTTTCATAATTGTCCTCTTGTTGTCTCCAGCTGGCAGAGATTCATTGCTATATGAATAAGCCTTCTTCCCTCTAAAATTATATATAATTTTGCAATGTATTTAAAAGATTAAAGCTGTTGTAAGGTGGGGACATTTAAGGGCATGTATTTTTTCCCTTGGCAATCAGTATATAGACCATAAATAGTTTTTTCCAAGAAATGGGAAAACCAAAAGTATTGCAGAAGAAAGAACTGAACAAAAATGGAATATTTTGCTTACTAACATGGCTGTTCCTAGAAACAAAAAGCAACCCTCAACCCACTAGTCTGTGATAGTTACCAACCAACTGCTAATGTTTTCTTGGAAAGGAGATTGAAATGGCTGTGGTGGATGAGCTGTAGCCATTCTTGGCTGAAGCTATTTTCATCTAATTTCAGTCTGGGTTCAGATCTGGATTTGGGACTGAATTGGCTTTGTTTGTCCTGATGTATGACCTTCATTGGGAGAAGGGGAGTATGCTCTTGCTTCTTCTGCTTGATCTCTTAGCAGCTTTTGATACCATTGGCCACAGTATCCTTCTGGACTGGTTTTGTAGTATGGTGTTGTGGGCACTTGGTAGATCCCATACTGCTTGCAGTGTTGGTTCCAGAGAGTAGCTTTGGAGGAGTGCTGTTTGCCCCTCTGGAATTTGTACTATGAGGTTCTGCAGGGCAATATTATTTCCCAAGGCTGTTTAATATCTGTATGAATGTGTTGGGATTTGGAACAAAGTGTTACTAGTATGCTGAAGACAAATATTTCTATTCCTCTGTTAGATCCGAGTCAGGAGTACAGGCTCTGCACAGAGCTCAGTGCTAGGTGGGTTGAGGGCCAATAAACCTATGGAGAAATTCAATACAGTGCTAAGTGGTGTATGAATGTGGTGAAGGAAGTATATTCTCACAATGGGACTTTCCTCCATTTCTTCTGCCCATGTGCCCCCTAGCATGCCCCCAAACCTGGAGGGAGGTGGGAGTTCCACTGCATGAGCAGACCTCATTCTGAGCACACAACAACTTAGTTGAATCCCTCTTTTAGTTTAAAACCTGGCAGTGTGGAAGCCCTGTGGGTGAGTGGTTTCTGTGTCTGGGAGATAGGTCAGCAACCTGTTCTAGGTGGGGTTGCATTCCCTCTGAAGGAATATCTATATAGTCTCCTGTGTCACCTGAGGAGCATGTGGCCTTGGTGGGTAGGAACGCCTTGTGTCAGCTTTAGTTGATTAGACAGCTATGGCTTTTCCTGGCCTAAGAAAAGCTTGCCTGCTGTGGTCCTGGCACTGGCAACCTGAAGACTGGATTAATGCAATGCACTTAATGTGGGGCTTCCTTTAAGATTAGTCCAGAAACTGCAGCTGGAGCAGAATATTGCAGATAGGTTGTTGACTGGGACAGCCAGTCAGCACCATATAGCACCTGTTCTGAGGGTGCTTCACTGGCTGCCAACTTGCTACAGAGATCATTTCAATGTTTTCCTTTTAGCCTTTGAAGCCCTAAACAGTTTGAGACCAGGTTACCTAAGGGACTGTTTCTCTTCATATATATATCTCTGCCTGGAAACAGCACTATTCAGTTCTGTATGCCCCAGATGTGTGCTTAGCATACACTAGAAACTGGTTTTTTACAGTTTCAGCTCCAGCCCTCTGGAACAAGTTACATTTTGAAACACCTAGCATTCTGATATTTAGACAGCCAGTAATGATATTTTTATTTAAGAAGACTTTCATTTACCCTGCCATTTTATGGAATAATAACTGTCTAATTGTATTACTGGCTTTATAGACTTCCATTTACAGTTGTACCTCGGTTCCCAAACGCCTCCTTTGTCGTACATTTTGGTTCTCAAACACCGATAACCTGGCAGTAAATGCTTCCACTTTTGAACGTTTTTTGGAACCCGAACGTGCAACGTGGTTTCTGCTGAGTGCAAGAAGCTCTTGCAAGCAATGGAAAGCCGCACCTCAGTTTTTGAATGTTTCGGAAGCTGAACAGGTTTCTGAAATGGATTCTGTTCAAGAACCGAGGTACCACTGTATAAAGTTCTTAATCTTTCATATTTTATACTTTATCTTCCTTTATTGTACACTGCTTTGTTAAGTTTTTATTATAAAGTAAAATAAATAAAATGTCACTTCAAAACATTAAAAATGTGGGCAAAGTTCCATTTCAGGTTTGTTGGAATTTCTTAACTTTCTGTTCTTATTCCAATCCTAACACACTGTAAAAAATTATTCAGACACATCTAATGTTGAATATGTCAAACTCTTATAACGTTTATAATATCATTTCTATAAAATGAATAAATATATATTGTTTGCATGCTCTAACAACACATTCAAATAAACATATTTGACCACTGGGGTGGAAAGAGAGCATTTTCATAAGTTTCACAACTGGGCAAAACAGAAAGCACACCTGATCTTATACTTCAAGTTCTTGAAATTATGTACAATGCCTGAAGTGATCATGTTGTTTTTAATTCCCTGGGTCACAATACAAATTTGTCCATGACAGAACTTGTAATGTTGCATTATGAAGAGGGAACCATGCCCTGGGGGAATGCCCCTGGGCTCAGATTAAAATCAGATTAAAACCCATTTTGCTTCAACTCCTTGAGCTCTGCAACAGCAGCTTTTCAGGTGCCAGGGAATCTGGGAAATCAGGCTATAATGTAGTTCATTACTTCTAACTGCATAGCCATATGACTATATTTTTTCTTGCTGGTAAGAATGAATAATGTATTCATCTGAAATTTACTTTTCGTTCATAGCAGAAGCACGTTCGGGAATATGGAAAAATTTTCAAGTCTCATTTTGGTCCCAAACTAGTTGTATCCATTGCAGATCGAGACATGGTTGCTCAGGTTCTTCGGGAAGAAGGATCCGCGCCACAACGAGCTGACATGGATTCCTGGCAGGAATACAGGGATCTACGAGGGAGAGCTACAGGACTTATATCTGCGTGAGTGCAATGGTATTTTTGGCATTACGTTGCCAAACAATGTTTAGATCTTTGGGTTTCACACAAAAGACACTGATGATACATTTTAAACTGTTTTTGATTAATGCGTTTCTTGAAAGAATGTGCTTGTAGCATGATTATATACCTATGGGGATGAGTGTTGGAAAATGCCTTTAGGGAACATTCAGAGTAATTATTGATGCAATGTGCTTATTCCAAAGAAAGCCAATCCCTTTATGACTCACAGACATTCTTCTGCTTTTATCACATGATACCTTGCAGCAGCTAAGTGTTTTATGTAGTAAGAACTAGGCTGTACATTAATAAAGGTTAGCAGCATCTTAATGCTACAGTCTGGACAAAAATAAATATATTTCTTTTGTAAGTCTAGAGATGGAATGTTCCATTTCCCCCATAGTAAATGCGTAAGGTGACAATGTTAGTCAAATTTAAAAAAAAATAAAATTGGAATGTTAGTCATTCTCAGAGTAAACCCATAACTTAAGTCCATCAATGTCAATGGATCTATTTGGTGTTTGACTAACACAGAATGTCACCCATTTTTAATATGCAGTCATAACGTTGTATGTTAGGCTTCAATCACCCCACTGTTGTATATATTTAAAGTCCACTAAAGTGAATGGCATTTAATTCGAAACGGCATGGCACAGCTGAGAAAGCGAACATTTAATAATTAGACTTAAAGTAGAATATCCACTTGTATCATCTTGCTTGCAGCATTTTGCTTGCTTAACAGACTTCTGCTTGTGTAAATGGGGCTTATTGATCCTCTCCTTCCCACTGCAGCCACCCACATACCCCAAGGGCACAGTGGGGAGAAGAAGTATGAGCTCCATCAGGTCCACTAGCTTAACATCAGATCTCCCCTCAATATACCACTTAAGAGTATAAGGAAGCTAGCAAGGACTAGATGCATTTTATGGAAGCGGGGGGTGGGAAGCAAACTCTGATCAAATTGGTATGAGTGGTATGGGTCACATTCCTCTCAAAACTTCTAATTAATTTACATGTGAGTTGTTATGACGCCCCATTACCTAGTTTGATATATATTAATAACAAAATTCAGTAGCACTGATCCAGATATATTCCATTATACACAAAGATCTCCTCAGTTCAAACAACAGTGCTAGGCACCTTTTCTGGAGGAGGGGGAAATGGGGAGGCAGCTGGACTTAATTGTATCCTAACTGATCTGATCAGACTGCACAGTTTTACATGCGTGTGCACACCTCACCTCTAGGGTGGCCTCTTATGAATCAGAAAAAAAAAAACTATCAAAACAAGAGGACAAAAGAAGACACAGGTTTGCATATGCTAATGCACAAACACATTTAGAAACAAGTCTCAAATGGAAATATATAATCTCAATATAGTAGCGACAGCTGAGACCAGGTGAACTGTTTGCCTATTCAGTCTGCTATTCAGTCTGCTAATTGTTGATGGGCAACTTCTAGGGTACTGCTATCACTTTTTATGGTTATTTATCTTGAAACTGGACTTGGACCAGTTTGTAAAATATGTAAAATATAACCAGTAAGGCAATGTGCTATCTGCTTCTTGTTGAATCTAAATGATTGAATAATCAGCACACAAACATTATTCCTCCAACAACAATTTCAAGAATAGACACATTTGGTTATGGCTTTCTAATGAGAGATGCTCTCTTTTTTACTTATTGACGTAAATAATTATTTAGATAATTTTAAACTGTTATTTCTTCCAGAGAAGGGGAACAGTGGCTAAAAATGAGGCGTGTACTAAGGCAAAAAATGGTAAAACCCAAAGATGTTGCCATTTTCTCAGGAGGAGTTAATGAAGTTATTGCAGATTTAATTAAGAGAATCCACATTCTCAGAAATCAAGAAGAAGATGGGGAAACAGTGACAAATGTTAACAGCCTTTTTTTCAAGTATTCAATGGAAGGTGAGATTGATAATTCATTCTTAGAAATTAATGGAAGATGTGGCTGTGTTGGTGCTTCATCAACCATTATTGCTTATTATTATTATTTATTAATATCATCATCATCAACAACAATTGTTCTTGCATTACTCAAGTTGGCAAAAGGAACACACTTATGTTCCACACAAAGGTACAATGTCTGGATAAGCAGTATTCAGCTATTAAGGAGAACAATATAATTGTCTCGCAATACATTCCACAGTACATCAGAGGTAGTTGACTTTTTTTGCCTGCAAAGTGCACATGTGGTGTTGGACGGCTGCTTGCAGACTGCATACCTGTGGGCATGGACAACAGTGGATGGAGCTGATGTCATTAACAGGCATACATTGGTCCACATATATTGCTCATCTGTGCTGCAGATGGATAAAGTTGCACTGTACATTATTCCACTTCAGTGTAATGTAGTGTATTATTCAGTGTTTGCACCATTACACCATATGCTATGTGTATGTTGCCTTACTCCACAAAAAATGCTTTGTGTAAATCAGGGCTGGATTTAGGTTTCATGAGGCCCTAAACTACTGAAGGTAATGGGGCCCTTTATATGTCCAGCTGTCCTTTGTCAACAACAAATTGTTACTGTTTTAGTGTTGAATATATGCTATATGGTAATTTATGGACCTAACAGGTATCTAAAGCTGTTTGCACATAACAAAATATGCATATTATCAAAGTAATTGTTGAACTGAAATACAATTAAGAAGTAGTATATTAATAGTGAATTACATTTTTTTCCTTTAAGTTTTTGGGGGCCCCCCAAGAGAGTGGGGCCCTAAACTATAGCTTGTTTAGCTTATGCGTAAATCTGGCACTGGTGTAAATGTACAGACAATATTATAGCCATGCAAATTAATCCCATGTGTTTTGAGACAATGGGTCTCCCTCCCAGATATGTGCCTAGGACTGGGCCTTTGGTTCTTGTTGTGGGTGTGGGTGGGTGTTTGTTAGCTTGCTTTAGTTCTTCACCTTGAATTACTTTGGAAAGGAAAAGAATAAATCCCAATGTATTTTTATTCTATAGGAGTGGCAACTGTTCTGTATGAGTGCCGCCTGGGGTGCTTGGAAAACCAGATCCCCCAGAACACTGTGGAATACATTGAAGCTTTGGAGTTGATGTTCAGTAGTTTCAAGACTACCATGTATGCAGGAGCCATCCCCAAATGGCTTCGTCCAATTATTCCAAAACCTTGGAGAGAATTCTGTAGATCATGGGATGGACTCTTCAGATTTAGTAAGTTTTTTTTTTAAAAAAAATCATTTTGGTTTCATAAGTTTGCAGTAATTTGGAGGGCAATGTTTTCCGCTTCCTTAATAAATTTAGCGAGGCATTATTGCAGTTCAAGGATGCATTCCAGCAAGGCAGAAGCAGCCAGGGAAGGTGCAGGGCCGGACCAGCAAGGGACGTGGCATGAGAAAAGGGTGTGTGCCCCAGGGAGAGTCTGAGGGGCCAGACAGAAAGACCTAGAGGGCTGCATTTGGACCTTGGGGTGAGGTTCACCACACCTGCTTTAGGCCATTCCTTATCTTCCAAACTATGGATTGGAGACTTTAGAGGAACATCTCAACTGAGTCTGACTTCTCATTGCACCTTACCTAGAAAGCAAAAAGAAAAGAAAATCTCATATTTCAGCCGTGTTAATGGCCATACCGCTTCCCTCGCTTTGAGTGTAATTTGCTGTACAACAGAATTTATGTGGGGCTGCAGTTATGTGCTTTGCCCAGCAGATCACTTTGTTTAGCAGAGCTAGGACAGTTTTCTAGCAAGCAATGCGTAGTGAGCTTACAAAAAAACAGCACACAACTCTAAACCTGTTATGAAAGCCCTGTGTTGGTTGCTGTCACCAAATGACAAATGAGAAATAACAGTTTGAGAAACGAAATCTCACTGATTAACAAATGCATTCCCCCTTCTTCTTTCTTCATCGCAAAGGTCAAATTCATGTCGACAATAAATTACGTGATATAAAGTCCCTTTTGGACCAGGGGAAAGAGGTAGATGGTGGACTTCTCACAACTCTGCTTAATAGTAAAGAACTTACAGTGGAAGAAATCTATGCCAATATGACTGAGATGCTTTTGGCAGGAGTTGATACAGTAGGTTTACTGCTATGACTGTTATTACATTATCAATATGATTACTGTTATTGTTGTTCAGTGGACATTTCCTAAATTCCTTATGAGAGAGCGAGGCAGGGGGAGAAAGAGAATCAGGACTGTTTTAGTTTCTCCCTTGCCTGAGTTTCAATCCAGGGTGACAATGGGATCAGGACTCACATTAACCCTTCCAATGTGTTGCCTAAGTCTAGTGGCTCACCTTGGCTCAAAGCAGGGCTGGACCTCTCTGGTCCATTTATCTCAAGACAGAATATCCCTAAAGCTGCAAGATACAACCTCCTTTTAGGCATATTAAATTGAATTAATTTGGTTCGATTTGTAACAATTTGGAAAATCAATAAAAATAATTGGCAAAAAACAAACCTGCTTTTAGGCAACCAATGAGAAATAAATATGGAGTTATTTTCCTTCCTATAGAATACAGTATAAACAGCATTTCATGTTTCGATTGTTGCAGCAGCAAATGATGTAGTGGGGCTGCACCACCCACCTGACCTCCACTTGGCTGAGTCACTGCAACATGTTGGAACGGAGAGAAGGAGGGGTGTGGCGGTGGCGAGGTCAATCCAGGGCTCCCTCCCGCTGGTGGATTTGCACTGTGTTGTCATGATTGCCACTGTGCCCCTCCCCTTCTCCTTCTTGGAGTGACTCAGCCAGATGGGAGGTCAGGTGGGCGGCGCAGTCCCACCATGTCACCCGCTGTTGCATTGTTCTCTAATATTAGACTTGTCTCAGATGCATAAATAAATTCTATAAATCTGTAAAGCTATAGCTGAGGTCTGAGGAGCAGCAAACTAGTCTGCTTCTGCCTACATACATGTAGAACAAATACCATTATCAGAATTTCTCTAAGAAAGATGGCAAGGCAAAAGTGAGTGTGTTGTTAAGTAGTAAGAGTTACAATGGTATTTCATGCCATCAGGTAAGGACAGGGCCAACCCATTCCCAATCCATGTAGAAAAGCTCAGCAGACCATTGAATCATATTTCAACATCCTCCACTGCATCTTAAGGGCGGTGACTTTAGTGGGTGCAGGATTCCCTGCCCTTCAATACTTGCTACCTGAGGCAGCTGCCTTACTCTGTCTCATGGTAGGGCCGGCCCTTGGTAAGGGTGAGTTGATGTTATTTTACCTTATGTTACAGATTTGAATTATAATACTCTCCCCAGAAACATCTATGGAAGTATGATTAGGATTTTATTTAACATAAATAATTTGCTTTAATTAAAACTAATTCCACACCTGAATTTAGTTGGTTCTGATTTTAAGCCTGAAGGGTGGGGACATTAACTTGAGGACCTTAGAATAAAACAAAGTGTGTCAAATATATATGTTCTATACATGCATTTCTACTTTTAGTTTTGAAGCAAGCTCTTTTATAGAACTTGAATTGGCAATGTTTTGTGCTATCAGAGCAGTTGTCTTAATTTATATCTACCTCTGTAGCTGGTAATAACCAGATTATCATGATTCTGTACTATATGAAGGAAAGTGTCTAAGACCTGGTCCCTCAGTGCTATGATTTAAAATATAAAAGCAGCAGGCACAGAAAGGGGTTATTAAAGACTTTGAATAGAATAGGGCAGCTGTTACTGGGCTTCAAAACACTTCAGTTATTTTAGCACTGTGCCAGTTTTGAAGAGGATGTGAAGGAGCTGGGAACCTGAGAGGAGACACTGTTTAGCTCACAGCAATTTCTTGTGTAGTTAGGCACGGCTCCCAGCCTCTACTGAGAGAAGCTGTCTAGAGCTTTTTAGAAAAACGATAATGCAGAACATAATGAAAATAATGAAATGAGGGACTGAAGGCAGCGTAGCACAAAATTGGAAAGAGTGGAGTAACTGCTGCTTGCCCCCTCCTCCTCATGGTTACCATGGGAAGTCAGTAACTTCTGAGTTAAAGTACATAGGATTGTGCTCTTCGGGTAAGAGCTTTATAAAAATTAGCTGTTGTTATGAAGAACAATAATCATATCTGCATTTTGTTCAGGTTATAACAAACCATTGGTTGAAAATGAAAAATGCTACTGCTTAGCAAATGTTACTGAATGTTCTCCCTCCCATTGGTACTGTCTCTTCCCTGCCCTAGACTTCATTCACTTTATCTTGGGCGACGTACCTGTTAGCAAAGCACCCGGAAGTGCAGCATTCTGTCTATAAAGAGATAGTCAATAACTTGGGGAAAGATAAAATCCCTGATGCACATGACGTCCCCAACTTACCAATGATCAGAGCCCTTCTCAAAGAAACCTTGAGGTAAGTGCAGAAAAACTAAGTTGACCATTAAACGTTTTTGTTCCTTTCTTGTTGTTTTGTGTCTTTGTTTTAGCTAAATTGCAATTGTGTTTTTTAATGTGCCCTTCATTATTTGTATTAGAGTATGTCTCACTATTCTCTGCAGATTTAAATAGTGATTTAATGCACGTTTATAAAAGCAAGCAACGTTGAATTCAATTGGACTTTTTGCTGACTAAGCAGGCTTTGAATTGGGCTGTAGGTTCCCTACATTACAGAGAAGCTTCTCTGAGTTCCTTTTGAGTTAAATATTCAGAGTACTGTGCCAGTAGGTTCAAAAACTTGCTCCACCTGCAGCTTCACAAAGTTGCCATAGTTCTTTAAAATAAGTGACTTTTTTTTACATAATGTGCTCTCATTTCAAGAGAGTCTGTTTGCATACTCCTCTCCCGTTCCCTATGATATGCAACGAGAAAAGATTGGGAACTTCTACTTTATCTTTTCAACTAACCGCTGTCCCCCTTATGTCTGAATGCAGGAAACTGTGGTATGTTCTAAGTGTGATTAGTTAAAACAAACCAGTTTTAAACTGTGGCATTATATTCTAGTTTGCTAACCAATCACACTTAGAAAAAAACCATGGTTTCCCAAAATTCAGATGTAATGGAAACCGTGGCTTCCTGTTTCTTGTGCATGGAGAGAAAACATATGAGCCTGAGGCTTATGCAGGCTCATTATTGCAACAGGAAACCATGGGTTCCTACTTCACCTGAATAAAATCTAGTCAGCTGCCTCAATGAAGATTACAAGGAAGGTATGGTGGAGAAAGACACTATTTTAGTTAGTAAAGATAGTTGGTTGTAGACTGTCTTTGAAGATAGACTTTCCCTTTTAACTTGTATGGCGAATAGTTATTGATAGATTATTTTCAACGAAGTTTTTGAAAGACAGCTTATGCTAGTAACCAGCATAGGATCAAGTGGCAATAGTAGACAAGTACGATACAAAACTAACAAACAAGCATTTCTTAATTTGAATATGTTTTGCATGAGATGTAACTCCTCTCATGTTTTTCTGATCAGTTTGTGGTTTGTGAACAGAACAAAATAATTTTGTCAACTTCTCACATACCTTCTCTAACAGCACAATCAGATGCACATTTACTTAGAAGTAAGTTCTATGGTGTTCAGTAGAGATGACTCCCTAGTAGGTGTGTTTAGGATTATAGCTGCAGTTGTAATAGTAATAATAGTAATAATACTCCATCTCCTTCAGTATTTTAGGCTGCCATCCTATGCTCTAACCCCACTGAATATAGTGGGATTTACTTCTAAGTAAACATGTATAATTTTATATTGCATATTGCTCTTTTCTATATTTTCTCCAGCTTGACATTACTCTTACTGAGATGGGGTGAGACGATTGCATCATGGATTTAAAAAATGGCATTATGATACTTCCATTTAAGTGTAGCCCCTTTTCTAATATTGAGTTTATCTTCTTCATTGCTGTAGGACCCTGAGTTTTCTATGATACATCCAAGATCCTGTATGGTTTTAGCCAATCTAGATTCTATATATGAAACTAGGAATGTTTATCATTTTACTTCCATTGAATTTCATCTGTCAGTCTGTTACCCAATCACTCAGTTTGTTATAGTAGTAGTTGCTGCTGCTGTTGCTGCTGTCATCGTTGTTAGTATTAGTAGTGATTTATTACATTTACTTGGTGCTTACTACAAATTTATGTACAATTATAAAAACAAATATAATACAAAATTTCAAATACATAAAAAGAACACTAATTAACTAAAAGCAACTGTTCATCCCCCTCTTTACTACTTTTTATCAGCCATGAAGGGCATGGGTTAAGAGCACATGTGATTGTCCACACCAATCCACACACCTTGTTCATGTCCTCAAGCCATACCAACTGAAGCTCATCTGAAAAAAACAGAACCAGATAATGTTCTAAATATCTCTTGAGATTCACCTGCTATAATAGTGAAGTCAATGTCTTCATGGATGCAGGCAACTCTATTCTCAAAACGCTTTGCAAACAAATTATAATGGGCCACCATTGGTTCCACCAACTTTTTAGAGTCAGAATATAAAAGGTCCTACAGTATCTGGGAAAGTTCTACTGGATATAATAGTGCTGACTTCAATGCCACTGAGTAGGCTTAATAATGAGCCCTTATTTGGGTTCTAGTTTGGCTGCATTCATCTGGAGGTTTCCTCTGTTTGTGTTCAACATGTCCCAGCTTATATCATTGTCCTAAGCTCTGGTGTATACCAAGGAGTCAGGCTGTATGAAGTGGGAGAGGACATTGGGGTGTGTGTGATTGTGTCAATAGCCTGGGTCACCTGTTTATTTCACAGATCAAGGAGGACATGACAGGGAGCACCAATCATATCAGCCAAAAAGTCTCCCAGAGCTGTCTGGAAATTAGTTGGATCCATCAGCCTCCAATAAGTTATAATAGTTCCCCTGCTTTTGCAGAGGTGAAAAGCTGCTGAAAACCAAAATCTCAGCAGGAAGTGACCTGACCATGACAAGCAACTGATTTTTACAATCCCTCATTTTCAAATCATCCTCTTTCTGCCCAGTCAGGAAGACCAGATCCAGAATGTGGCCTTGCTAAAGGCATGGGTCCAATGACATGCCCCACATAAGTTTAGAGCTCTTCACAATCTTTTTAAGATTTTGCCATCCTAAATAAATTCGTGCTTTCTATGACCTTGGCTGCCTCACTGTTCAATTTGTTAAGAGGCATCAGTCTTGAAGCAGATTCCCTGTTTACTTGGCTACATTGTAAAAAAAAAAGTTTATTCTTACCTTGTACTTCCAACAATTTAGTTAGTATTGGGGCCCTGTTCTATTATCCAATTAATGCTATTTTTAAAAATATAGGGGCCATTGTTGAAGGCCTTTGTCAAAACCTTGTTAAAAATCCAAATATGCAGTGTTTACTCACTGAATTCCTCCTATCTTCCCATTTGTGGGCACCTTCAAATAATTCTAAAGAAATATAACATTACAGGCACTGAATATCTAATTGACACTTGTTTGTAGGTTATATCCAGTGTTACCAGGAAACGGTAGAGTAACCCAGAAAGATATGATTGTTGGAGGATACTTGATACCTAAAGGGGTGAGTTGTACAATGGCTTTGTGAAAGGAGTGGGAAAGGATGAAATCACAGATTTACTCTGGATACGTGAAACTGCCTTTGCTAGGAAATGAGCTATTATGTGAAAGTCTGGTTTAATTTTAGGCATGTTCAGAGATGTTATTCAGGATCTCAAGCTCCTTTTCTTTTGCTGTGGGACCCAGATTTCCTTTGTAAAAAAAAAAAAAAGTCTTAAAAACAGAAGAAAATTCATTTGCTTATTGGACATCTGGGCACAGCCATACACCATCTTGAATTTTCAGAGCCATTTATACACATGAATTAGAACATGCAAATTTGTGTTGTGAGCATTTGCAGTGAGTGCTTAATGCACCTAGGAAATCCCCTGGCCATGTGAGGTCATTAGCTTAAAACATAGGTGCCATTTTTTAAAGAAACATTGAAACATTCTAAAATTATACTGTATGGTATTTTCAACCTATTTGAGTGTAGGAACTGGTAACTTGAAATTGTACTTTTTGTATAATTACATGTTATTCTGCTTTCCGCCGATAAAAAGTTGGGTAAAACAGTAACCCGAAGAATGGGAACAGGAGTTAGCTGGTAGAGGTCTTTTACCTTGTGGGTAATATGTATCAGGGGACATAGTACATGAGATGAGCTGCTTCAGTATTCCCCTTTGCCATGCTGTTGAATGGAGAAATTACTGGACATAAGGAGAAGACTGGTGAACTGTTCATTCTGACTACCCTTGGCCCACCTTCTTCCACAGTGCTGGTTGCTTTCACCCCCCCCCCAATGGTATGCCAAAAGCAAGGTAAAGGTAAAGGTAAAGGACCCCTGACAACTAAGTCCTGACAACTAAGTTGCGAACGACTCGGGTTGCGGCGCTCATCTTGCTTTACTGGCTGAGGGAGCTGGCGTTTGTCCACTTCCGCAGACAGTTCTTCCTGGTCATGTGTCCAGCATGACTAAGCTGCTTCTGGCAAAGCCACAGCAGTGCATGGAAACGTCATTTACCTTCCCGCTGGAGCGGTACCTATTTATCTACTTGCACTTTGATGTGCATTTGAACTGCTAAGTTGGCAGGAGCTGGGACCGAGCAATGGGAGCTCACCTCATCGCGGAGATTTGAACCTCCGACCTTCTGATCGGCAAGTCCAAGAGGCTCAGTGGTTTAGACCATAGCACCACCCGTGTCCCAAAAGCAGGGTAGTAGTTTTTAAAAATGGATTTTGCCTTGAGGCTGCATTTCAGTCATGCATCCAACAACCTTCCCAATAAAAGTAATTGATAATGCTGATGCAACTAACTGAAGCATCAAACATCTGGTTTTCTTTTATGTGAGAGGATGTCAAATTTAGTGTGGTGTGCTCCTTGAAGGGAACCACCTATTTGAGATTGCTTTGAGACACGCTCATGAAGCACACTAATTACTTAAGGTAGACCTACTGAGCCACACTTTTTTTTCTAGGAGGAAGAATCTAGAGAGCATGGCAGCTTTTTGTGAAGTTAAAGAAGTATAGTTTTTAGTACAATTTTTTTTTATAAATGGGTCAGTTCTGTTTTGTCTGATTTAGGCTGAAATCCAATACACATCGGGCAGCCAGTTTTATTGAACTTGGTGGGACTCACTTCTGAGTACACGTATATAGGACTGCACTCTTAGCATCTTAGCTTGTCCAATGTTTTTTAAACTTTTTAAGCAATTGTATTGATCCTTGTGAATAATCTGAATTTATATTAAACAGCATAAAATGTATATTTAGGAAACTATAAGTAGTTCATTAACAGGCATTTGGGAAATTATATGTAAATATATGTTCATTTGTTTCATTAGACCCAGCTGGCACTCTGTCATTATGCTACATCATATCAGGAAGAGAATTTCCCATTAGCAAATGAGTTCCAGCCTGAGCGCTGGCTAAGGAAAAGCAATATGGACAGAGTGGATAATTTTGGTTCCATCCCCTTTGGTTATGGTATACGTAGTTGTATAGGAAAAAGAATTGCTGAACTTGAAATTCACCTTGCACTAATACAGGTAAGCAGGCTACTAAAGCACATCTCCTTGCTATATAAAATGTTTAAAATATGTGTGATTTTGTATTTCAGAAATTCAGATTAATTCCCTGAACCAGCAATAGCTTTCTTTTCAGTGTGACTGCTCACATGTTTAAAGTTTAGCATTTGTACAGTTATACCTCATGTTACGTCCGCTTCATGTTACATTCTTTTAGGTTACGTCCTGCGGCGACCTGGAAGTACCGGAAAGGGTTACTTCCTGGTTTCGCCGTTCACACATGCGCAGAAGCACAAAAATGACATCATGCGCATGTGCAGAAGCTGCGAATTGCAACCTGCGCTTGTGTAGACGCGCCGCTGTGGGTTGCGCTCTCTTCATGTTGCAAACGGGCCTCCGGAATGGATCCCGTTCGCAGCCAGAGGTACCACTGTATATATTTTTGCAAGGATTGGGGTCTATAAATGCAATGCCAATAAGTGACTTTGTTTGCAATCCTGTACCCTTTTACATGGGAGCAAGCCCCATCAAACTTAATAGGATTTACTTCTGAGTAGACACATAGTGGTTCACACTGTTAGGCCCAGTCCTCAAAGTGCTCCACTGGTGCAAGTCACGTGGGCCATTTGGCTGTAAGTGCCCGTATTGTTGAACTCAAAGTAAAAAAGGCTATAGATTTATGGTCCTAAGAGTGATCTGTAATAGCAAATAAGCTATCTTTCCCAATTCTTAATTTGAATTATATAATGAAATCATTCACTTATATAATTTCTGATATTGTCCTTCCCCTAAGGCAGGGGTAAGGAACATGATCTAACTAGCAAGCCAGATCCTGGCTGTCTCAACCCCATGTCGGTCATTTTGACAGGTTGGCAGGACCTTCAGACATAAAACAGAACAAAAAATATTTTGTGGGTGTGTCTCAAACTGCACCCACAGAGGTAGATCCTTTGCATGAATAGCTTCAATTCAAGATAGTCATGCAAATATATTTGGCTATATACCAAGCCCCATTTTGAGGCTTGCTGTAACTGTCAATCAGTTGATCAGCACTTATAGGAAGCTCAGATTATTATTATTTTTATTGCAATTATATCCCACCTTTTTTGGATAGGTATCAGCTGTGCCATGGATTTCCCTACCATGCACTCCATACTGCAGCTGATCTCAGCAGTCTTCCTTAAGTGCCAATCAGGTATTTGGGCCCATAGCAAGCTGGCTTTGGGCAGATAGTGGTTGTGCTACGAGTTCCCCCATAGCACAGTCTTACAGTCCACTCCTGCAGTTGCTTATTGAGAAATAAACCACACTCTGCTTAGTGGGACTTGCTGCTAGTGTGCATACTAACGAAGCCTTGAAATAAATCTGAAGCATGTTTACTCAGAAGTAAGCCCTGCTCAGTTCCATGGCATTTGCTCTCAGGCACACACAGGACTGCAGCCTTAGTTCAGTCTTTGGACCTTCCAAAAACAACTGTTCAGTGAGTGTTTATGGAAAACTCTTCTACTCTGTCCTGGCACACAAGGCTCTGCAGACTAAAGCAAAGGGCCTAATACTTGGGCCCTTTCAGTAGCAGCTTATTTTCATCACCAGTGATTAATAGCTGAAAAGGGGTTCTAGGGGTGAAAGCTGCTCAGAAGGCACACCATCTGATCCAGTTACTCTGAAAAAGTCTCACTGGAGTAGTGTACCCCAGAACTGCCAGTGCTCCACTTCAAGTTCCTTCAGTGGACATCACGTGGGGTCTCTGTAGTGCCCTAGGATATTCTACCTGGATCAAGGGCTCACCCCTCTGGTAGTTTGAGAGTTCGAGTCGCCAATCAAACTGATTAGCAGTAGTTTCAAAGGAGAGAGCGTACTTACACAACTCATAATTAAATTGCTGAACTTACTGCTACAAGATGTGGTGATGATGACCATTGGATGAGAGAGCTTTTTACAAAATAGGTATTCACAGAGAACAGCTGTTAGCCATAACAGGTAAATGGAAGCGCATGTTAAAGGGCAATGAATGCCAGTTGCTAGGGGATGAACAGTTTGAGATGGCGGCTCACAAAAGCACTTCTCTAGCCACTGTTGGGAATCTACAAGGCTCTTTCCTCTACAGTGGTACCTCGGGTTAAGAACTTAATTCATTTTGGAGGTCCGTTCTTAACCTGAAACTGTTCTTAACCTGAGGTACCACTTTAGCTAATGCGGCCTCCCGCTGCCACTGCACGATTTCTGTTCTCATCCTGAAGCAAAGTTCTTAACCCGAGGTACTATTGCTGGGTAAGCGGAGTCTGTAACCTGAAGTGTCTGTAACCTGAAGCGTCTGTAACCCGAGGTTCCACTGGATTCTGGATTCTGCCACAATGTAGACTGTTAGGACTATCAATATTCTTGTTGCCTTTGTCATATCCAGTTTTTATTAATTCTAGTGTTCTGTTTTTTTATCCTTGAAGCTGCTTCAAAATTTTGAAATAAAATTTTCTCCAAAAACTAAACCAGCTTATGCCAAAACCCATGGACTATTGACTCCTGCAAACTCCATCAATGTGAAATTTGCTGACAGGAAATGGTAGTAGGACCTTCAGGAGGCTCCTCAGCCTGACCTCTGACTGAAAGCTGCATGATGGGATTCCTGTAATCAAGCTTTATATGCCTCCCTAGAGGTTTCTCTTTTTCCTGCTAAACAATTATACATGTTCATGCAGAACATTCTGTAAGTCCAAATTAGAACCATTCCTCTTTATGCTGGCAATCCAGTTTGAGAGTTATGGTAAAGGCAGCAGTTGTACCAGTACAGTGTCATAGTCTTTATCACATGCCATCACCTTTGAGAAGAACTGAGACATCCTCTGCAAAATTCTAGTAAATGATAGCCAAAGTAGTAATCACTTTGTCACCTCTTCCAGCTGGGTTCCCACGGTTAGCTGATTGCCTGTGATAAAAGGCAATTATGAGATAACTGGTAACAGATTTGCATCCTCAGGATATCTGCAATTATCACATGCATAAAATATAAACTCATTCTTAAAGATAAGTGTGACTGACTGCAGGATAAACACTGGTTAGTAATGTTTGTTTGTTTGCTCTCTTCGTGTCTCCCACTTTGACTTTGGTTAACTTTTTGATAGTTTTTGTGCATTAACTATAATGTACTAAAAACCTAGTATAATATTTTGAAATATTGAGACATTTTAAAGAAAATTATGAAACTTATAGGTTGTCTAGATTCCAATGTTTTATTTTTATTTCATAAAAGCTTTTTAGAATAATATACAAAAGGGATATAAAGTTTATGTAAATTTAAGCCAACAAGTCACATAAATGGTTAAAGAATAAATTTTTATATTTGTCATTTTTTTAAAATTTACAGTTATTACAAATATAACTTTCATTTTAAATAAAAGCTTTACTTTAGTATCTTGGCAAAAAATTTTTGTAATTGCACATTGTATATCCTGCTTTTACATAAAACTTTATTATTTGTGTGGGCTACTGCCCTCTCTAGGACAGATAGATAAATGACATGGTGTTTATGTACTTGAAAAATGTGCACTTTGTAGTTGCTCATATACCGGTAAGCAATTTGTATAGCTAGTGGCAACCAGACAAGTTTATGTATTAAACTTTTGCCTGTTACAGGATGGGACGACAGCAATCTGACCGTTATGCAGAAAGCATTATTAAATCAATTACTGTGTAGTGAAGCCATTTTATACCTGCAGCTAAACGGTTGCTAGTAAGATTGAATAAGGATATGTACAAAATGGGTGAAACTTATTCACTTTGAAACATTTATGTTAGATATTTCAAGCCAGCTGTTACTACCTTGACATTTACTAATCTCAGCTTCACATTAATTTTCCAAATGTGTATCTGTCCAACTTTCTTGTGAAGCCCTCTCTCCATCTCTGGAGAAGTTGAGCAGAGAATCAAAACTTGTGCGTTCTCAATATTTAGGCTTGCTTTTGGGAAACTCTGAGAACTTGGTTACATGGGGATCAAATGACTGGTTCTCAGTTTGAATTCTTTATGGCACTGTAATTTGGACTGTTGCATTAGCTGTTATCAAAAGTCATATTATGTTTTTATGATCTTTTGTAAGTTAACTTTTCATATGATATAAAAATAAAGAGAAACATTTAAATAGTTTTCTATCATTAATAAATACGTTTAGTTACTTTGATCATTCTCCCTATTTGTCCCTTAGCCATAATAAAGTAATTATATATCAGCCCTGGATTTTGTCTGAAATTGTTGCAGTTGTCAGCACCTTTAAAACAAAAGACATCATAGGGTTATTCTGCCTTATGCCAGCAATCCAAACACATTCATTACAGCATAAGCTTTGTTGCCTACAGTCTATGTAGTCTATACAGTCAGATTCAGAAAAGCTCTTCATAATAAATAATTCCCTCATGTGAACGTGCCTGGGCTCTGAGATCTTCTCTAGGTCCTGCCTCCCTCAGAGGCATGCTTGGTGGGGACTCCAGAGAGGGCCTTCTTAGTGGTGGCTGCTCCCACACTTTGTAACTTCTTTCCTAGAGAAGTTAGACTGGCTCCCTCCTCCTTGCTGTTCTTCCACCAGCAGCTGAAGACCTTTCTATTCCAACAGGCCTTTGAGAACTGTTATTGTCTGTGGGTCTTCTAATGGGTCTTTTAATGGGTCTTCTAATATTATTTGAATTTTATTGGTGTCTAATTACATTTTAATAATAAACATTTCTGTATTTTTAGCTTGTTCTAGTTTATTTGTGTAAGGCACCATGAGTCCTGGACTGGGGGAAAGGCATGGTAATAGTAGTAGTAGTAGTAGTAGTAGTAGTAGTAGCTGAGGCTCCAATACTTTGGCCACCTCAGGACAAGAGAATACCCTGATGTTGGGAAAGACTGAGGGCACAAGGAGAAGGGGGCGACAGAGGACAAGATGGTTGGACAGTGTTCTCGAAGCTACGAACATGAATCTGACCAAACTGGGGGAGGCAGTGGAAGACAGGAGTGCCTGGCGTGCTCTGGTCCATGGGGTCACGAAGAGTTGAACGTGACTAAACAACTAAACAAGTAGTAGTAGTAGTAGTAGTAGTAGTAGTATTTAAGGTGCAAGAAGACTTTTTGTTTGTGCTGCAACAACCTGACATCCCCCCCCCAGACTTGCTTTTACTTTCTGACTGACCTAAAGCACGCTTGTTCAGTTATTAGTCAAGGGACAAATGTGAGAGTCCTCTAAAGAAGGAAATACGTAGCCAGGTGGCATGTAAGATCCTGAAATCAACAGGGCAAAGATGCCCTGCACATAATTTCCAGTTTTTTAAAAAATGACTGCAGAGGCACATTGCTTGGGGCTGCATACTTGCCTCTTGCTGGATCAGATGTTATTAAGGATAGGTGCTATGAATTGAAATTTACGCTGATCAGCCTCTGGAGCACATCCTGGGTGTTGCAAAACCTAACAATTTTCTTTGGCTCTAGAAATCATTCATACTGCACATGCTAGTTTGGTCCAATGCTACAGTATCATAACTGCACCAATAGAATTTATGCTCTGTCTTTCAAACCCGTCTGTTATGTGCTGTAGAAAAATTAGTGTCCTGACTTCAGCCCCTTGATATTTTCCTTTCCCAACCCTCTTGCTTCAATCCAGGAAAAGCTAATTGGGTTTATATGCTGTTTCAATGGAACTTAAAGCATGACAAGTTATTTCTGGACTGAACCCATATTTTGTATTATCTGGTTTATCTCCAGGATTATCCAGTGAAAAGTTTGTTCTGGGTTGGTCAGGTTGGCTGCAAGTCAGAATGTGTCCCCCCCCCCCCTCGCTGACAGAGTGAGTTTATTTCCAACTCTCACATTCCCAATTTAAGAAGAGCCTAGTTTGCAGCTTTGGGAGAAGACTTGACCTATGTGCAGAGTCTAAGCACTGCTGGCATTCACTAGCAGACAGATGTTATCCCCAGAAAAATGATACTGTGCAGTACTTATGTAACCTGTCCACTATGTATCAAAGTGAAGAGGATGAGATGCTATTATTGAGCATACATTCAGAAAGCTAAGTTTGAGTTCCTTTTAAGTTCTGCTTGTTTCTACCCATATATTTTCTTGTTGTTGCTGTTTTCACTATTTTAATTTATCTAGCACAGTTCTGCCATAAACAAATGCTTCTTTTTCACCAATAATCACAATATGTTGGTTTTACTATGCTTTGTTGCAGGCTGGCTCCTGTTCAGTCTCTCCCCCGCCCACATTTCCTTTAAAAAGGAAAGAAGTAGAGGATAGAGAGAGGAATATAAATCACCCTTCTTACTGCTTAGGAGCAGTATGATTCATAATGTTATCAGAGGTGTTATTGAAATGCATACTAGTTGAAGAGGAACAACTAACTGTGAAAAAGAAGTGAGGATAAATCTCTACACCTCTTGACCAACCAATATGGTTTCACATTATCATGCACCAAGCACCTCATTTAGCCCCGAGTTTTTCCTTTATTTGTGCTGTCTTCACCATACTGTGAACATGTGTTCTGGGTCCACCTCTGGAAAATGGCAGACTTCCTCATGGCTCATAAGGTGGTGGTGGTGGTGGGGATGGGGATCAATTGAAAGCCACCTACAAGTAAAAAGCAAAAAAAATCCACATCTCTCCTGCTTGTGGTGGTGTTTGAAATTCAGCAACCTGACAGTCAGAGTGGTTTCAAGCCATCCCTCTGCAAACAGGAGACTACCAGCACAGGGCAGTTTTAAGAAGGGAGAGATTTGATAGTGCATATGTGGCATACTGTCTGTAGTTTCAAAGGCTGGTTCAGTCCACACCTTCAAAGATGAAAGGACCTACTGTGTAGGTTTCCTACCATCTTGATCCATACCTTCAAAGTTCACCAGGTGAAATTCAGCAAGGGGCCAGGACTGACCCATTGGCCATAAGTTCCCCCACCCCTGGTTTAAAACATTTCTGTCAATCAAGAGCACCACAAATCAACAAGAAAGAGAACCATCATCAGCTGCAATGATTGATGTATAAAGTGAACGGATTAGCAAATTAAAGCTCACTTTCACCTTACAGCCTTGCTACGTTATCTTTGCCAGGTATCTATAAATCCAGATGAGAAGTCACATGCCTGTGGCTACTGGGAATCCCAAAAACTGGCATATATTTTAATTTGAAACAGTACTGATTAAATTGTACCACTGCAGTTTATAAGTACGTATGGAAAACTGAATGGACTGAAATCTCGCAACAACTTTAGGATCCTCCATTGTGGTGGCTGCATTAGGTCTGCCTGTTTGTGCCCTTGATTACTTTCCAGGCATGATACTTTTGTCATTTGCTATGCACAAAATGATGAAGCATGTGCCCAGGTGAATTTCCCAGCATCTAGTTCATTTGTGGTTTCCTCCCTTTTCTCTTGCTTTCTTGTTGGGCAACAGTGGCACAGCCTGGTTGTTGCAGTTATTTTCAGGACTTGACATGAGTCCTATTTTTGTATAGTATGAATTTTTATTTGCCCAACTGGAAAAAGGTGTATTTAACAAAATCCTGCTCCTGAGGCTATGAGTGCAGTTGAAAAATAAGTGTGTATCAATGTGCAATGAAGCACTAATATTCTGTGAGCAATTCAATTGCCTGAATCAAATCAAAGACATTTTGCTGTATAGAACCAAAACACCACCAGATGGTGCTATTTTTTTTGCAATAGTCTGCCTATATTGACTTTCATATCTATTCCAGCAGGGTGGTGGATGAGACAGTGGGGGAAATGCTTACTTTGAAATAAAAGCTTGAAAACTTGGCTCAGGTGGTTCAGAAAGTTCCATTTAGAAAGTCCAGAGAAACTAGATTTATTGACTGGTTGAAAGATTATCTCAAATAACTGCTTCCTGCTATGGGGGGGGGGTGATGGAAGGGGAGGGGGGGTACAGTGACTTGGATCTGTTATCAAGATTGTTCATTGCTTTCCAGCCATAAACAGGACATCTCAAGTACAGTGGTGCCTCGGGTTAAGAACTTAATTTGTTCTGGAGGTCTGTTCTTAAGCTGAAACTGTTCTTAACCTGAAGCACCACTTTAGCTAACAGGGCCTCCCGCTGCTGCCACGTCGCTACCGCCTGATTTCTGTTCTCATCCTGAAGCAAAGTTCTTAACCCGAGGTACTATTTCTGGGTTAGCGGAGTCTGTAACCTGAAGTGTATGTAACCTGAAGTGTCTGTTACCTGAGGTACCACTGTACTCCTTGAGATGAAAAATAAAAATAAATACCTGTCTGATTCCCATCTATCAAAACACTTAGAAAATTCAAGGCTGGGGGAAGTTGGTCATAATGAAGTGACTCTTGGTTTTGTAGGAACAGACAACACTCATTTTGATGTTGAAGAAGTAAGCTTTGATATCTATACCCACCCAACACTGTTCAGATGTTTCAGGAGTGTGCTGACTTGGTTTTCTTCTCACACATACTGAACCGGTCCCACCCATAAAATAATTTGAAGCCATGCAGGTTATACATCACAAAGGCAATAGTGAATGCTACAATGCACAGCTGCAACAGTGAACACATGCCAATGAATGAAAAAAGAGGGCTGTGTGTGGGGTATGTGTGTGTGTTCACACGCACCATCCACCGGGCTGTTCAAATCATACACAAGGATACATTTTTCAAAGAAGCAGATACTTCCAGCTTGGAAAAAGAGTAACGTGAGATGGAAGCCACATTGGATTACGTTTTACGCATTCAGGATTCTTACTATGAACTGGTTCACTATGAATGCAAGATAAGAGTGTTATGAAAAATATTTCTGTCACAAAAGTGAATTGCAGTGCAGACAACTGTGTTAATGTCAATGCAAATATATTTGATGAAATGAATAGTATGTGCTCTTCTTCTTCTTCTTCTTCTTCTTCTTCTTCTTCTTCTTCTTCTCATTTAATTTATATATCGCCCTATACCTGGAGGTCTCCGGGGGGTTCACAGAACAAAATCAAAATATAACAGCACAAAATATATAATCAAAATGAAAACAACAACCCAATAGCCTCTCCCCTGAAAAAAGCACACATTTTAAAAGGGCATAGGATGTAAATCAGGTCACCCGAAGGCCTGGTTAAAAAGGAATGTTGTTTTGCCTGGATCCTAAAGGTGTATAATGAAGGTGCCAGGCAAACTTCTCTGGGGAGAGCATTCCACAGACAGGAGCCACTGCAGAGAAGTTACCTGATGTCACACTGGTATCTGGAGATTAAGT